GTCTCTCTCTTGCTCCTCTGTATACACCCAACATGCCTCCCAGTTTCTCAACTATATAATGCACATTTCTTCTTTCCAATCCCCTCCTATCAATCTTTCTAATCACGACTTTCTCTCCCTCTTCTTCCTTCCTTCCCTTGCAAGAGCTCCAGGAGAAGAGAGAGGAGTAATACAGCGAAGAGATTGAATTTCAGTCCTTGGAAGTACCACTCCACCTTCCTGGGGGCTTGGCTAGGGAGCGGGGGGGGGGGGGAGAGGGAGAGGGAGGGGGGAGAGGGAGAGAGGGTCTAGCGCAGTGTGTTAGTACAGGGGGAGTGGAGAGTCCAAATTCCTCGCCCTCGCTCTGGGAGAGGAGTGGCGGCCAAGCTTTAGAAAAACAGGGATTTAGGAAGTTGGCAAGGCAGAAAGACATACTTTGACTGGTGTGGTGGGTGTCATATCGATGCTCATCTCGTGGAGTAGAAGGTATTACTTCTGGCACCATCTGGTGGTGAAAACTCTTCCCCCAAATTGGGACTTTTTTTTTTTTTTTTTTACTAAAGATAATCTGTTTCCTATCCTACCTATCTATCCATCTATCTATATAAAACTACACTTCGGTCAGGAAACTTTATCATATGAGAATCAAATACAGGTGGTGGCAGGAGAAAACCCATTTGAGGTCCAGTCTAGTCTCAGTCATCACCAATAATTCAGCCTGGCTCCTGGAGTATTTATTGATTGATAACCTATTTATATTTCATGCTTCATTAAGAAATGTACAGGGCCATGCCCAAATTTAGTGCAAGCCTTAGGAAGGCCTGCTCTTCCCAGCAGAGAATGTAGTAGTCCAGCTAAAAGGATTGCAATCTGAAGAGAAAGTAACAGTCGTAGCTGGTTGTTTGTCCAGTGGTGAGAATTGTGTGTGGAAAGGCCGGAAGTCTAAGTTTGTTGCCCGGATTTATTCAAAAGGGCTAAAGGCTGCACCACTGTAGTTTTCACTTAGTGTGCATGCTTGCACTGCACAAACATGCACACTAAAAGCATGTATTCACCTCAGCCACACAAGACATATACAAGGTACGTGTGTGCTCATTACACTTTCAGGCAGAGTGCTTTCTGCCTTTACTACTGAGCTTGAGCAATTTCATGGCTGTTTTGCAGCAGTGGGACTCTGCAATCAGGCTGTTTTTAATGGCTACATTACTTCTTATGACAGAGTTGACAAATGCCTTTCAAATGAAGGGGAACATTCAAGTTTGGACAACCTCTCAGGGGCTACATTTCAGTGGTGAATGGGGCAAAAAGCAAAGGGGTAGGGCAAATGTACCCCCCACCCCCAAGAATGCTCCTACAATCAATAACTAAGCCACGGGAGAGGCATGTCATCCTTTTAGAATATAATACAATAGGATAGAATCTGAGAAACCATCAAATGATGAATGGTTAAGGGGAAGGGGGTGCACCGAGGTGAAGGGGGCAGGGGCAGCTGGGTTTGTCCCCTAGGCTAGGAATGCTTCCAGAAGAGAGAGAGAGATCTAGGTTAGCAATATAATCCTAAACAATTTGAAACAGAAAAAAGTCTACAACCTGTACCATGTTCCAGCAAGTCTAAAGTTAGACACAACTAACTTAGGCCTTCTTGATTTAAATGTCTACTGTAAGTATGTCTTTGTCTGGATCCAACCCAACGTTTTTATTGTGCGATTGCTTTACCTTCCTCACAGAATTTCATGCAGGGGCCAAGAGATTTTTGTGATACCTTTGTGATCAGCTTGCTTTGATTCCGCTGCAAGAACCCTGATAAACTAAATAAAGTATGATTGTTCTACAATCATGTTATCGGCTACTTCGCAATCTACCTTGACCGTCTCAGCACTTGCAGGGGAAGGCCAGGCACTGCCTGATGCATTAAAGTCTTAGGCACATGCCCCACAGATAAGATACATCCAGTCCCCACTGAGAGATTCGGGACATTTTTGTCTCTCAGCATTAGCCATTCACACTAGCAAACTACCCCCGCATCTCAATGGGGCTGATGATCTTAGACCCTAAAATAGCATTCCTCAGGTGGCTAAGGGGGCACCCTATTGTCTCTGGTTTGTCTTTTGGCTTCTTGCACACTAGCAAAGGCAAAGCATCCTCAAAACCAGGGTGATGCTGCTCCAGGTGTTTTTGACTACAACCCCAAAAACCTCCCAGCAGTGTGGCCAATGGTCAGAAATGCTAGAGGCTGAAGTCCAAAACATCTGGAGACTTCTTTCTGCCTTGCAACTTAAAAATAGGACCAGCTCCAGATTTAAGGGCATCTGGTCAGTGTCCTCTGGTGGGACCCCTCCTCCTTTGGTAGGCTGTGGTGGTTACCTGGCATTGGCAGCAGGCAGTGGTGCTCCAAGCAACACTGGGATGGGTGAATCTATCTGCCATGTTCATTTCCCACAATCCCCTTGAACAACCATGTGATGGAGAGAGTGTGGGAAGTATGATGCTGTCAGGCTCAGTTATCTGGTGCTGCCTGGAGCACAGGGCAAGAAAGGTGAAGTTTTTGAATGGGGGACCAATGCAGGTATCAGCAGTGAGCAGTTCCATGATGATGTGCTTGTACAGGTGAATAAGTGGTATGTGGTCTGTTCCAGCAGCTACTCACCTGCTTGGCCACTCCAGCCCAGAGTCCCTGACACTGCAAGGCCATGGAGTCAACTGGGTGACGTTGGGCTGGTCACAGGGTTGTTGTGAGAGCAGGAGAATGATGTAGGCCACTTTGAGTTCGTTTTAAGGTAAATTTATAAAAATCGTAAATCTAACTAATAAATAAATATATGCCTGCTCAGAAGTGTGCATAGGATCACTGCAGCCCAAGTTTGGTCTTGCAGGACTCCAGAAGTTCCCCTTCTGACCTGCTAGCTCAAAGTCAGTGGTGGGCTACTTATGGGCCTCTGAATGTTTTGGCCCACAACTTACTTCGGCTCTTACCACTGAGTATGGCTGATGGGAGATGTAGGGCAAAATGTCTGGAAAGTACAAGTCTCTCCTGCCTGTTCTGAGTCTTCTCCCTTATAGGCCAATCCCATCTCTATATTTTGAGGGTTTCCTCTTCCTCGCCACACTGAGGCCTGTTCATGTTCATCTGGCCACGGTGCAGAAGGAGGTCTTCTCATTGAAATCAGACCAGCCCCTTGTGATGTATTCCCACAATCAACTGAAGTCTGCAGGCAAAAGGTAGATCTTCCAAAGACTTGGACTTCAACTTCCAGAAGACCCTGTTGACATGAACAGTGGTCAGGGGCGCTAAGAGTTGAAATTCAAATATTTGGAGGGATGCCCATCCTGACTGAAACACATTTGTTTGTCCAGCCATTTCCTGACAAAAGCAATTTCAGCAACATCTGGCTTTTTAATGAACTTTCACTTTCTCTTTGTTTTGCTGTTTCATTTTTTGATTTTCAGTTATTTTATCCCATTTCTGGTTTGTGACCTACTTTATTTTGGTTTGTCTAAATGAAAAGCAGTGTAGGGTGTTTTTCCTATAACCCTGTTCATTTTCTGAAATCAGTAAAGGGAAGTTAAATCTCACAGTTGTGTTACTCTATGCAAGCTATCATCTATCTCCTATAAACCTGGAAGTACTTACAATGTCCCCTTTCTTCACACAAGATAAGCTATATACGCTTGTATCCAACCTTAGTCACAGACCCATAAAAATGCATCAGACTTAAAACGGATTAACACTGGATACAACCCTATCCCACCCCAACCTCAAATAAAAGCAGTGAGGGGAAAAAATGAAAAAGAGAAAATGACAGGGAAAGCGAAAATGGGAATCAAAGGTTTATCAAGTACAGTGTTTCTTCCTCAAAAGTTTCTGGCAGTTGGCAATATGCCATGTGAGTAGACCACCTCCTTTTCAACAGGGCTGATTTTATTTATTCATTTTTTTAATATGCTGTCCTATACCAGAGTTCTTGGATGGCTTTGAGACCCTAAAAATAGCATTCTCTATGTAGCTAAAAGGGCACTGTATTGCCTCTGGTTTGTCCTTTTGCTTCTTTTATGTGGCTTGTTGCTACTGCTTCAGCTTAGGAGGCTGTCTATAGGTAAGGACAGAGCTACCACCCACATCTTTTCCAGGCGCTATCTGCAACTGACACTGAGCTGTAGATCACAGATATAGTATATTATTTCATTGACTGTTATGAATTGCAGGAAGGGACTCCTAAGTTTCTTGCTGGGATGGCAGGACAGAACCCACCATCAATAAACAACTATTGCTGCAGCAGCTTTGAACTGGCTGACACTGGTTACTTCTTTTATTGTTCTTGTGTTATAAGGCTGCTTTATCATTTTTAACCTAGCTTTTACTGTCAGCCACCATGAGTGCCCTTTTTGAGCAGGAAGACAAGCTGTTAGTTTACTTACTGTTATGCTATTAGCTTCAATTCTAAACATTTTGGGTAAAATCCATCACAAGTCCCACCTGAAGTGAATGGGGCTTGTTAGTCATGAGTAAGTTCAATTCATATTTGAATGGAAACTATTCCAAGCAGGATTTAAGAACAAGAGACAGCCATGCTGTATCGGATCAGGGTTCCTCCTGCCCAGCAATAAAATTCTGTATTTTAATCTCCGACTCTGTAGACGGCTTGATAGGGATGTCTTTTGCTATAGTAATCAACATGTAAATTTCATAACGGTGTTGTGCAAGTGGTTAAGAGTACTGGCCTGGAACTTGGGAAAGAAGAATTTCGTTCTGGCTTGACCGTGAGACTCACTGGGTGACACTGGGCCAGTCACGCACTCTCAGCCTATCCTACCTCGCAGGGTGTTTGTACAGATGCAAAAGCACGAAGGAAACTTGAATGAGCTCCCTTTGTTTCCATGCAAGAGGAAATTATCAGCATATAAGTGTAATAATGAGATAGATACACAACTAAGCATAGCACTTCACATAGCTGATATGATCAGCTCCGTCAGTAGGCTAATACCACAATAAAGTCTGTTAAAAAACCCCTTTCTATATTTACCCTTGTAAATCCCTATATATATTTGCAGAAGAAAAGCCGACTACGTTTTTGGCGAAGGACTTTCCCCCACCGGAACCACGATTTTCGGTTGCCTTCTCCCGCCTCCTCCACGTTCCAGCCACGCCAATGCCCCGCAACCGCCTCGACTCGCTTCCTCCCCTGCGCTTTTCCCAGCAGCTTCTCGTCTCGTCTCGTCCCGGCCGCGGCCACGCCCCCTCCGCCGTTCCATAACGTCACAAATCGATGACGCACGGGCGAGCCCTATTTATAGAAGCCGCGTTATCACGGCGAGCCATCAAAACATTCCAGGCACAGAAGACAACGAGCAAGAATTGCGGCCGGTTCCTCGCGATAGGGAGACATGGACCTTGCGGAGACCCCCAGCGACTCTTTTGCTAGGCCCGCCGTGCGAGTGCTGACCCGCGCCAACCCCACCGCTACTTGCTGGAGCGAGTTTGTTACTGGCTAGGATTCTCCACCGCCAGTAAGGTAAGAAGCGGGGTCCGTGGAGGAGGTACAGCCTCCCCCAAACGGATGGTCCTGCCGTCCCCGAGAATCCAGGAGTCCGGGCTTCTACGGCCTTTGGGCCGCTAGACATCCCCTTGCCTTGTAGATTTTCCTCTTCCTTCCTTCTTTATTTATTTATTTATTTATTTATTAAAACATTTTTATGCCGCCCCATTCGCCGAAGCCTCGGGGCGGCTTACAACAAAAGGGATCCGGGTTCGTTTCCTTTTAGCGCTCCTCTCCGCCCCGCCCGCCCCCCGGGACCCATGAGTCCTGCTCCCCAAATTCTCTCGCTTAGACCTCCCAAAGCTCCCAGCGGCAGGCTTGTTTGCAGAGAACCCAACCCTGTTTGTTCCGTCAGGCGCTCTGGCTCCGCCTGCTCGGCGCTATGGTTATCCCAGCGTCCCTAAGAGGCCGCCGCCACCCGCGCTCTCTACGGATGCCTCCTCTTCTCCCCTATCACCCCCCCCAACTGCTTCAACTGGAATAAATAGTGTTAGCCCCCACCCCCGATATCTTTTCTTACGGGTACCCACCCTTCTTAATTGCTGCGTAGTAGTTTCCATTCTTGCTCAACGCGGTTCTCGAAATTGTGTACGTCAATATTGCACCAGACTAGGCTAGGACAACTAGAAACTGATGCATACGCACCACCCTATCCTTGGAGAAAGATCATCAAATACCCTTCTCCAGCAAATTCAGCAAATCTTCAAATTCTATTATACTCCCTATTTTTGTCTTAATTTTAACAACAAGAAAAACTTAGAGCAGGCCTATTTAAATCTGTGGGGTAGTCCCATTTATTTAAGTATGACTAGCCTTGGGATGACTAAATTTACACTCAGCTACTTAGTTTGATGTACTCATCCGCTGAATTGTGAGACTCTTTTTCAATAGGAGACAAACTTTCTGTGTGTCTTCTTACCAATGTCGAGCAAAACCCTCTGTCCTCTTCTGCACCATTTGTCATTCCACCCCAGATGAAATAATGCACCCTCAGATCCACCATTCCTCCACGTTCAGAAGTCTATTAGTTCCCTTTTCCTATGTTTGGACATCCTAACAACTCACTATCCTCCTTTGAGTGGTCACTTTTTTCCACTTCTCCCACCATTGACTCCCTAGGAAAGACCGAACATCCAGCCAAGACCAGATCCTTATTCTGCATTTCACCTTCCAAGTATGGAAGTGACATCCTTTCCTCTTTATACAACTTTCTCAAAAGGATCTCATCCTATTTCCCCTGCTGCACAAAACGACTCACAATTGTCACTGCCCCGGTCTCAGCTTCCTGGCACAGATACTTCTGTGTTTCCATAATAATTACTCCACACCCTGTTTGAAAAGTTCTCAGTGTTACCTCTGAAGAGTCAGTGCTATGAAACGTGTTGCATTTGAGAAAATAGAGAGAGAGGGAACTGTGGATCTCTGAGATGCTACAGCTGTCAAAAACAGCGTGTTCTACCACTTGTCCACAGCCCTATATGCTCTTTTCCACCACACATATAGTTTCCCTTGTGGAGTTTCGAGATTCTCCATGTTCCCTTCCCTTGTCCCACCCCCACCCCATCTTCAAGCTCTAACCTGTTGTGGGTCAGCAAGATTGCTTCTCCTCCTCTCTTCCCAACAGCCGCTCACCTAGGATCCAGGTTCTGTGTGTGTGTGTGAGTGAGTGAGTGAGTGAGTGTGTGTGTGTGTATGAGCGAGAGAGCGCGTGAGTGCTGTCCCCCCCTTCTGCTTCCGGACTGGGGTGTTGCCAGCGTTCCAGGGGCACTTGCTGGAGCTTGTTTGGGGCGCGCCCTGGATTAAATCAACCTACACGTCTCAGCCAGCAAAACAATCCGTAGGAAATGAGAGAGATAAACTGAGGCACAGATACAGGGTGGAAGGGATCTTGCTGGAACTAAAGGGATTAAGGGCTTAGAATGGAGTTATGGCTTCAACCTGCTAGTTTTCCTTCCATTCCCAAATTTTCCCCCTCCCCCTGCCACCACCCTCAGTGGCATTTTCTAATCTACTTCACTTTCTTTGCAAAGAAACTACATGTGTTTGATCAGAACTCACCCCACTTTGACCTTCCAAAGGATGTAGGAACCTTCCTGACCCTTTTGAAGAGCATAACGCATTTTCTTTCAGCGCTCAGTTCTGGAGTCTGTTTACTTACCAGGACTCCATCCTGGAATGCAAACTTAGCAGTAATAGCTTTGTTTTCCCCACTGACTATAGACTACTTAGGCAGACACAATTTGTGTTGAGGGACTGAGCTTCCTTGGCTGGCTTGAGCAATAGGATCTTTCTTACAGGTTTTTTAAACATCTTTTTTTTTAAGGTAAAGTCCATGTAGGGGAAATGATGGTTATAGTTCAGTAATTCAGTATCTGCAATTTAAGAATAAAAAGGAGGAAGTAGATGGAGAGAGGGGAGAGCCCTGATGAAACTGGAGAACTCCTCCCAGACAGAATAGACTAGTCTTCCCCCCAAGTGCCCTTCAGGTGGGTGGCCTACAACTCCCATCATCCCCACCCACCATGGGTTATGTAAGGGCAGGTACACAACTACTGTTGCCATCTGTAAAGCTGTTTCCTGTGTTCCAGCAAATAGAAAACTTTGGGATCCAGCCACCTGGATTCTCATCACTGCTTTCCTATTTAAGACTCTTATCCCCACTTCTGCTTCTTTTCAGGTCTAAAATGCCTCCGAGCGTCATGTCAATCCCATGGACCTCACACCCCCAAAACACAAATACATCGTTTGGTTGCTGTTATCCCTTTGGACTCAGGATGGCTAAAATTCTACCTCCAGAACTGAGCCCACCCAGACCACCTGGGAAGTTCAGCATTACAGCCATGCTTCTTAGACGAGCAACCATGCTAGCTATGGACTGGCTGAAGAAATATTTGCATTTCATGCAGAATTTCCCTGCCAGACTGATGGGGGCCATATTGAGGGGCATTGCCAGCAGGGCAATGTCCATCTTGGAGAAGGCTGCAAGACTCTTAAGAGAGAGGGAAGAAATGGGAAGAGCGGGAGGCAAAATGGAGAAACAGAACCTGGAAGGTAGTCATCTTCAGTACCTGGTCCAGGGTCATTTTGAAAGTTTCACACTAGAAAGTTTGGTTCAGGATGGATATTTAGGAAAGGGCCTGAATCAGCTTTCGATTGGTTCCAGCAGTTCCAAAGTGGACATGATGCACTTGGAAAAGGAAGGCATATCTGAGCTGTGTTTGAGGAGTCCTTCCATTGGTTTTGAATTTAGGAATGATTGGGAAGATTTTTCAGAAGATGATGACGAAGATAGCGTGGGACTTGAGGACATGGAAAGTTCTGGGGATTTCTCTCAGGGATGCTGGGAAGATTTTTACCATCCCCAGATATTTCCAAAAGGTGACTCTTTTGGAAATGGCCTGAATGAATACTGCAGCAACATTGAAGAATTAAACACATCTGAGGGGGCTCTGTGGCAGAGTATGGAATGTACCTTTGTTTCCCTGGAATATGAGGGTGGCTTGAAAGCTAGCAGGGATTTGTCAGTGCATGAAGACCAAAGTTTAGAAGATACACTTGATTCTTCAGAGGATGGAGAACAGTTAGAAATGAATAGGAATCATAGAGATAAGGGAGCTGTCAACTCAGGATCCCCCAACAGTTTCAAAAGCCCCCTTATCTTGTCCTTGTTCTACAGTCCATCAGAGGAAGAGGAGAACGAAGAGGACGATTCAGAGGATTGGTGGAGCGAGGATGAAATTGAAGACAGTGATCAGTTTAGAACCGCTTTAGATAGTAGTAATTCAGGAAATGGGGATAAAGATTTGGAAAGGGACAGCAATTCTCTGGAGGACTTCTGTGGGTCTTTCTTCACCAAGGATGATCCTTTCCATCCACTCTGTTTTTCCAAGCCTATTCAGGCCCCCAAGCCAAAATATGATGCACCAAAGCAGTCATGGCCCCTGGAGGACCCAAGAGCTAACCATAGCTGTCCAGCTCACAAATGCAGTCAGCCGAGTTCTGCTGAAAATGGCAAACCTGTTTCTGCAGAAACAGTGGGTTCCCAGGAGGAAAACCCAGTGATTAAGAAGGTGAGTCACTTCAAGTATTTTTTTTGTCAACTAACCAAACTCTTGGGCTCTGAAACTTGAGGGAGGATATTCAAAAACTCACGATTCTTTTTTGGTTAACTCTATAATTAGGCGTAACTAACACCCTTTGTCCTGCCTCATCACTTAATGGCTCATCACTTAATTTATAAATATACAAGAAGTATTTATGTTTTATGTCAGTTTATTCTGTATGACAATGCTGGTTATAGGTAGAAAAGTAGTGCTTAGGGTTATGTAGTGATATTAGTAGTACACCCCCTGTGCCTTTTGAAATTTGGCCTGTGTGGAAGGCAGAAACTCAACAGGTATAGCTGAATGTAATGATTTAAAATTTCTTTTTTTTAAAAAAAGAAAACCTCTAAGGCAGTATACGGCATTTTAAAATAACAGATATACAACTGTATCATCAGCAGAGCAGGACAGCTAGAAATTTTGGTCAGAGTGCTAAATGTGATTAAAAAACTAAACAAATCTATTACTGGCCTGGATACTTTATTTTTAAAAAATGTCTGGTGTGCACCAGTTCACAAGCGTGGAATTGTGCCAACAGACCAGGGCTGGAAGGAAGTTTCAGGATTGAGGCACAGTTTCCAAATTCTTTTCACGACCCATCTGAAACTGGGAGAACGATGAAGCCTATAAAATGATTTCCAGAAGGAAGGAAGGAAATCTTTTGGATATCCTAGCTCTAAACCAGCCTTCCCTAGCCTGGTACTCTCCAAATGCATTGGACTTCAGACCATGCTGGCTGTGAGGACTAGGATGTGTAGCCTGACACATCTGAGGGGTGTTCTGTTTGGGGAAGGCTGCAGATCATGGAGCAGGCTGCTTCCACTGGATTTCTGCCTGCCTGTGGGCACTGAAGTCTGGAGAGGTGGTGGACAGGAAAAGCAAGCTGTGTTTTCTTGCAGGTTGGGGTGAGAACAAACAGCTGACTTCTGGAGGTGGAGAAGTATACCCTCAGCATGCATGCAGTTCCCTTGGGAAGCAGGATGGGGTTGAGGTGGAAATGGGGAAACCTCACGTCATGGGGACATTTAATTTTCAGTCACCTAATCAGTGCAAGTCCTGGGAGAAAAGGTTGATGAAATGGTTCTCCTTCCATGATATGGCACGTTTTAAAGTTTTCATATTGTTTTTCAGACTCTGAAGTTGTTTTGACTGTGAGGCATTCTGGGGGACCATAGAGCACTGCCTGGGGGGTGCTGCGAGTTGTAGGACTATTCCTGTTTAAACATGGAGAGGATTGTGCCCTAACAGGGGCTGGGCCCTGTGTAACTCCACCTCTGTAGCAAATAGAATGACCTTCTATTGCATAGATCTTCTTGACTCTCTGGCAAAAATATATCTTGCCTGGTCCCCATCTTTTACTCTGAAACCCCCAACCTAGGACCTCCCTTGGGCTTAGCTGGCCCCCTTGCTCCTGGCCCCTGTCCAGGGGAGAAGCATGAAATCTTGGGCAGTGTCCATGTAACCCTGGACTTCTGTTGAGGAAGAATGATGTAAGGTTGAGTCATTTCCCCTCCGAGAAAATTCACATGTTTCCTTTTCCTGTCCCCCCTTCTCCTCCTGGTTATGATTCTCACAGTCATGATTTGTTCTTTCAGTCTTGATAGAAATTGTGTGACAAAAGCACTGCTGACTCATCTAACCTGCCCTCCCCCCTCCAAAAAAACCCGCTTTGGGTCTGTGTGTGTGTGCGTGTTTTGGAGTGAGGGATTAGAGAACACCTACATGTTAGAGTAAAGATTTAATTGAATTTGGACTGGGACTTGACTCCCAGAACTTGAGCTCACATTACAAGTGTGCCTCTGCACATGGGCAGAGTGCTTTCCCATTTGTTGAGTAACTATTTCCAGGCCACACACATCTGATGCTGGAGAGGTGGAGGAAGGGAAAAGATGTCTAGATTCCGAGGCATAAATTACAGGCCTATCTGGAACTCTGCTGTTATTTATACTGAAATCAAGTGGTGGGGTTGTGTGAGTGAGTGTGTGTGTGTGTCTGCACACACACACACACAAAAAATCCAAGTAGTTGAGCTAAACTTAGCTGTACAGTGTTTAGCTGATCCTCTTCTTAATTTCAGTTTAAGTATGTGGCATCCTGTCAGGATCAGAACTACCATAAATGGAAGAGGAGAGCTTAAACCTTCCCCCAACCACTTAAACCCCCTAAATTTGCCCCCAGACAGAAAAATACATATACACCTGCAATCAAACATTAAAGAAATAAGGAAAGCCTTCTATTAGCATGGAGGACCAAGGGAAGAAAATTTCCCTCTATCTTGCAGAGGATAAATTTAGGGGAAGAGCAGGGAAAGCGGACTTGAAAGATTTAACCCCCGCAGGTTGCTTGCTGTGACCCCAGCCTGTGTCAGGAGCCCATGCCTATCGTTACAAAGTTGGGATCAGCTGTGGTAGGGCTCACAGCACTGAGGAGGCAGGATTTGTAAAGCAGCCTTGGTGGGTCTCTTGCCCATGAGACTGGAAGCCAGAGAAGGCCTGAAGGCCAGAGGTTTAACTTGGGCTTTTAATCCATGTTGTAGTTCATTCCTTAGAGGGAAATTATCAACGTGCTGAGGTGTCCAGTGATGCTCTGACAGATTTACATCTGGAGACCCAGAACTGCAGAGAGAAGGGTGTAGGCCTCAAACTGGTGCCATTGAAATACCTGCTGCTCTTCTCTTGTCCCTGAAAGTCTTTCACGTCTGGGTTGGCAGGATTACAGCAGGGGTGGGTAGTAGGTGATTCTCAGGATGCTGTTGGATTCGGGCTCCCATCAGCCACTGCTAGCACAGCTGTGGCTAATAGGAGCCATAGTCCAACTACATCAGAAAGGCCAGAGGTTTATCACCTTTTAGTTAATTAATTGACTGCATCAGCATAGATATGTACAGCCACAAAAGCCTTCCTAGGGTATAGCTCTTCCAATCTCCTCATCCTTTCTTCTGCATCCTCAGGTCCGATTCTCTCCTGTAATCACTGTCCACCACTTGCCGGTTTGGGATAACGCCTCCCAGGCCGCTCGGAAAGGCCCCTGGGAGGAAATGGCTCGTGACCGCTGCCGTTTTCGCAGGAGAATTGCTGAAGTGGGAGCCATCCTGGAACCTTGTCTGGACAGGGAACACCAGGCCAGAATGTGGAGGAAGATCCACGGCCTTCCGCTGGCTCCAGAAGAGGAAGATGGGACCATCAACACACCCTTCCTTTCCAGGTCTTCTCACGCATAGTAGCTGGATCTTGAAAGCTGGGAATAAAATGACTGCCCGAGATGATGGAAATAGGTCTCAGAGGACTCTTGAGAATTTGCCACGTGCATGAGAGTTTAAAGCTTTCAAACTTTATGCATGAGAGTTTAAGGTTCCAGAATGTTTTCAGACTGGCACGCTGAGCGTGTCCAAAGAGGGGGTGCAAAATGTTACTTTTGCCCCTCTTCTTTGAATCATGTAGCTGTATGTACAAACACAGATGTGTCTATCCAACACCCTCTAAATGTGTTGGACTACAATTCCCATTGTCCCACTGCCAGCAGGGTGGAATGTGTAGCCCAACATAGCTGCAGGGTGCCCACTCAGGGAAATTCTAGCCCACAGCCTACCCCTAGTAAAACTGCTTCCTTCTAGTACAGTGCAGTGAAATTAAACAGCAAGCTCTGGGGATGGGCTCCCTGATGGAGTGTCCTTCAGTGGGCTAGGACCTGAGGCTGGGCGGATACGGCTAGGAGCAAGCAGTTCTGGCTCCCAGTTTTTGAAATAATAATGATAGTAAAGTAGTTTTTGAAATAAATGCACTGATGCTAAGCCTCTACTACTACACCAGTCGATTCCTTGTTTGGAAAGATTTTACACATAATTATGAATTGTGATGATGTGGAGGAGGGGTTTTATTTGCTGGATTTTTAAATACAATGCTTTCGTTACTGCGAGTGCATTTCATAGGCCTTGCACTTGATTGCAATAGCCCAGAGTAGCAGAACTTTAATATATGAATTGTACAGGCAGGGGAAAAAGGAGGGTGTTCAGACCTGCCAAGAAATTCTGTAGCTGAATGAATCCTTGAGAGCCAGCTCTGAAGCCTCCTGTATGTCAGTGGTGGGCAGAAGGGAGCCTTCCGGATACTTGGACTTGAGCTCCTTGGCTGCAGCTTTGGGGGCTCTACCTTCAGCCCACCCCTGCTGTCTCCAGTGGCCTTCCATGTGCCTGTCTTGATTTCAGTAGGGTGCTGAATGCCCAGAACCCTGCTCAGTTCCCCCATAAATACGGGCGTGCTTTTTGTTTTTACTAGATACTGTGTCTCTTAGACCAGGTCTTTGGTAGCTTATACAATTTTTTCCTGTTTAAAAGCATGTATTAAAGTATTGTTGCGTGCATTCTTGGGCTGGACTTTCCTGTGAACTCATTAATTATTGTGCTGTATTGTAATAGTTGTAATTTGTATTTTTAAAGAAGTATCTTCCCTTACTCTGCTGCATGTGTGATTTATTGAGAATGAGAACACACGAGCCAAATGCCTGCCTCATCCAGCATTCGGGTGGCTTGGGGAAGCCCACAAACAGGCCATGGGTGCAGTCGTTTGTTTTCCCCAGCAGCTAGTACACAGATGTATTGTGCCTTTGATCCTAGAGGCAGCATGCCATCATCAGGAGTAGCAGCCTTTGATATACTTTACTTTGGCTAACCCCCCCTTAAAGCTGCCCAGGTTGGTGGCCCCGACTGCATCTTAATTCCATAGTTTTAAGTACATGCTGTGCAAAGAAGCACCTCCTTACTCTCCCACCAGTCAGCGAGAGGAGATGAGCCTGGGTTCAAGAGTTACGGGAATAAACAAGCTCCCTTATGTGTAGTCTTCCTGTTGCTTCAGGAGCACCGGGGTGGGCAACCTGCAGCCTGATTGCAAAAGCCTTCTGCAGGCAATCAGTTCAGACCTCTGCCAAGAGCAATTTGTCCTTCCCTGCAGTCTGCTAAATGCAAAGGAATATGGGGATTGAGAAAAGGGCCAGGGGGATTGAACACTTATGGGCCATCACAGAAGGAGGCCTTTTGACAGAGAAAGGATGGAGCATCCATCCCTGAGAGAGGGGACAATAATTCCTATGTGGACTAGCAGCAGCAGGGATCGGGCAGGGCTCTTTCCCAGCCCTGCCCAGAGATGGCAGGGATTGAACCCCTGACTTCCCACACAAAGCTGACCCTGAGCTACAGCCATTCCCCTCCTCTGCCACCCACAACAGGCTAGGAGCCCCTGTGAGCATGTGCACTAGGCTATACCAATGTTTTACTGAACTGCAGCTGGCCTGTTCAGGCAGCAAACCCAATGAAAAAGGAAGGGGTGATTACCAGCTGCTCCCCACTCCATCAGATCAGTACAGTTTAACCCTATCCCATTTCCCTAGGGGTGTATTGAGATTAGCCCCCTGAGATGGGGCAGGTGTTGGAGTAGAGGGACTTTTTGAGTGTTTGCACCCAGGGAAATTCCCTTAGTTGGCCTTTCACTATCATATTTGTGCCAGGTAATTTTATTAATTCATTTGGACTTCCAAATGAATTAATTAAACTACTTAAATTATAACTCTTCTTATCCTTTTATTTTACTTCGCTGGTTTTTATTCTCCTTTTATTTCATCTGCCTGTGAGCTGTGTTGAAAACCAGTTGGTTGGAGGATGCTTTTCAACACACTGAGAACTACTTCTGTTGTACTTCCATCTTTTCTCTGTGGAGGCTCACAGAGTTCTCTCCTCCATTTTATCCTCACAACAACCCTGTAGAGTAGATCAGTCTAAAAGTCATTGAGTGGCCCCAAGTCACCAATTGAGCCTCACAGCTGAGTGGGTCTTACAGGCGCCAGCTCCTGCAATCTAGCAGCTGTGCCACACCAGCTCTATTTCCGTCAGGTGAAATGAAAGCTAACCTGAGCAAAGTCTCTCCATTCGAGCTGCTTTTCCCCTCTCCCTCTCTCCCAATATTTCAACTGTCAAATGTGAATCTAACTAAGCCTGGCAAGTTGACACAGTGTCAGGTTTACCCAAAGAAGGACCAGAAATCATCTGCACACTGTAGCTTGAATCATGCAGGCTGTACGTATAAATAACCTCATGATGAGTTGGAAAAGGCAATGTGCTGATTGTATACCTCACGTGTTAGGAATGCAGTCTTGCATACCAGGAGCAACTTAACTCACAAGTCCTTCAGAATAAATGATTGCCAAACCTATGCCGACGCCCCTATAAATGGCCTTGAGCCATTTCTCCTAAAATAGCCAGAACGTGAGTTAAAATTAAAACTTGTTGGGTAAACTGTGAAGTGAGATAGGTGCCATTTGGTACCACACCAGGCCTACTGGACAAAAGACAGTGGAGTACCTGAAGAGGGAAATGGCAGTGAAAAAGACCAGCCTTCAGAATTAGCATCACAGTTCCCAAGGAAGCAAACATTCCTTTTCCACCACCCAGAAGGGGCTTGCTGTGAAGCTTTAATGCCTTGCATGCAAAATTGACTTCCTGCAACTTCTACTACTCAGACCTATTCCAATTCCCAGCTCTGTCTCTCCTTCCACAGGTGAGCTCTCTCACCTGAGCAGGACCTGACTTAATACTAGGTAAGCAGCTGCCCTCAGTCTGGAAGACTGCCTTTCGATATGCTCGTTTGGGATGATGGGATCCAGTCATAGTCCAATATATTCCCAAGGCACCAGGTATGTGAAGGCTGATATAACCAGAGGTGTGGCTATATAGGTTATCACAAAACATTCGATCTCTGCCATGTGACTTGGCTACACCCATATTTATCTCCTCAGATACTTTCTGTAAGTCCGAAGTTTCACCCAGTGAAGCAGGGAGAGGCCGGATAATTAGCACTCTCTTGGCACGGAGGGGCAATGGAGCTTCCCACAGAGCTGCTCTGTATTCACACATGTATCAAAACCAGGTGCCTGGGAAAGAGGATGAGCACCGCCAAGGGCACAAGATGGATGCAGCGAGGACCACATCACGGGCCATGCGGCTCAGGGAAAGGACAGGCTGCTCTGTTCCTCCCGTGAAGTCCTTTTTCACCTCAGGGAGACGCTGCGCAAGGTCTATCTGCATGACAACCTAAGCACTGTCAGCAGAGGTCCCTCACCTGCTGCAGCCCATGGGAAAGCAGCTTGCATGCACAGGAAGGATTTTGCTTTCAGAAACCCACTGCAAACATTGCCTTTTGTCCGCAAGAGCCAATGGGAGGGATGTCGCTGCACAGGGCCAGCTCCGTGCTACTTTTCTGGCTGCTGCAGAGTCTGACGGGTCCTTCCACCTGCAGCTGGAATCAACCCTTTCCCCATCCAGGGGCCTTCCAGATGTGCGGGGCTACAACTTCTATAAATCTCAGCAGGCATAAACAAGCCATCCTTCTGGCTTGGCACACTGGACTGCAACTCATAATCATCTGCAGGGCATCAGGATGGCAAAAGCTGCTTTAGGATGTCACTGCCCCTTTCAGGCCCCCCTGTTTGTGCCGGCATCTATGCCCTCCCACCACATGGTGCTCTCAGAAGGAAGCCACTGCCCCCAGCTGCATGGGAGGGCTGGCCTGGCCGCTGTAAGGTAAACACTCCCCACTGGCCATAAATATGTAGGAGGCCTCTGGAATTCGGCATGGACAAGTCCTGCTGGCTTTGGCAGTAGCAAGACAAGTCAATCCCAGCCAGAACCTCAGTCAAGGGAGCAAGGGAATGTATCTGCTTCCTTGCAAGCAATAACTCTTCACACCAGCACTATATTTGAACTAAGGGGTTACCAACCTTGCACCACAGAAAGCAACTTCTGTATTTCACATGTGACCTCTAGGTCACACTCCTTCCGAGTGATGCCTACCAGGAAGCGAATTTTCACAACAGCGGCACCGCCTCTGAAACACCTCCTGTGCTGGCATATCTGCCCTCCTGCCAAGCCGGTCCTCCTGGATTTCTTCAGAAGGCCATGGTGCCTTTTCCTCAGCCCACCCATTTCTCCCAGCTGCTGACAGCCTGGTAGCATCCTGGCCTCTGTGCAGTTTTTTCCACCCTCTAGCAGGGGAGGTTCTCTCCAAAAGCTTAATGGCTGGCTTTCAGGACTTGAAGGCACAGTATTTTTGCACTAGGCCCCACTCCTTTTTAACCCCCCTCAGCCTAGAAGAGTGATGGCGAACCTTTTAGAGAAAGAGTGACCAAACTGCAACCCAAAACCCACTTATTTATTGCAAAGTGCCAGCACTGCAATGAAACCTGAAAACTGAGGTTTTTGTTTAAGAAAAACAAATCGCAGCCAGTCCAAGCAAATATATATATATATATCCTGGCAGTGCACTGACCAGCCATGTGAAAGCTTGGATGAGTCGTGGCTAATGAGTCGCAGCTCGTGATGCCATCGCCTGGTGCCACTACACTTTCTGAGCATGCGAATGGCCCCTATGTGTGCTGTCCAATGCTGGGCTTTTGGGGCGATGCTTGCGTGCCAACAGAGAGGGATCTGCATACCCGCTGTGGCACGCATACCGTAGCTTCACTACCACTGCCCTAACCCTACCCTGGTGCATGCCCCTAACCCTAATATAGGGCTAAAGATCAATTGAAAATAGGACAATTTTGAAAAAGCCTTCCTTGAGTAGCTTTTTCAGCACAGCTCATAATTTCTGCCCATTCTAAACACAATCCAACCATCAAAATCATGCCAGGACACCTCGTTTTTCTAACCCTAACCCTACCCTGGTGCACACCCCTAACCCTAATATAGGGCTAAAATACAATTGAAAAGAGGGCGATTTTGAAAAAGCCTTCCTTGAGTAGCTTTTTCTGCACAGCTCAACATTTCTGCCCATTCTAAACACATTCCAACCATCAAAATCATACCAGGACACCTTGTTTTTCTAACCCTAACCCAGTGATGGTGAACCTTGTAGAGACTGAGTGCCTAAACTGCAACCCTAAACCCACTTATTTATTGCAAAATGCCAACACTGCAATAAAACCTGAAAACAGGTTTTAGTTTAGAAAAAACAACTCACAGCTAGTCCAAGCAAATATACATACACCCTTGACAGCGAACTGACTGGCCATGCAAAATCTAGGACGAGTTGTGGCTAATGAGCTGTGGTTCAGGACATAATCACCTGGAGCCACTACTCCTTTCCGAGCATCCGCATGGCCCCTGTGTGTGCTGTAACCCAATAATCGACCGCTGTGGCGATGCTGGGGCGACTTGACTCGCGTGCCAACAGAGGGGGCGATTTTGAAAAAGCCTTCCTTGAGTAGTTTCTTCCGCACAGCTCAACATTTCTGCCCATTCTAAACACATTCCAACCATTAAAATCATGCCAAGACACCCTAACCCTAACCCTGGTGCACACCTCTAACCCTAATAAAATACCATTGAAAAGGGGGCAATTTTGAAAAGGCCTTCCTTGAGTAGCTTTTTCTGAACAGCTCATCATTTCTGCCCATTCTAAACACAATAAAACCTGAAAACTGAGGTTTTAGTTTAGAAAAAACAACTCACAGCCAATCCAAGCAAATATATAGATCCTTGGCAGCGCACTGACCGGCCATGTGAAAGCTCGGATGAATCGCAGCTAATGAGTCTCAGCATGTGACATCATCGCCTGGCACCGGTACTCCTTTCCAAGCATGCGCATGGCCCCTCTGTGCGCTGTTATCTGATGCTCGGCTGCTGGGGTGATGCTGTGGCACCTTGGCTCGCATGCCGACAGAGAAGGCTCTGCATGCCCGCTGTGGCATGTGTGCCATAGGTTTGCCACCACTGGCCTAGAATATGCCACCCCCATAGAGTTTGCCAAAACAGAATTTGGCCTCCAAGCTGAGTGAGATGCAGTACCCTTCTGCATGTCTGGCTAAGGCTAGTTTCTGGGTTTTCTCTTTTGAGTCAGTGGTTTTAGTTGCATGGCATTTTCTTGCGTTTTAGTTGATTTTTTGAGAGATACATGCAAAGCCAGTTAATCATGTCTGTGTGTACACCTGTGCCCAATCTCACTGCAGAGGGGCCAAGGAGGAGGATTCCTTTGGTCCAAGGTAAGAAAAATTAGGCCTACGGAGCATCTCCTTGACCCAGAAGTTTTATAAAAGACATCATACCTTTGCTAGGCTGGGGATGGCAGTGACAAAAATGTAATCGGTTTTTAAAAAGTAACACAGAAGCCTTCTTTCTGCCTAAACATGTATAGCATTGCACCTGTAACACTTAATGTAAGAAAGGACTAAAGGCGCAATCCTATGCAACTGTAGATAAGGAAAAGGCCTACAATTCCCAGCATGCCCCAGCCATCCATGCCAGTTGAACACAGCAAAGGGCACCAAAAGGGTTCAACAACTTTATTAAATACAAGGATCCCGATTATTTCAAAATAACATCCAGCTTCATCAATATCTGTGTGCTTAAAAAGCATAATACTGCAACCCCATCATGAAGAAAACACGTCTGAGCAAGAGCACTGGATGTACAGGGCTGCTCTCAGACATCCTTCCCCACCCAGCCCGTTCAGTCACCCCAAGATCTTCAGGAAGCCTAGCATAGAAGAACCAGAGAAAACCCAGGGAGGCTGTGGTGTCAGCTCCCCGTATCTTCTCTCCTTGAAAGCCCACCCCACTTAGCTTTCCACATGGCAGGCACCCTCCAGTGCCCTTAAAAGTTCCCATCATGGGCTCTCCTGCAGGCATGTACTGGCTGGACAGAAACACAGAAGTCCAAAAGAGTGCAGGGTTTGGCTATGAAAATGTACACTTCTCTTGGTTGCTGTGGAGCAATTAATGAAGGAACAGGCAGGGACTGGCCTAAGGACAGGGTATCATTAAGACTCCTTGCAGTTCTCAGTAGTGAAAGAGCTTTCCTGCCGGCCCCCACAGCCACTGTCTTGGGGGGAAAGTTTGGTTTCAGACACTCTGAGTGCAGGATAAGAGAAGAAAATACAAGCCTCGCACGCACGCACACACAGAGAGAATTCTACTGGATGACGACTCCTGGGTGTTGTTGATTCTGAGGGGGTTCCATCTGGTTCTGCTCGGGAGCTTTTTCCACAATGGACTCTGGCCGTGACTCAGCGGGAAGGGCTTGATCTGGAAAGAGAAGATCAGACGGGGCTTGCAGCTGCTGCCTCACCTGCACTTCACTTGCCAAGACTCCTGCCCCCCTCCTGACCCACCCAGCAGTCACATGACAATCACACCCCCAAATCTGGAGTGGAGGACAAGGACAAGGCCAGGAGCTGCAGGTGGCCAGGCGGCTGGAACGTCACGTGGGCACGTGGAGATGCATCATAACCTCCCCAGGCTCTCTGGAGCAGGGTGGAGACAGGGGCTTCCCGGCTGCTGCTTGGCAGGAGTACCTGGAGCACCCTCACCTCCTGCTCCTCCAATGGCACTGCTCCTCTATTCCCCCTCCCCTTTCCTCACCAGGATCAACCATTTCTTAGGGACTGATGCCACCCCTGTCTACTCAAGGCCTGCCCTTTTTAAGACAGGGCCAGGTTACTATGACAAGGGTTGAACAGCTACCAACCTACTTCTAATGCACAGTACTTTTTCCCCTTCCACACTGGCAGGGTTGGGAATTGCTATCGGACACATCAGCAGGATGTCAACCCAACGAAGGCTGACCCAATCCAGCCTCTTTGTCAACTCTGTCTTGAATAGGACAGGGTGCTCAGAGGACATTTGAAAGGGCAGGGCAGGATCCTTCCTCTTTCCAGGAAAGTCCAGAACAACCCCTTGTGCCGACCACTAACCCCTCCCAAACAGACAAGCCCCCCTCCCTGAAGAACCCAGGTGCTCTGGCAGCTCTTACCTGCTGGGGCTGCATGAGGTGGCTGGGCTTGAAATTTCAGCTCTCCCCCTGGTCCAGCTGGGGGAACCTGCTCAGGCTGCGCCTGGGGCTTCCTTTGTTCCATCTGGAGCACAACCTGGAGGAAATCCAGATGCTGAGCAGGCTTAAACATCCCCCCACAAGCAGATTCTTCCCCTCCCAGGCCACCTAAACTGAGACTGCAGCAGATTGCTCTCCGTATCTCCCATTTACTATGAAATGCTCTCCCTTGAGAGGTATGCCTGGTGCCTGATTTATTAGATGTCTGATCCCAAGGCAAATACCTTTTTATTTTCCAAGTTTTCTGAAGGAATCCTTAACTACAGCTTGCTTTGTCTTTAGCATGTTTAAGACTGTGCTTGGAAATACCCTTTAAAATCTTTATCTTTAGCTCCTTTTGTTTGTTAGAACAGTGGTAGACTTTATGGCTGTTTTTAAAGCATTACCTTCTAAAGTTTTTTACCACTAACTTTTATTGTGCTGGATCTTATTTATAGTCAAGCCTATGGCTAGAGCTCATTAAATAAAATCCACATTTTCTAATGCCTATTTGTGCATATACTGGAGCGAGCAAAAGCAATGCAGAATATGAGACCTCCCAGAACGACAGCGTGTGAGAATCAGACTAAGGTCCACAGGCAAGCAGATCACACATGGAGCTGGGTGTTTTGGCCTGAGCTCCCACCGGGCGCCACCCAGATCCAAAGCTCCGTACCTGTTGATACTCCCTCTTCTGAGCATCAAGCTCCACCTGCCGCTGCTGCAGCTCTTGGTGCTGCTGGCGGAGCTGCTCGGCTTGCTGGCTTAGCTTTGCCTCCTGGGCCATCAGCTCTGCCTCGAAGCGCTGGAGCTCTGCCTCCGAGTAGACCTGTGTTTCTTCCACTGTCTGGATACGGGAGCAGTGAGAGAGGGAGCTCACTCAGCAGTTACTGGGAGCTGATCTTACACGATATCGGCAAGCGTTACAATGGACCAAACAATCCCAATCCCAGATTTTTGAATTATCTTGGAAAAGTGAAGTAGAACCCTCTTACAAGCCAGAGTACCAAATGTCGTTTAAGGGAAGATTTCAGGGCTCAGGCCAGCAGGACAGGACAGAACAAAAATGAAGCAACCCTCTTGGATTTTCATATTCCATGTGTCTTCAAAGGGCTCTGTCTCCTAAGGAAAACCCAGTTTGGAAGAAGGGTTGCACGGATGGGGGAGGGCAAGGCATTTGATCAGAACAATACAAGTGAGGGTGAAATACATGTGGACAAATGGCCAGCTCATCTGGGGAAGCAGATGCAACACAGATCATGAGGGCCCCTGGACCTTTCTTTCTGGAAGCGACCACGGGACACCCCCTGTTTCAAAAGCTGCATTCCAGGCCTGAAGGCAAAGAGAGCTTTCAAATTATTGGTAGGAAGAGTTTGGAACTTTAACAGGCTAGTATTTTTTGGCCACACCTCTAGTGCCTTCAGCTCTGCCCACCACTGGAATGCTGCTATGGAAACAGAGGGGGGAAACCTTGACAGGAGCTGGGAAACCACCAAATAATTGGAAGGGAGAATCCTAAAGGGCCAGATGCAATCTCAGAAAAGCTGGATGTGGCCCAAGTTTGAGATTCCACACCCTGCAAGACAGGGGTCCTCAAACTTTTCCACCAGGGGGCCAGTTGAGAGCTGCCGGGGGTGGGAGTGGGCCAGTGCGGGAGTGGTGTGCGTGGCGAGGCAAGGTGCGGCCGGCTGCCCCTGGCGAGGGGAGGCGAGGTGCAGGTGGGCAGGCACAGCGAGGCGGGCACACGAGGCAGCGGCTTGCTCACTTGGAGACTGTTTCCTCCAAGCGAGCAAACCGCTGCCTCCCCGTGCGCGGGGCGAGGTGCACTCACTCACCTTCCATCCATCCACTTCATTAAACTCCTTCTTCTGGGTGGATTGAAGAAACTCATCCAAGGTCACTAGTCGGTCCCTGTTAAGGTCCACCTGCAGGAAGATAAGAGGTTGTGAAACGATCATAGAAATCTCCTCCCCCCGTCATTTCTGATTAAGTCCATTGCCATTTTCAGCCCTACCCTCATTTCTTACATTTGCCTTCAAAATCTGTTCGAGTATGAGAGGTCTGAAACAAATAAGTGGGGATTCTCTACTCCCTTCTTCTCCTCACTTTGGTCTGTTATGCAGTTGCACAGCACATATAAAAGATACAAATCATGACTCTTCAGAATCTCAGCTTGGTGTTTCTTAAAACACAAAACTAATCAAGGTTCTAGCCCTCATGGATGTAAAAAGGATTTCCCAATATATTTCCTCAAAAGTATATTCCCTTCCTCTGCAAGAGGGAAACCAAGCTTCTTCTCGTAACAAAGAGTTACAATGAAGTCCAGCACCCTGCATGAACCAATTGTGGATTTGCGTGGAGGTGACACATGCTCTGATATCACTTGCACTGCCACATTTTGGAACAGCTGTTTCTGAACACCCTTCACAAGGCAGCCCCTGTAAAACACGCAGGGGTTGTCTGTCCTGGAAGTCCCCACAAGCAGAGCTCAGCAGTAAGGGAAGTTTCATGAGCAAGCTGAAGTGAAAATGAAAGTTCTAACACTGAGTGCATACGCTTGCATTTGAGGGGGAGAATTTAAGAGGAACCTGGCCAGATTTCCCAGAACAGACCTGCCGCCCGCCCTGTTCTTGAAGTCTGCAGAAAAAGCAAGAAAAAGAGAAGCTCCAGTTCAGCACTTTCAACCACAGCTAGCTGAACCTACACCACCTTTTCCCCCATGTGCCCATGCCGGCTTGAAATTATGAATGTTGCAGATGGCGGAGTGGGTGGGGGGGGACGGGAATGAAGTACACGCAGAGGGCAGCAAGTGGTGCTTGGCGGGTGTGGGGAGAGCAGCCAGGCCCAACCTTCTGCTCCCCACCCTAGTTGCAGGCTTTAGTTCTCTGCCTCCACCGTGCCCTGTGGGATGCATGTTAGCAGACATAGTTTTGACTGCCTTAATTCCCTGTTTTTCCAGACTCACTAATTATTCTCATTTTCACTCTCACCTATCCATTTTAGGGGTTCTGCAGAGGAATTTTTGTTTGTCTGTTTTCACTAAGCCAAACCTCCTTAGAAATTCTAGAACATCCTTTTACTAATGACACATAAAAGACATAATGTATGATGGCAATAATAATCTAAATCCATTGCCTTGACATACATTAGAAATATGGGAAAAAACAAGTCAGAAGGGGTCTCCTGGGCCACCTAGTCTGACCTCCTGCTCCAGCCAGCTCTGCTCATGTAATCTCCATCCTTACAACATGCTTGCAAAGTAGGCCAGCATGATTTCCCACCACAATGCAGAGAATGGGTTGGCTGAGAGACACAGAACCCAAACCACAGCCCATTAACCCCATGCCACCGTTCAGGGCAGAGACGGAGACAGGAACACAGGACTCCTCATATTCTTCGCAGATACCCAAAAATCATCTCTATCCACCTTTTATCCACCGCCGCTCTTACAAACAATCTAACACACCCACACCTCCCCAAATCAGGATGATCTTCTGCTCTGAGAGCAGGAAATGGCGTCCACGCACTCACATTGGTCATGACGTGTTCCCGCATACGCAACCGCTCCTCTTCCATTTCTAGCATGTCGTCTTCCTCATTCCGAGGGTCGTAGACTTTTTCCAGCTGCAAGGTGGGGCGGGGGGAACAGGGCAAAGACAAGGCTCGAAAAACCTGTTGCTTTTCTCCTGCCTCTAGCACACAGCCATCCCTGCCCCAAGCGAGTTAGATTTCACGCGTCCGCCAACGTTTTTGTTGGAGGGGGGTGTCGGTGGGCACATGTGCCATTTTGTGGACGTGACACAGGGGTGGCTTGCCTAATCACAGAAGGGCTGCCAAAGTGGCTGCCAGCCATCATAAAACACCCAAATCCCCGAAGAGGAACTGGGGAGGTTAGAGAGAAGTGACTTGTCCGAGAGCCTACCTCCTTCGTGAAGAGGGCCTCTAACTCTTGCTCATCTAGAACTCCATCACTGTTGGTGTCTGAAAAAAGAGAAGAGACCATTGACTAATGGGGAGCGCTCCAAACGCACACGATTGTGCAGCCCAGGGCATGCCTCCTCGGAAGAAAGTCCCCGCTGGGTTCAGCAAGGCTGACTCCCAGGTTAAGTGCAGAAAAGGCTTCAGCCCAAGCAACTTAAGCCAGACCTCCCTCTTTTGGTCCCAATCCACAGCTTGGAGAGAACACCGTCATGCAGAGCTGGGAGCCAAACGGTAGGTATAGAACAAGCTTCCCCATCTGATGCCCCTCCAGTAGTGTGGGACGAGAATTCCCATACACCTCCAGACATGCTGTAATCAGGACTGACCTATGGTGTAATCTCAGGGCTTATATTCTGACTCAGCAGAATATCCTAGTACACAGACTGCCGCTGGCTGTATTTAGATAGAGCAATAAACTGCAGAAGTGCTAAGAATTTGGAAATGTGTTGGATCAGACCAAAGACTTTTCTAATCCAGCAATCTGCCCACACGTTGGCCAAAGAAATGTCAGGCATGAGGGAAATAACACTCTGCTACTCATGCTCCCCAGTATCTGATGTGCAAAGGCAGACAGTCTCTGGAATGGGGCGGCATAGAAATGTTTTAATAAATAAATTAAATAAATAAATAATCTACAGCAATCAGGGCTAGTAGCATTATCTTCCATTAATCTGTCTGACAATAATTTAAAGCAATCCAAGTTAGTGGCCATCACTACATCCTGGGGCCAGCTGTTCCACCATGTGACGAGGCAGTGTGTTAAAAAAAAATAAAAATAAAAATCAGGCCTCTTTTTCTCCCTCCTGAATTTCCCACCATTCAGGTTCATGGGATGTGACTGCAGAATCTGCAGTATTATGAGAAAGAGGTATCCTTACCCATAATATTGCATAACTTTAAATGCCTTTGGAAGGATTCCCCTCCTAAACTCACCCCCTTTTTCCAGCTAAAAGAAACAAAAACAAAGATTCAGGGTTTTCCCATCCCTGGTTTGTCAGGAAAAGGACATACCAGGGTCAAGGTTTAGTTTAGCTGCCATCTCCTGGTGAGTTCGGTAAATCAGAGGTGCTCCAACAGTGAGCACAAGAAAGTTGTTCACCAAGAAACTGGAGTTACCCAGCAATTCTGGCTGCTCATTATGTCCAAATACAGCCACTGTGTCAATGCCACAGGCCACAGACATATAAGAGAGAGACATAGGCATATATGGTACTACTTGCATATTATACCAGCAAGAGTACCTGGGGATCCAGGTGCCTTGGGGCACAGGTGAGGAAGCTGCTTCTGATTGGAGCATGTGAATCACCTCCCAGGCCAATCTGGTGGGCTGGCAACATCAAGGGGTGGAGCCCCACCTGGAAGCCTCTCCCCCTCCACTGACACCATCACCCTGCCTGTTTTTCCCTTCTTCATGCAAGGAGAGGCAGGGCGTGGCACACGCCTCCCTGCACAAAGAAAGGGACTTGGCCGAGACTGGGGGCACCGGCCAAGCTGGGCTCCCCCTTCCCAAGTGTGGTGGGCTGAGAAGGGTCAAAGGAACGACAGGAGGTGACAGCAAGGATTCCTCTTCCCAAGCAGCGAGGCGAAAGCACCCGGGGATGGGACGCTCAACAGGTTGGTCAGGGAACTTCTGGGAGGTGCCTTCCCTTTCCTTACCGTGCAACTTGAAGAATGTCTTGGGGTTGAACTCACTGGGGTCCAAGCCATCCGTCTCCTGCCAGACCTCCTTGAGCTGGTCACGGCTGCCCTGCATCGGGGAGGGGAGGGGAGGGGAGGGGAGGGGAGATGTGGTGCCTGTTCAGCAATCCAGACGAGCCAAAAGAACATTCTTCATCTTGGGCACCCCGCCCCCCAAAAAAGGGAGCGATTCCCTCACCGGGACGTTGACCTTGGGATGCTCCTTGTGCTTCTTCTTGAGCTCCTCAAAATGAGCTTCCTCCTCACGACGCTTTTCCTCATCCAGAGATTTCAGGTACTCCCGACGCTCATGCTCCTTCATCATCTCGTAGCGCTTGAACTCCTCATGGTGAGCAGCATCGTAGTTCTCCAGGTCCTTGGTAGCCTGAGGTGCGAAGGAGAACACAGGTGAAGACTATTCATTTGGTGGCTGGGAACCTCCAGTTTGGTAAATAAACTGCTTCTTTCTCACGACAAAGCAGCCTTATTTATTTAGTAAATTTCTAGCCCTCCCCATTAGCCATACAGCTCCCTGGGCGGGTTACAGCAACAAAATAAAATTTAAACATTCAACCTGGCACTCCAGGTGTGCTGGACTACAAACTCCCACAGTGCCTCACCCAGCTGAGTGACAAGAAGGATCCTTTGAGAAAACAAAACATCTGTCAGGGCTGTACCACATCTGACCAGAGGCAGCAATTTGTATGCCTGAACACTCCTGCATAACAGAAAAACCTCCTTGCATCTAGTAAGCCAGCACATCGAGGAGAAGGCTTCTAGCCATGCCATTTCCCTGAATGCTTGTTTTCAGTGTGCAGAGACCGCATAACTTTCAATACCCCCATTCTCACCCTCCTCCCCAGGAACCCCAGAGAGTCCTTTGCTCACAGCCATGTCCTGTCAGTGCTGCTAAGACAGCAGGGCTCTGCTAGGGCAAGCACAGCAACGCGAGACTCCGACTGCTGGCAAAGGAATGCACCAAGAGGCGAGAGGTTCAAGGTTCAAAGCTCAACTTGGTCAGGATGCCGCTAGGCTGATTCGGCAAGCCACACTCTCAGTCTCAGCCGCAAACACTTGTGCCACAGGGAAGCACCAGGACTGCCCTATCTTGCAGGGTCACTGTTGCAACTCTAATAAAATAGAAGTATACGAACACCTCGGAAACAAGAAAGCACAGGGACTGGGGCAAGCCCCTTCCCCACAGCCTTCTCTATTCCTCTGGCAAAGACAGAGGAGCCCAGCCTGCTTCTTAGAACTTGGAGGAGTTGCGGGGTCAGGTCACTTCGGCAGAGATACACCACGCTTTGGAGGAGTTCGCAGACACAACACAACTCTGGCCCACACACAGAGCAGAGAGAGTAGTCCAGTACTGGAAGTCAGCGGGTTGGGGGTGGCTACACCCTGAGAGCATGCACAACAGGCCCTGCGATCCACCACCCCAGAACAGCCTCGATTTGCTATCTGGAAAGAAGCTAGGAAGTAAGATCGGGACCTACCGCTTGAATGAGCAGCTCTAGGTCTCGGGCTTCAAAGGTGTGCTGGTTTTGAGGATCCAGGTGTTCAAACTGCTTCAGCAAAGACAGGTGATCGATCTGCACATCTGGGGGGAAAAGCAGGCAGAAGAGGGAAGGTTTTCTATCTGGCCTAAATTAGAACAGCCCTATTTGGAGGCAGTCTGCCTTGGACTTCCTGGTTCTAGGGAGCAGACCAGGAGACAGGCTCCCTGTGACGAAGCCCATTTCACAGGCACTAAGGCACCAGCTTGCCTGCTGTAAGGAACAGCTCCAGCCTAGGCAAGAGCAACTTTTGGGCTTATGCGGCCAATTCATGGGGCTTTGGCTGAACAAGCGTACCACATAAACGTGGCCAACACATAAATGTCAAATCCAGAATTGAGAATTGTTAAACCACTACAACTGGGTGTGATAACCTATCATAGACAAGAGGCATTGAGAGGTTGTTGGAGCATCAGAATCAGCCCTCAACCCTTTATACAGGAATCCAGGGTTAAACCCAATACTACCAATTCTGCCGGCCACAGCTGCACCAACAGAACCCGAGACCTGTGGGATCCCAGCATTACCAGTTCCCAGACTCTCGAGGGCAGGCGGCCCCACTCTGGTGCCTTCCAGATATCTGGACTTCCGCTCCCATCAGTCCATGCTAGCACAACCAACAACTAAGAACGCTGGGAGGTGTTGTTCAAAACAAAAGGAAACGAGGAAGGCCGATCCACAAGGGGTTGAAAGCCCCCATCCTCAAATCACTCCATCCCCAGCTCACCCTGCTCCATGGTGGCATCCATTTTGGCCTTCAGCAGCATCCGGAGCCGGGACACCTCCTGCCGCTTCAGCTCGTCAAGTTTGGTGCGGATGTGGTGGCTGACAAAGTCCAGCTCTTTGCTGAGCTTTCCGCTCTGAAAGGAGAGAGGGACAGCAGACTAGCTGAAGCACTGTATCCCCACCTCTGCCCCATTGATATCTTCACAATAATTCTGTGAGGTACGTTAGCTGTGATCAGTTCAAGATCATCCAGTAAACGAGGGAGTCCCAACCTTTGTGGGCTATTTGGAACTTGGAATGGGTGTTGTGCGCACTCACAGAATGGCTGCTGCTATGAACACAGCCAGTCACAAGACACTCGCTTCCCAGAATGCAAGCTGGTGAGACTAAAAAGGAACATGCTCAAGAATTTAAGGGCAAGACAGAGGTGGGGTCTGAGCATCAAAACACAAAACCAATCTTCTGAAACCAAATGAAGAGGATGCTGGAAGGCAGGTTTTTGTTCTGCAGTCTCCCACTTAAAAATAACCCACAAAGCCTTAATGAAATTAAAATCAGGGGCAGGGAACCTGACAGGCACCATGAGAGGGGTCTGCAGGAACACCAGGGTCTGCGGCTCCACATTGGATACCTGGGAGTAGGCTTTGGGATTTGAAACTTAGCCTTCGCAGTCGAAATTCAACATGGCAACACTTGTTATTCCGATGTTTCACTTTAAGCAGTAGCATCCCTGACTCGCAGAACAGAAAATTAACATATCGAAGACTGTGTGCAGCCTTCAACACCATAAAAATAGAAATACTGCACCCAGGGAAGCCCCAGTTTTGCTGCCTGCCAAAACTACTTTGCAGGATGTCAGCTGAAAGCAAGAAATCTGCTCTCATTAGCATACAGAGTCCCATTCCAGTCAACATGCATTTCAGCTCACCTTGATGTCCTCTGCATTGGCCGCTTGGAGCTTTTCCCGGAAGTGTCCATCCGTTTCCAAGACGTTGATCACTTCTTGCAGGTAGCGATGATAATACAGGCCTGTGTCCTGCATCAAAGCAACAGCAGAGTCAGATCCGCTGGATGCTAACTGGGGAGCAAGGGTCATGGCTTGGTGCTGAAAAGGCAGAAGGTCTCCAGATTCAGTTCCCTGGAATCTCCACAGAGGGGCAAAGCCTCTGCTTGAGAGCTGGGCCGGTCAGGGTGGAGCAGGACTCGGCACTGATATACTCCTTGCAGAACTGGAAAGCCACCAAGCCCCTGATGTAGATCACTGGCTGAAAAGCCTCTTGGAGCTCATGGCTCACAAACTGTTTACATAAGAAGAGGGAAGATCTATGCCAAAATGACTGGCCAATTTTTTAAGAACTCTGTGTGGACTGAGGAGTAGAAGACCATACTTCTCCTGCTCACAATCCCAGCACTATCAACACTATACTCTCTTTTACTTATTTTTATTTCTTCCCTCCACCAACCACATTCTTTTTTGGTTAAATAGTACTATATTAGGCAACTCAGCATAGCAAGAAACAGATCTCCAGATATTTGGAATTCAGCTCCCAGAAGCCCCTGCCTACAAGGCCAAAGGTCAGGAATGCTGGGTGTCCAAATCCAAAATCCAGGTTTTGCCTACCCCTGATTAGCAGAAGTGAATGTGATAATTGTAAATGGTTTAATATGTAAGGTACTGAACTTAGCACATTTTAGTGACTGGAATGGAAGCCATGGAAAATGGAAGCTTATCGTTGTATCTTGTACTTGTAAACTGTAAAATTGTGACAGAGAGAAGGGAGTTTCTTTTATTGCTAGTAAACTCCAGTCCTCCGTCAACTTCACTGGCTTCCCATTGAAGCCCGGGCCCAATTCAAGGTGTTGATTATGACCTATAAAGTCCTAAACAGCTTGGGTCCTGGCTACCTGAACAAGCGCCTACGTCCGTATATGCCCGACCGCCCTTTGAGATCTGCGGGAGAGTCCCTTCTCCGGGAACCCTCCATGAAAGAAATTAGGAGAGTAAGTACTCGGAGAAGGGCTTTCTCTGTGGTGGCGCCCAACCTATGGAATTCACTCCCCAAAGAGGTCCGCCTGGCACCGTCGTTACTGGTTTTTCGGCGCCAGGTAAAGACCTTTTTATTTAAACATCATTTTAATTGTTAAAACATATGATCTGGCCAGGACTTCTTTTTCCTTCTCTTTTCTCCACCTATATTTTTATTTACTTATAAAATTGAAATTATCAGTATAAAATATTTATAACTCAGTGTATTTTTTGTATTTTTGTATTTAATGGTAATTTATTATGTTCTATTGTATTTCATTGTATTTTATTATGTTGTAAGCCGCCCCGAGGTTTCGGCAAGGGGCGGCATAGAAATGTTATAATAATAATAATAATAATAAAAATCTCATAAACCTTTAACTGAAGACAAAAAACAACATATTGCCTCATCCAGTCTAAGGAATCGTTATCATTGTCATATAGGAACAAGCAGAATATGCAATGACATGTTAAAATGTGGGGTGCTTCTCTTATTTTAAAGCCTGAGAGCCAGTGGCTCTATCCAGACATTCCATTTCTCTCTGATTTTCCCTTTAGCCCTTGGTAGATGCATCAGCCTGAATATCAGGAAAGAAGGGAATTGTATAGCACAATCAACATGGACACCTCTTTGTAAGGGGCAAGTAGCTATACTCTTGCCTCCAAGGGGATTACAATCAAACACTGGAGGGAGAGAGAACAGAGAAAGGGGAGGGAAATAGCAGAACCAATGCATAAAATATAAAGGTCTCCAAAAAGCGAATGTATTTATTCCAAAAACATGCACTTAGGCTCCATTTCAGTTGGGGATGGAGACTCTGCCAAAGGCTTAATTGTGTAGTTTGCATAAACTATGAGAGGCAGCATTATGTTGAGTTAGCATTAAGACAGCAAGGAAGAAAGTGCAAAGAAACAATCGGAGGGCACAACAAAACTTTAGAGACCTGAGAGTAGTTTATTATATGCCTCAGCCTAAAATCAGGTCAGTCAGCATCACTGAATATTATGTTTCCACCAGCCCTGCTAAAACTCAGTTCGCTTTTCCTCTCTTCCCTCTGCACTCTTTTTTCTTTTCTGATGTGACTTTCTAGATTGCAAACCTTCAATCAGGGGTGGTCTTGTTTTCACTAACTCATTCTAAGTCACTTCATGAGCCTTTTTAGTTTAGGAGCAAAATAAAGACATTTGAAGCAAACACATTTTGGAGAAACAGTTTTGTCTGTAAGGTCACCAATTGTGACCAGCTGGACAATTCAGATTTCAGGGTAAGAAGGAACCTTGGTACAGTTTGTGCTTAATGGGGACAGAAAACATAAAAAAAGCCTTCTTGCTCTAGCAACCTCATATTCCAATCAGAGCTCACTTCCCAGAAGAGTTGGACACTTTTAGAGGAAGAGTTATACAAGACAATGGGTGAGGGAGACTTACTGGCTTTATTTTATCCATAAATTAATCCATAAAATTGCATCCATAGTTTTATTCATTATTCATATTGCATGTTTTTAAAATAATTTATGGTCCCTATTTTAAAATAATGCACATTTTATACACATTTTAAGTATTGTTTCAGTGAATTCTTATGCAATAATGCTGCCTTCTGCTATGCCATATGAATTAATAACTTACCGGCTGCTCTGGGGTAGCCTCTGCTTCTTGTTTCTCCTTGGGTTTTTCCTTGATGGGCACACAGTTTACCAACCCTAAAAGGGCAGCGCCCACAACCCACATCAAATGCATTGCCTTGTTTGCCTGCTGCCTGCAAAAAGATTAACAGTGTAAAGGATGATGAGGGAAACAATTACTGCCGTTCCTGCTTGGAGCAGACTTTTGTTTAAAAGTGACTGCAGCGCAGGAGAGACGTAGCCAAGCAGGAGGGGAAAGTCCAAAGAGCAGAACACAAGTAAAGCGCCAGAGAGGAGACAATCCTACAAAAACTAGGACCCACGACACAAGGCTCAGATGAGAAATGAAGTGAAAGTATTCCCCTGTCACAATAAAAAATATAGGAAAAAGAGTACTTTCTACACATATGCACACAAAAAGATGACACCAAAAGTGACACAACAAGCAGTTTCTTCAACATTGAGGCTGGCTGGGGTCAACGTGAGCAATGTGTTGCCGGTGCCAAGGACTAGCACATCGCTAGTCAAAAGAGGCATTTGAGTACATACATCCTGTTCCACTCCCTGCTGGGCAACCCAGTACACTCCGGATTTTTAAGAGCACAGCTCCCACCAGCCCCAGACCGCATGGTTAGTTCTGAGGGCGGCCATCCAAAACACCTGGAGGGCGGCAGGTCACCTAACCGAGTCCAAAACTCATCAGAGAAAAGATCTAAGTCTGGGAAAGGGCCATCATGTAGCTATCATCCTTCGCAAAACCTGCTAGAATTTATTGGAAACACTGATCCCCAAGAATCAGGAAAATATGGCGAAGGGTCTAGCTCGCTGGAGAGCAAAATGCTCTCTACATAAACTCAGAGGCACCCTTTTCATCTCCTCAATGAATCCATTTTCCATCATTACTGCGCTAAAAACCCAAATGTTTTAAACGGGCTTAAGTTTAGGGTTAACCTAACACTGGAACACAGACTACAGGACTCAGCCCTAAGCCTGAAGCAAAAACTCCGGAACTGACCCACCTCTGTCCAACGCTGCCCGAACGTTCTACCACCTCCGCAGATCCGCTTCCTCAAGCCCTCGGCAAGCCCCGCCCTCTTGATCTGCATACGGGACCACGCCCCTTTCTTCACGCCAGCTTCGGCTTGTCACATCCGGCGCTCCATTTACGTCATGCCCGGATTCTCGACTTTTTGCATATGCAGCCACACCCCCTCTGGTTCTTCCATTTCCTATCTGCGGGCTGAGCCTGGTTTCTTTTTCCACGGGGAACATTTCCTTTGCCTCGTTTATTTCCTATAGAAAACAGGAGAAGAAAAGGGAGGGGGGCATGTAGGGGATGACATTAGGGGTTACTATTTGGCAGGAATTGCTGCCAGCCTTATTTGGAATGCACAAATCAACCGTGATCAGGTGTGAAATAGTAAGGCGAAAATGCTTTTGAGCATGAGCATAGTACATTTTTAAAAATCTTAGCGAACTTATTTATTCAAAGTATAGAAATATTTCGTAGGCTTTTTTCCGCAATGGCTTCGATTACAATGAATTTGTTGGCCCTTTAAGATAACCACAAAAGCCACTTGCAACGGGCTGCTCTTCTTGCTAGGTGCGGTCAAGGTCGTCTCTGACTTACGGCAATCTTATAAATGAGTGATCTTCAACCTTGAGCGTCCCGCGCAGCGCTTGTAAACGCAAGGCTTTCCCTTCAGGAATCGATCCATCTCATACTGGCATTTGGTCTTCCTCTTCGGCCTTCGATTTTCCCTAGCGTTATTGCCTTCTCTCTCCCTAAGCAAATCGTATGAGTGCGTCTTTTGTTCTTTCTGTTTGCCGACCAAGGAGCCATGCTTTGCTGTACAACAGCATGCCAGACAGGAACACGTTGCTCTGCGTGGAACAGGAAGAAATCTTTGCAAAACCAGTGACAGTAAGGGGCTGGAATTTGATAAGGGGCTGTAGTTCAGGATTATAAACATGATGGAAATATTTCAGATGATGGAAATATTTCAAATATTTCAAACTTCATTTAAGAGAATAAGAACCAATTATGGGTTTATCTGTTCAAGGGTGTAATCCTATGTACATTTAGACAGTGCCCAGCATTCCCTACTAGCTACACTAGCTGAGATATGTGGAGAATTTAGGCACCTACAATGACACCTCCCACATACACACAGCTTTGTTTTTTGTCATAAAGACCATGCAGTCTCTTCTGTGCTCAACAAAACAATATAAAATCTGACTTGACTTTGCTGGGAACATATAAGCAGTGCTGAATCAGACCAAAGGCCTGCAGCCTGGCGTGGCCAACTGGAGACCCACAAGCTCTCAAGTAGCACTCTTCCGGCTTGTCCTTTGTAGGAACAGGTCTTACCAGTGGCTTGTAGTCTCTCTTCTTGAAGACAGCAAATAGCCACCAGGACTAGCTGATAACTTCATCCTGAAGGTAAGCAGCTTTTAGGGCCCCTCTGGTTCTTCCTTCCCGTTTCTTCAACTTTAAGGCTGCAGTACAATGCAGATTTAGTCTCCTGTGCTGACTGGGGACTGCTGGAAGTTGCAGGACTTTCTCTGTCTATTCATGCATAGATTTGTGCCCTAAATCAGGCTTGGACCTGATGCAGAGGCACCTTACCACTCCAGATTAGTACCAGGACCAACCTTACAAAATCCTTTCATTCAGACATCTCTTAATTTTCTCCAAGCTTTTTTTTCAGCAGCCTAATGTAAGGGTGGTGGTGGTGGTGGTGATTCATTTATTTAAATGTAGTGCTATTGTGGGACAAATTAAGAATCTCCCAATCACTCAGATACCTACCAGGAGATCCAAATCTACGTTCTGCCCATCCTGGCACACACAATTCACTTGCCAGAGCAAATGTAGCAGCCTGCCAGCCAGGTGAGGCGGTTCGGCTGAGGGCTGTTCCAAAGACGCTTTGCTGCCTGAAGTGGACAAGAGATGCCTGCAGTTCCCCATCCATGCATGTACAGAAGTTGGCTAGACTGGCCATCGAATCCTACACTGACAATGGGATGGTCCTCCATCTGGAAGGCATCCACCCTTCTGAAGAGGCTCAGCCAGGCTGTGTGAGGCTTACAGAGTCACAGGGACTAGGCAAAGTATCCAGGAGAAACAGCTGGGAGACTCCCCCCTCCCCCCATTTCTGCTCCCCAGCATCTGCAGCATGAAGTGATTGCCTCACTCCAGGCCTGGCCCTGTCATTAGGCCAGACTTACCCAATCTGGCATTTTCCAGATGTGTTGGACGCCAACTCCAGTAATCCCCCAACCAGGACCATACCTAGACACTTGAAAGATTAAGGACCTAGCTTCTGTTCATGATTATTGATGGGAATTTTTAAAAGCTAAACTGGATTTTGGGGGGTGGGGGGATTACAGTGCACTGGGAAGGAACGGTAATTGGGTTCCCTCTGGAAATCCATCCCTCTGAATTGCAGCTAAACTTAAAAAACTACCATTAGCAGTTGTGAAAAAAATTCCTAAATTTAAGTACCCTGCTAGAGTGTGTGTTTGTGGCAGGGGAGAGATGTTGCAACATATGGAAAAGAGGGCAGGGAGAGTTCCCACCCCAGGCTTCATCTTCCTTGAAAATACCTTCTGCATGGTAACGAAGCTGAGAAGAAAACCATGCATTGGTACTAATGGACACTAAGGCCTCTGCAGAATAGATCCAAGGCTTGGGAAATACATTTGGGACCTGAGGGCCCATGGGCCAGGCTGAGCAACACCACCTGCAAACATTTCTGGAGTGCATCAGGCGGAGGCTCAGGTGACAAAGAGCAACAGCGAGGGGTTAGAAGGGGTTGCCCCCCCATCTCACACAGGTCCATGTTGGATCAGTGGGTTGTACACTGCGCAGCTGCAGGCCATTGTGTTAGTAGGAATACAGAACTCTTAAATGTAGGGGATGCGGAACATGCGGTCCTTCAAACGTTGTTTGACTGCAGTTCCCATCAGCCCTGGCCAGCATAGCCAATAGTAAGGGATGATGTGATTTGCTGTCCAATGGTAAGAGGCCCAGATGCCCCCTCTACCCTGGTGTTAAAAGGACAGAAGTATATATAGTTTTGTGAGCCATGTGTATTTTGAAAAACAGGACAAAAACACAAACAAACACAGTCATACGCACCTTTTGACGGAAAGCAAATCTGGAGCAGAATGAGGAGGACAAAATGAGTTCTGGAGCAGGATCAGAAGGACAAAAAAATAAGCAATCAGGAAAATAGTGAGAACTTGAGAAAAATAGTACAGCTGGAGGATACCATTGTTTTTAAGGCAGAACTGTTACCTTCCCTATATTTATTTTGGTTGGTCACTCATATATTTCTTATGGATTGAGTGTTGTTATTATCATCATCCCACCTTTTTGAGTGTCAGGACCAAACGAGTGAATGCTCTGCCATCATGTGGCTGCTAAATTGCTGACACAGGAGACTTAAGGTGGGATTTCTGATCTGATCAGGAATCCATGTTGCAAGTCTTGCTCCCCACCTACACCTTTGATATGCTGCTGTGCGCCTGTCGAAGTGGGGACTAGAACCTGAATCTCCCGAGTCCCAGTCCAACACTCTTAACCGCTACACACACTGGCTCTGTAGTACATACACTTAACAGAACAAACAAAGAGTAAAGGATAAGTGCAGTAAACTAGGAAATGCATAGGTAAAACTGGAATCCATTCTCCACATAATCAGAGCCCCTGAGGCATGTCCCTTAAGGCATGCTAGAACCAGCCAAGGCTTGGCCAAGTTGGACACCATAGAAGAATAGTGAATTCCATTGTCTATACATTCTGGAATTCTTCCTTCCAGAATGAAATGCCTTTTTAATCTTTTGTGGTCTGGCACTGCCACGGTTACCCATTGTCCAATCAGAAAACAGTAACCTGCTTGGCAACCCTTGCCTTGAATGTTCAAGGAACTAGTATTAAAAGTACCTGCAGCAAGACGTAGGAGGAAAAATATTTGGGCAAGAAAGAAAGAAAGAAAGAAAGGAGAAGATTCAGTATTAAAGTTGAGAGTTTTCAACTCTGTGTGATTGACTAAGCTCAGTTCCCAAAGGGGGATTTGTTATTTACCAGCAGTAATGCTGTTGAAGAGTTTGTCGTATTTTTGCAAGGTCTGAAAGAGCTCTTTTGCACAATAGGGGCTCATCCATATACCAGCATAGGATTTCTCGGATTCCTACAGCGGGTAAAAAAAATAACTTGGACATGCTCCATTGGAATGATGGCATTAGCATGACAACAAGATTGAAATCACCAGAAGAGGTAAGAGACTTGATGGCTGAGTGGGAAAAACACGCACAGGGCAGTGGTGAGTTCATTTCGGATTGGTAGAATGTATGTGTGAGAAATTCCAGTGTGGGATTTGCTCTGAGAAAGTGGATGGAGAACCTGAAGTTGCCCTCTTTCGTGTCCCAAAAGGACTTGTTTTACATTACAATTCATTTAACGTGACAGAATTCACTAGTGCAAGATCCATGTGGTGGTAACCAACTGCTGACGTGTTTTGAAAAGTGTTAAATCACATGAGCACAACTAATGCCCACACGTGGCTCTCAGGTGTGGCCCACACTACCCAGAGATCAGAAATAGGGTCTGGGTTTTCCTTGCTAGTGCTAGCTAGGCAAAGCTTGAGGTTAGATAAACTTGTGAGAAATACGCTGATTGACAGCTATGAGCCGCAAAAGCTGTGAAATGCCTACGTTTAGAGACAGCATACCTCTGAGTATCAGATGCTGAGGATCAATAACTGAAGAAGACAATCACCTTTTGTTCATTGTTCTTTGGTGGTACTCTGTCTGCCCCAGGGACTTGGGACAAAAGGCCTTTTAGCCTGATTCAGCAGGGCAGTTCTTTTTTAAAATATTTTCTTAACATATACAAATACATAGAGAATGTAGAATAGAAAAAAACTAGTTTAAGCAGAACAAACTAAAGTGAACAAATAGACAAAATAAACAAAATTGCCAAAGGGATTTTAAACAAATACAGCCTATGTATTACAACCCCCAAAACTGACTGTTTCTGTCTTCCCACACTCTGAGTTTACAGAAAAGAAATTATTATTCTATACATCAACAGATTTTCTAATCAGTTCAAATTCTACTGCTTTCCTTTTTCTTTTCCAAACTCCCCTGAACATCCATTAATCATGCTAAGCACAATAATGTTTCCATTCGTCATTAAATTCTTCTAACGGTTTTCTATTTACACAGTTAGCTTTGCCATCACTGCATATTCTGCTAATCTATTTCCCCATTCTTCAATGGCTGGGTGCTCCAGTGATTTCCATTTAGAAGCTATTGTGATTCTTGCTGCTGTAATAACTCTGACATGTTTTTCAAAATGGTCTCTCGGACAATATTCAAAAGCATGTTCTTGGGACTCATAGGAAATTTAATTTTAAAGGTTTTCTGCATCTCTGCATGTATCACTTTCCAAAATTTTTGTGTTATTTCTAATGTCCACCACATATAACAGAAAGTCCTGTCCACCCTGTCACATTTCCAACATTTTCCATTATAATTCTTATCTATTTTTCCAATGTCTTTTGGAGTAATATACCAATAAAACATACCAATTTTCTCTTAATGCTTGACTAGCGGTAAATTTAATATCTTTCTTCCAAAGAGCTTCCCATTGACCTGCTGATACCTCTTCATAAAGATTCTGTTCCCAGATTGTCATATGTCTCTTATCTTGATGGCTTTTAGTATCATAGTGTAATAACAATTTATAAAGACTTCCCAATAGACTTATCTTTGCATTATGTTTTATAGATGTACATAATATAATTCATACATCCACTAGTGATGCTTCCATATATGCTGCATCTATTCACATATTTTCTTCGGCACACAAACTTTTCATATAGACATTGTTCACCTGCTCACCTTAGAACACAAATAGAATTTCTCTCACCTGTGCTCAGGCAGCTTTTGACCCATGCACACATTTACCCAAACAGAGAAAGTCAGTTGTATGCTTCCACTAACAACTCTGCATCCATGTGTTTTTTGGAAGATTATTTTCCACACTCATTCCATTTGGACCTACGGTGGATTTGCACCTACATGCAATGCCAACCGTCTGTATGCATGGAGACATTTGCAGATCTAATCATACACGTATCAGTTGCTTGCCGGTATGCACATTCCCTCCATGCTGCAAAAAACTGGCGCCCCGCAGCCAAGCCAGTAGGTGGTCACAGCAGAGCTCATAGGTGATCATGCTCTAAAAGCACCATAAGGTGTGTGCCTTTCAAGGCGGCCCCAGGTCCTGGAGACTTAAGACCGGCAAAGCTGATTAGGCGGGAGAGAATGCACTGCTGGATTGTCGGGGGAGGAGAAACCACTCAACTGTCCCGTCCCCCCGCCCCCGCCAGCTGCAATTTGGAGGCAGCGTCAGAACCGGGGGCAGAGGGAGAGGGGGCAGGAGCGAACCTTAGCCCGGCGGATCCGAGACCCGAGTAGCTGGGGGCACTCCTGGGGCCCCTGGGAAGAGGGTGAGTAAGACGGGGACCACAATTCTTGGGCTGCTCAGCGTGCAGGATTGCAGTGATTGAACGGTGGCTGACTGTCTTAGGGCTGCCCAACGAAAGCGGGGACAGAAATATTCCAAACAATTTTTGTTGATGAGTGAGTGTCCAAAGCGACCAGGAATGGAATCCAGTAACTTGTGACAGCGGCAAAGAAGAATCGGAGCAACCCAGCTTCTTCGGAAAGTGAGTTGAATCCCACCATTTAAAACAGAAAGGTTCGCGAGAAGACAACTGCGTTGCATGCAAGAGCAAAGGAAAGCAGATTGTTTAATTTAAAAGTGGTATTATGACCCCAATATCCACTTCCTTTCCTTTTCTGCTTGCCAGATGCAGTTGGATCCTGCTCCAGTGCAACTATCTCCAAGACTGAAAATGTAAGCTATGAGACTATTACGGGGATGCGGGGTGGGGGTGGGGGTGGCTTGGCTCTTATTCGCCTTAATCCCTAAGGAGGCTAATTTTGTCCCATCCATCTCAGAATAATGACAGCAGATGCCTGAGACAGGCAGGCTTGCTGTTGCTTCATGTTTTAATCCACCCTTTTAGCTTCTCTCCTGAGGTAGTTTTTGTTTAGTAACTCTGCAGTCGGAAGACGTGTCCCTTTACAGCAGACTCAATCCATTTCAAGGCCTGTTTTAGTTTTTGAAAGCACACTGGGAAGAAAAGTAGAGGCGGTAACACCACACCCTCTCCTTCTCAGTGGGCCAGTTTGCACAACAGGGCCATTCATTTTTGGTGATTTAACCCATGACGAACTGTGACATAGTCTCCATTTCGAATCCCCCCCACCCCCCCCACCCCCCGTTGCCATCTGTGTCGTGAACTCCACCACTGTGAGTTATTTGAAAGTTGAAGGCCCTCACAAATAACTAAGGTTATTTAACCCTCAAATAACTCACAATGATCAGTTCACATGACATGCTGCCATTGCATCTGGATTGGAGGAGGCCTATTCAAAACAGAGGTCACACACGCTGAGGTGGCTTGCGGATTAATTAACCCACAGTAAGCCACTGTGTTGTCTGAACCAGGTCAACAGGTACAGGAGAGATTCTGCTGCAAGGCTGTGTTAAGAGCCCTGTGAAAGAACCCTCTTCAGTAATCTTTTACTTGCAATCAGCTTGTGGAGTCTGAATCACTAGTGGCCATGCTGGCTGGGAATAATGGGAGCTGTACTCCAACACATTTGGAGGGCCCCAGGTTGGAGAAGGCTGCCTTAAGACATAGAATGTGCAAAATGTACATTGCCGCGTACCTCCATAGATTAGATATTGGCTGCTGGTACCTCCAGGCTGTGTGGTCAACTCTTCAGGCTGTGGCTTTCCAGTGTCTCAGGAAGTTCTAGTTTAGGAGCACAACGCATGGGGAATCCTCAAGTTCTGTGGGGCGGGGGGCACATTTGGGATTGTCAGAGTTGCGGATGGCCTCAGAAAAAGGCTGCAGTTGGAGGGAGTGGCTTGCCCTGTCACAAAAGGACTGCTATGGCACAAGGTGCCATTTCCCAGAAGGTATACTGGGGAGGTTAAAAGGGAAGTGGCTTGCCCAGGAGCCAAAATACTTGGACAGAGGTGGGGACTCAGGTTCTGAAGCACAAACCCACCGTTTTCGAGTACAGCACTGTTTCACAGAAGACAAATCAGTGATGTTCCTAGAAATATCCAGCACAAGCAAAACGCTTTCCCTCTCCCCTGCTGCAAATGTCACTCTCTGCCATGCAACAGCTTGCCTTTTGCCTTTTTGAGGAGAATTGTTCAAAATGGGCTGCAGCCACCCAACAGCTGAGTTTTCTAAGACTGTTTCAGGGCCAAAAGGAGGCCCAGAGGTATTCTTGAAAAGAAAGACAGTGTGGAGACCAGCACAACATAACACCCTCCTTTTTGTTGTTGTTGTTGTTATCAGGAGGGACAGTTGGGCAGGTACCAAGATGGTTTAACTGCAGGTGTCAGAGATCAAACTGGGACCTTCTGCAAACTGGGACCTTCAGAGGCATAACAGATGGAACTTGAGTGTCAGGATTGTACAGGCCTAGGCCCAAATACTCCACGACCTTCCTAGATGGGGGGCAAAACCAGTAGTCCTCCTTGCCCCCTGCCGCAAAGCATCAGTACACCATTGGGTCCCCTCGCATCACAACCAGAATTCTTGCTTGCCATCTGGCTACAGACTTGTAGACCACTTTCTCTTGCCCTAAGCGACATTGAACTGGTTCATGAAAGAAATGGTGCTGATGGAAACCAGCCTTCCCCAACCTGCTGCTCCCCCAATTCCCAGCATCCCCCACCAGCAAAGCCCATCATTCCATTTAGATAATGAGAGATGCAGCCTCGAGAATGCCAGGCTGGGGCTGATATAAGCAATAGGGATATAGCTTCAAAAAATCTGTATGATTTTCTTTGAAAAGCAGGGGTCCTGAAGGAAGACAAGGTGGCAGGCAGAATCTGAGCAGGCAGTCATGAGGCCAGCTGGAGACAGGGGCTTTAGGGAGCAGAATTTTGGCAGTTAATGGCAGCAGAGCACAAGACAGACGTGACTCAAGGGGCACAATCCACCAGGATGTTATGCTGGGATGGAATGCCACAACAAAAGCCACAAACGTATTCTCTGCTGAACCTCGACTGCTGATTCAGGCTCCACACAGGTGTTGGAAACAATAGTTTCTTACAGGGTTCTTAACCCTGGCCTGCAACAGTATTTTACATGAAAGAATTAAGAGTGAAGATCAGGGGAAGGTAAACTGGGCTTTACTCAGGAAAGGGCAAATGATGGTCCCTCCAGATACGTTGGTGTACGATTCTCATGGTCTCTTGCCATTGACTCATCTGGCTGGTGTTGATGAGGCTGTGTCTAAAAAACTGCGATCAGCTGACACTGATCTCCAGGGTCACCAATTGCCCGCTCCTGAAAGAATCCGGCCAGGAGCCTTGAAAACACCCCGTGTAGCATCAGAATCAACAGGGCTCATCAGACAATCAAATGGAGCCTAGAGGAGACAGGAGACCAGAAGTGCAGGCAAAGAGCGCAGAGAAGCGCTCTATTTGCAAGGTAGAAGCGGGTTCTGGAGAGTTAACAGTGAGAGTTACACTTTGAGACTGCTACAGGATGTGCTCAAGAAGTGCGGCCTAACATGGAAACAGAGCCAGGGGTGTAGAGGGAGAGAGATTGTGGGCAGCTGCAGTTCCTTTCTCTGTGCCATTTGTACTGATTTTGCTAATCTCCTGGTCTAACATTTGGGTGCTCAAGGATTTGTGCTCCTCCTGCGTGGCTTGTAGGATCACAGAACATCTTGCATTGAAAACTGAAGTGTCCTTGGTACTCATGTCAATGCACATTTAGGGGCTGAGTTAGCATTTCGAAAAGCTCCCTGGTTTTGGTGGTCTCATCCACACCTGTCCTGTTTTATTGCAGTCCCATGGAATCTGCAGGACAAAGCCCTTCACCCACTTCTGGAAGGTAAGGCAACGAAGGTACAACAGGAATACATGCTTTAGACGGCCTCTCTCTGTCAGCCTCTCTACCTAGCCAGTGAGTTGGTCTCTACCACTGGTATAGCACAGTGTTTAAGAGAAAAAGGCTAGGCCTGCACATGCAGCATTAAGTTGATTAAAATGCATTCTGCTTTCTTAAAAAATGTATTTTAAGATGGGATACACTGATAACATACAACCAGAACTAAGATCAAGTTAGGGCTGCAATTATCATTAATTAGTTAGACTAAGTACATCACAAGAGCCCTGCGGGATCAGAACCAACAATCTGTCTCGTCTGGCATTCTGTTCACGCTGCCCTATTAGTCGGGAATATCTTTAAACATTTTTTAAATTAAGGAACAGATTTTTAAAACATATAAAATATTTAAGCAGTTAACCTCATTGGCTTTGAGAAGGGATTAGAAAAACTCATGAAGAAGAAGCTAACAGTGGTTAGAAGTCATGATGGCTAATTAGTTCCTGTACTGGAAACAGTATTCCTCTGAATACTAGTTTACTTGTTAACATTAATGTATTCATATTTATTATTTCATAAATATTTCATAATAAATACCTCAGTTGGCTTGGAATTCACAGTGGGCTTATTTAGTTATTTTAGCTTGCTTTGCTGATGTTATCCGGGAGACTTGTTATTTAAACATTTATTTGTCTTAAGCTAACGGAACACAAAATAAATATTTAGAAAACTCACTTTTATTAGTGTAAAATGAGGAGGTTTTTCTACCCTGTGTTCTAAGACGCATCTAGAATTTGCCTATTTACAAATCACCCAGAACACCCCTCTTTTGTGACATAGAGTGTAACTTGTGGTGAGAGCTTCCACTTGTGTTAGTGGCTTCCATTTCCATTTCCATTTCCCCAGCTTCCTCCTTTGTTCTGCTTGTGGCACATTGCTCTAGTCTGGGGTACAGCAGAGGATCGCTGTGGCTTTCCATCTTCAGTCCAGGTCCTCACCTTCCTGAGGTGGCCTTCCATCTGGCAATGCAGCACAGCTTGCGAGCTACAATCATTTCTGAATGTGTAGCTATACATGTATATTGCTATATGCAAGTTTCAAACATATCTGAGTCCTGTTTTATTGTGGGGAGTGGGTGATGATGCAAAGCCGGTCCAGCTAGGCTTGATGAAAATTGTCCCCCAAAACATCTGGAGGGCTGCTGGTTGCTCCCTCCAGTTTGAGAGGATTGCTCTTGCTTAAAGAGGAACCCCTTACCCTGTTACTGCCTCACTTTGAACCCCTCTTTAAGTCCGTGTGAACAGTGCAGGAGCTTAAGAGCACCAATAGCTTTAAGAAATAGATGTGCTAAACTGAAGTCATGACCTCTATGGGGAAGGCTTTGGGACTGAGCCATCTTCCCCAACCTAGTGCCCTCCAGAGGAGTTGAAATGCAGTTCCCATAACTCCTTGTCAATATGGCTATGCTTGCTGGGAGTTTTGGAAGCTGCAGTCCAACAGCTCTGCAGAGCCAGAAGTTGGGGTAGGCTGGGATTGCGGGATTCCTGTGGACAAGTCACTTTTCCACCTCACGTGTGGCTACCCCTTGAGGCTTTTGTGAGGTCACAAAGCCCCTTCGGCGCCATGGCATTCAGAATCCCCAGGAAGCAGCATATCTGGGGATTGGGCCTCCAAGCAGGTGGGGCTGCCCCGGAGCTGGCAGAGTGATGCCACATCGCAGAATGTACTGGAATTTGTACCGTCGACTCCGTTCCCTCACCAGTTCACCTCCTGATGTTGGCATCTCTTTTAATTCTAGCAACACCAGTGATGAAGCTGCAATCATCCGGAAGCAAAAATTGGAATTCCAGGTACCCTGGGCAGGGAAGGGCTTAATGGAGCAGATTTCCTGAGGGCAGAGAGACGTGGGAAGGGACTCATCCTGCACTGAGGACCACTGTGAGGTGCCTCTTGAGCCACGGGGCAGCACAGACTCGGTGTGTTTACATTCACAGTTGATGGTGCTTGTACAAAATGGCCTTGAACGCAGGAGGACAGCCTGTCCTCTAGTTCATATGCCCCCTTCCCCAGTGCAGCTTCCACCACCCTTTTTTTTCTTAAAGGAAAGATGGTAGGGAGAAGAAAATTGCAATTTGCTGCCAGAATTCGTTAACAAAGAGCTATAGGCTCAGAATGGAAAATTCAGCTTGTTTCATGGAACCATCTCCCTGTGGAGACCGGCCCGGCACCAACATCATTAACTCTTCTGTATGAGGTTAAGATGGTCCTCTTTGCTGACGCGTTTGCATCTCCAAAAAGCACATGAAACAGCGGGGGAAGGTGCGGCCGGCAGCTTTTCCACAGACCTGGCAATATGAACTGGTTTTTAGCTCTTTAGTTGTAAAAAGGTAGTTTTAATTTTTTAAATATTATTTTATGATATTTTGTTGTTGTTTTATTCTATATTGCATTTTATCGTATTAATCCTTGTTGTTCACTGCCCAGACAGCTTCGGCCATTGGGCAGTATAGAAAATAAGTATGTAATAAATATTAATTCCCCTCCCACCCTGCCGCTTCCTTAGTTGTGGTAGGGCAGCAGCAGCAAGGGAAGTGTGGCCTGCAGTGAGTCTGGGGGAGGAACTGGCCTCTTGGCTTCCCAATTTGCCCACCCCGACCTCCATTCAAGCTCTGTCTGAAACTCAAATGGGCCTGGCTATAGGGTCTTGCATCTATTAGGCAAAATCCGTCTGTCGGAACTCTTAATGGGTGAGCAGCTGAGAAGATGGAAGTGGCAGACCAACTCCCACCTGGGAGTTATCAGCCAGCATCTTCACTCATACCCAGGCTGATATCAGGCTGGCATGGCTGGGCATCTGCCAAGGGAGCACAGCCTCAGAAGGACCCACCCCGATCCTGCTAACCCTGCAGATGGCTGCACTCTGGAATGGGACCTGGAATGGCTCCGCACCAGGTGCCCACCTTTATTTATTTATTTTATTTTATTTTTTCAATTTATATCCTGTCTTTTTCCTACAAAGGGCTCAAAGCAGCTTACATCATTCTCCTCCTCCATCTTATCCCCACAACAACAACCCTGTGAGGTAGGCTGGGCTGAGAGTCTGTGACTGGCCCAAAGTCACCCAGTTGGCTCCATGGCCGAGCGGGGACTAGAACCCAGGTCGTCTGAGTCTCAGTCCCACGCTCTTAACCACTACACCACACTGGCTCTCCCCCAACCAGACATTAACTTTGGGCATATCATCATCATCACCTTCTTCATCATCATCCATTTCTATACTGTCCTTAGTCAAAGCTCTCTGGGCAGTTCACAACACTTTAAGTCACCCATCCAGATTTCAGCCAGGCCCGACTCTGCAAGATTAGAGCATTTCAGGTCATCCAGTGTGGCAGACAGAGCTCAAACTGGTGCAGAGCTCAGTTTCCATTCAGACATGATGCTGGGGAAGCATGTCAGGCAAGAGCATCTAGTAGGAGTTGGCGACTTGTGGCCCTCCAGATGTGTTGTCCTACAACTCTCATCAGTTAGGATAGCCGATTATGAGGGTAAAGGGAGGCTTAGGCCAAAGCATCAGGATGGTCCTTGCGCATAGGATTGCTATAAGAAATATTTCAATAACCAGCTGGAAGGAATGATTCCCCGCTCCACGAGGGACCTGCATTTCAAAATGGGTAAGATTTAGGGTCACGCAAGCCGGCCTGGGGATGCCCAATGGTCATTGGAAAGCAGGGCGCGCATGCTAGCAATAAGGAATGCACAAACCCAAGCATGCGCGCGGCACCCTCCCTCTCAGCCCTCCTTTCTTTCCTGTCCACCTGTCTGCACATCCTCCAGCGCCGCATCATTGAGAAGAAGCAGCGCCGCAAGAGGCAGGAGCTGCTTATGGTTCAGGCCAACACAGATGCCAAGGTGAAGGGGCGGCACGGGAGGCACAAGCCCGAGGAACGCATCCCGCTCATGGAATCCTGCAGCGAACACAGCCTCTGCAACAGTGAGTGTCTTCGGCGAGGTCTAGTACAGGAGTGCAGAACTGCAGGCTTGAGGCCGGATTTGGCCTTTTAGGGACTCCAGAATCCCTAAATTTTAGGCTCCCCTAAAGGCCACACACCCTTCCCGTGTAAGTTGATGGTTTCTCAGCTTTTGCACATATTTCATCCCATTCTAAGAGGTAAAATAGCTTTCTTAAGGCTTAGTTATGGGCAGAGAAGGCCTTTAAGCTAATCTAGGCTGCCAATGTTGGCTTCACTCTCTTCAGTTTACTTGCTACTGGTATGTGGCCCCTGGGAGCTACTCCAAACTATTATTTGGCCCTCAGACTGGAAGAGGCTCTGCACTTTGGTCTTATAACTTCCCACTCTTGCATGCAATTCTACGCTAGTTTGGACAGAAAAAAGCCTTCACATTCCGGCATGCTCATATTGGCATAGCTGGTTGTAGGTCTTTTGTCTGTCTTTTAAACTTGCATAGGATTGCACCGTTAGCAACTCTTGTTTTTTGGGCAGGTCTTGGAGAATACAAGATGAATCTCATTCAATGGAGAAGCATCCCCTTCTTTCATTCAACTTCACCCTGAGACAATTGGCTAGTTCAAATTAGCATGCACTTAGATTAATTACCAGAAAACGGCAACAACCTATTTCTTTTTGCCACTGAGCGAGGCAGTAACCACAAGAAGATCCACATTTCTTGGTGCTGCCACCTGATTATTTTGTATCTCCTTCCATTTTGTATCTTCTTCTGAGCAAATGTCTCAAGTTAATACATTCCAAAAAAAATGGGTTGGAAGAGAAAGCATGTTTAGCACTCTTGGCAAAGCCAAATGTTTAGCATAGCTTATGAATGTCTAGGATAAACAGGGCAAAGGAAAACATTGGCAGTAGAGAATAATAAACCTGGTTGGAGAAATATGTACTGTAAATCAGCAATCCTTGCCCAGACTAGCTGAGTCTGGAATTGTCATCATTTGCATGTCCTGTTTTTTCCAAGAATTCAGACAATATAATTGCTCATCTGTTGTTTTCCAGGTTCCCCTCCTCTCTTTTTTCAGCCCTGATTTGTGACCATTTTTAAAGTCTTAATAGGCAATTGCAATACCAGCCTTCCAGCAAAATACTATTGAGGTGTTTCAGCATCTCCCTGCCGTGTATTTTGTGATTTGGAATTAAGCAACAGTTGCAGGAGAAAAACAGCACCTTTGTGAAACAGGACTTACTTTTAAGCAACCATATGGTGGCACTTGGCTTATGGCTGTATTTGTAGCAGAAGCTGATGTACCAAGTGCCACAAGGAACCACCAATTAAACCTGCTTCTAGATGAGTGCTGAAAAGCATTGACATCTTTAGTGGGGCTCCTCAGTCATTGCAGCTTTTATTCTGAGCTGTAATAAGAGCTATTCATAGTGCTGGACTCCTTCCCCAAATTAGGTTCATTACCATGGAAGGCTCCCACAGAGCTCAGAGTAAATTCTGCAGTGGATAAGGAACACTCCTGAGGTAGAAGTCAGCAGCCTCCATGGCCATTGCAGTGCTAAACGGCCCACTGCAGATGCAGCCAGATTGCCAGTGAGAAAGTGGCTGAAGTTTTGGCAGTTCCTTCTCCTCCTGCCTTTTCTGATGGGCTACTGTTTTAGGCCGCTTGACATCTGATCAAGGACACCACCTCAAGCCAAGGTCAAACTCTTTCCATCAAGTTCCTTCGTGGGTGATCCCTGCCTGAAAAATGGGAAGCTGCCTTATATCAAGTCAGATGTTAGTCTCTCTGGCCCAGTAATGTTGCCACGGACTGGCAGCAGCTGTCCAGGATTTCAGGAAGGAGCGATTTGAAGATGCTGGGACTGAACTTGGGACCTCTGCATGCAAAGCGGGGCCTGTACCACTGAACCAGCACAGCCCCTCCAGGAGTGAAATCTAGATGGTCACCTGGAAGTCTGAGGAGGTGGTCCCCTTCTAGGTTTTGGGAGACAGGTAGTTCCCTGTGCATAAGGGTCCTATCCATGACAGTGGCATAGTGGGAAGTGTTCAGACCACACAGCTAGTCCCGTGTGAACCTGTGCATTGCAGCAACCATGCAGTGGTTTGGATGCATCACCTGGGTCTGGCTCCCGAGGTGATTTGAGATCGGAGCTCCTAAGACCACGTCCAGAACCCCACTTTGCCCTTCTCAACTGCATGGAGGACGTGATGGATGAACAGGAAGTGTGGGAAGGCTGGAACCATTTGAGGGTGAAATGTGAGACTTGCTCTTCCTAGCTGTGGCACCCACAGCATTTCTAACCATCCTCTCTGTCCCTCCAAAGGTACAAGCAACCCCTTCCTTGTGGAATCTGTACCAGAGGCCCATCTTGGTGCTCATATGTGGGGCAGCTCCGTGCAGATGAACCGGGCACACGGTGGCCAAGGAGAAAGCCAGGCAGCCTGTCCAGGTAAGGGAGAGACCTGAGTTGCCAGACTCAGGTGCCCCCCAGCCCCTTCTGCAGGACCTCTGCTTTGCCACCTGAAGTCAAGCCCCAGAGCCGTCTAACCCAGCGTGGTCTGCTGCTGAAGAGTTTGGTATATGAAGTATTTATTCCTCACTTGTGGGAGTTTGCACAAGTACAATCTTTGTACAGCATCATTGTCCTCCAAGGCCTCCCTCTTTACAACCATTTTCACACTGTGAAGATGAAGAAAGTCAGGTATTATTTCCTAATCTCTGGTAAGGTGTTACGAGAAGTTCTCCTGTTTTCCGGCAAATCTGCTGCATCCCAGCGATTCCACAGTGCCGCCTTGTGCTTGCATAATGTGAGTTCGGGGAAAGAAAAGCCTTGAGAAGAAGCAGGTGTAGAAGACCCACTCTTAATCCTGCAAACAGAAACCCAGTCAAGGGTGGGTGATAAGCCCCATGCAGAGAAGCCCTCAGGCTGAGTCTTTCCCAGAATTTTACCTGGAAGTGCCAAGGACTGCTCTTGAGACTTCCCAGAGCGTCTGTGAGGAGGACACAGAAGGGCTCTGCAAAGACTGAACCAGGTGCTTTCAGGTGTCTGAACTGCACAGTGAGCTGCATTTTGACATATGCAACTGGAATTCCTGGAAAGAGGGTACAGAGCAGCCTTCCCCAGTCTAGAGCCCTCCCATACTGTTAGAATACCAACTGCCATCATCCCCAGCCAGCACCATCATGCTCAGTGAGCACTCAATTTGCCCTTCTCAATTAAATGCGAGAAGTGATGGAGGAGGGTAAAGCAAATCCCCCAGTCTTGTGCCTTCCAGATGTGCTGGATGGCCACTCCCACAGCCAGATTGGATATTGGCCATGGTGGTATTATCAAATATTTTGAAGGAAGGCATGGATAGGAAGTCCAAACAGGCTTTTCTTCCTGCAAGTATCTCGATGCCAGTTCTTTCTCCATGTGTTTTCTGACACCCTTCATTCCTCATTTTATTCCGTTGGATTGGCTCTCCCAGCTGCCTGATAAAAAAATAATTTGAAGCAGGGTTTTGCCCTGTACCTGTGCGTTGGCCGTGGGCAGTGTGTTCAAGGTTCAGCTAGCTCAGTATGGGCACAGTCCTGCATGTGTTTACGCAGAAAATAGTCCTTAACACCTGCATGGCAAACGAGAATACTAGAAAATGTAGGAATTTTTTCCTGTCTAAACAGGTGTAGGATTGCACCCTAAACAAGTAATAATAAGTATCTAAAACAGAGAGTGCTTCTGAGCATGTAAAAAGATACACCCCCGTCTGTGTAGCATAAAACATCATCTATTACAATAGGATTTCTGGATCAGAGAGGATGCATCACACTCCGTCACCCGCTTCTTGTTCTCCTTGGTACCATTTTCACTTTCTGTCTGCTGCTACAGATTTCCCCGACGAGACGGAGCTCGAGGTGGCCATTTTGGAAGAAACCCAGCCTATCAACAAGAATGAGTCGGCTCCCAAGAATGGGTGGCAGGCCAGGCAGAAGGGAGGTGAGTCCAGGCTCGGTTGCTAAGCAGTGGACCCTGGGATGTAGTTCTCTGTTGCCAAGCTGCTACTGGTGGAGCACTGTGCTTGGTTTCCAGGCAACAGGGCTGGATCAACACGACATCCTTCTTTGCAGTCAGTCGAATGATGAATTCCCCCTTTGTGAGCAGGAGTGACCAAAAGTGGAAGGAATGTTGTATACGCCGTGCGAGACACAAGGGTACCAGTGCTCCTCCCTCTCTAGAAAGACCTCTATTTTCCCACGTTGTCTCAGGGGGATCTAGATTGCCAGGAATCACTTGACCATTCTGGGGATGAAATGCATTAAACTGACTTATGAAGAGGACTGCAGGTCAAATCTGGTGTTTCTGGGCTCCCAATCCAACTCTGGGGCTTCCCATATGGCTGTATTTCGCTTCCTTTCCTACCAACTGCTGATTGTTCAGTTGTTTTCTGCTTTTGCATGTTTCTTTCCACAGTTTGACAATTTGAAATACTTCTTAAAGGTTAGTTACAGGCAGTAAGATCTTTAAGGTTCAGTCCTATGCATGCTGGATAGAGAATGCTAGAAGTGACTGGACTTATGTCTCTCTAAGCATGGACAGAATTGCACCCTTCAGCTACACTGTGCTGGTATTTTAGCCCAATCCCTTTTCCTTTCACCCTGTCTGTTTCTGGAAAGCAGGCCTGCTGGGTCCATCGCTCTCCCCGCTTTTCGCTTCCCCGAAGACTTAGGGAAAACCCTCAAAGCACAGCCCTAAAGGGTTGCAAACAGCATAAATCAAAGCAAGGATTCTTTTGCTATGTGGAGGTAGCCCCTGCCCATGGGAAGAATTGAATCCAAACTAGAACAGTCCTCCCTTCCCCTCCTTTTTGGGAAAGTCTTGCCTCCACCCTCAGGGTGGCTCACGCTGCTGAGGGCTAGACGGAGGGAATGGCAGACAACACTTAATGGATCTGCTGTCCCGGCTGACTCCTCTTGACAAGGTCTGAAAGCTCTCCTGTGACCTCTGTCCATCCCCGTTCTATCGTGTCTTCCCCCTGGACCAAGACAGTTTGGTTCCCACACGTCTGAGGCGTCTCGCAGGGCGGCCTTGACAGTTCAGAGGTCTTGGCTATTCCCTCCTCACCTCCCTCTCGCTCTGATAGCCTTGCAGCAGGTGGCTTGTGGGGACGCCCCAGCCTAAGGCTTTGGTGCTTCTCATTTGCCTCTCTTTATTTTGTTTTGTAATAAAAATGCAGTTGCAGCCTGTCAGTTGTGGAGGGGCAAAGTTCTGTTCAGCTGTTTCCAAACTGCTGTGGCTTTAATTAAAAACTTCCTCCTTGTAGCTTTTGCCCATTTTATTTCTTCCTGTTCAGCACAGCTGGAGGGAGTTTAGTGAGGTTTAACCCCTTCATTAATCAGCTTTGGGGCTACAGATACATTAATTGCTGATTTCCTGTCTATGACATGCATCCACAGCCTAAACTTTCTTACTTGCATAATGTGTTCAAATTAAACAACTATTCTAGGTGTAGAATTTGGACACTTTCAGTCCTGAACAGAAGGCTCACCTTTGGTTGGACTGCTGTCTATGGTACATCTCATTGGGTTGTGTCTAATGTCAGTCCTACTTAGAGTAGTCCCATTCCATTCAGATGAATGGTACCTATGTTAGATGAAGTTTGGGTACAGTTTACTCATTCCTCCTGAGTACTTTCTCTTACTTTACCATTTGCAGGGCATGGTCGAGTGTCCAAATCCAAGAAGGAAGCCCTTTCCCCGATACAGAAGGTTCCATCCATTATCACGGATATGGAAGGTGAGATTCCTGGGTGGAAGAAGGCATGGAAAAAGCAAAAACACACTGGAGTGCAAGAGAATGAGAGTGTGCTGTGTGAGGGACAGCTCCCTGTATGAAAATAAGCACGCATTGGAAGTGTGTGTATACGCGTGTGCTCCTAGCAAACACGAAGCTGGGCAGCTTCACACAATTCAAGAAACCCTACATGGTTTTGTAGCCATGCAGGGTGTGTCCTGACCTGACCTGAAGTGTTCAGTAGATGGCTGGACCCCATGGATGTCCCCAGGCGGCACCTTCCCAGCTCTTCCCTCTCAGTATTTCAGGGGCAACGTGCAAGAGCACTGAGAAGAGCGGAGAGGCGGGGAGACTTGCTGAAAAGCACCCATCTTGGCACTTTGGGCGGTTGTCGACAGCATGCCGCACCCTTCCGCTTTTGCTGGAAGAGCAGGGCTGCTCACTCGTGGTACCCCTCTGCTAGCACAGGTGGGAAAGCTGGAGTGCTGGAAGGGATGCGCCAGGCTGTGCTCCGCTTCCTGGAGAGGGAGCTGCCTGCAAAGCAAGCCAATCCCCCCATGCACACCTGTCCCCCCCTCCTTGGAAGGGGGCACGTGCTTCTGTCTGGCCCTCTGTGTGTGCAGCAGTACTAGAAAGAAGCATCCCCCTAGCTTGCTCCCCACCATCACCTGCCTCCTCAAGCAAAGGTGAGAGGGTGGAAGGTATGCACAGCAGGTGGGGAAGAGCAGCAGCTTCAGGTAGGTGCACCTGGGCTGGCATGGAGGAGGAACAAACCTGGCTTCTCTTCTGCGCACCCCCCAAATGGCAGAAGGGGCACGGCAAAGGGGAAGAGTTGCAAAAACTGGCTTTTCTTCCCCTTCTCCACATTGGTGGAAAAAACAGCACTATCCTCTTCTCTGCTGACCTGAAAAGGCAGACGCCGCTGGTGGGAACAGGGGCCAGTGGGCTCCCCGTTCCCGGGTGGTGCAGGGTACCTGGCAGGGTCCTGGGCAAGGCATGCCCTGGTTGCTACCTCCTCTCATCCAGGCAGTCGCCATGGGGCAAGGAGTCCCTGAGCAAAGGGGAAGGAGTCCCTGAGCAAAGAGAAGGGCTTCTTTCCCCATGGGGCACGGTTGGGGAAGCGGACCCCCCGCCCCGCCTGCTTGCCTGGTGGATGAATGAGGAGGGGGAAACAGGGTGAAGGGCTGCAGTGCTGCTCTCAAGGAAGGCAAGCGGAGTGGCTTGTTGCCGTGGGAAGGCGCCTCTCTGCTCTGCTTCTCTGAGAGCAAGTGAAGCCGAGGGGGACCTCCTCCTGCCACTGGCTGCCTCCGCAAGCCCAAACGGGGCTGGCCAGGCAGCAGGAGCTGGAGCCCGTGGCTTCCCCAGGCTCTTTGCCTAATGCCGGGAGAGCAGCAACACTCGAGAGCAGTCCTGCTTTCCTGACGGCGGCAGGAGCGTGGGCGAGTGACCAGCGGCCATGCAAAGTCCCGCTTGGGCGCTTTGCCAGCCATCCTTGCCCAGGGCCACTTGACCAGTCCCTTTTGCCACTCTGCCCGGGGGCTCGCTGGCCGTGGGGCTCCCCACTGTGGGCAGTGTCACCTGTGTTCGAATGACACACTCACCCCTGCTGGGTTTAGAACAAGGCACGGCTTCTCTGTGTGGCTTCAGAGTCATCGCTCTGGAAGAGCGCTTGGCTCAGGTTACAGCGCACCCGCTGTGGCTTCACAGCCACCATGGGTTGGTGTGTTGTGCGGACCCAATCGATGTGCATGTGCGGAGGTGTTAAGGTGACATGTCACAGGTGGCAAACATTTCAAAGCGTGCTGCTGTGACCAGAGCAAGTCAGAAGAGGGCAGTAACACAGCTGACTGATCCCACATCTCAGCCCACTTAGTTTTCAAGAATGATCAGCAGAAAGAAGACCTGGAGCCTTCAGGGTCCAAGGAAACCATCGACGATGTATGTGACGTCCACACACTCCACAGCAATTCTGAAAGCGAGGGGGAGTCCTCCCAGGAGCTGACCGTGCCCCCTTCTCCCATGAAGAAGCCCCGGGACTGCATGCTTGCACACAGAGGTGAGCGGTCTCCTGGCTGGGGGTGGTCATCTGTCAGTCTGCTTTTTAGATGCGCGTGGTTTTGAAAAGTCCTTGCAATAAAGTGAAGATCATCCATCAGGGTGTCCATTCGGCAATTTTTCTGCCAGCGTTTGGTGCTGGAGACAGCAGTGACTGTGATCTGAACCTTAGCTAACTAAGTAGATCAAAAGGCAACTCTCTGGCCCTCCTGGGTGTGGAGACAGGCTTGGCATGCCTGGGCAAGTGCTACTGAGATTGCAGAAGCCAGAAGCTTCAGTACCTTCCAAAACATGTTGGCCAAATGATGGAAGAGTTCATACCGTGTAAGACATGACATGAGCATGTGTGTGCTCACGGCTTGCATATAAAAAGCAGATGTGTCCACACGCCATAGGCAGATTACGCTCTCTAAAGATAATATTTCTTTTTTTAAATAAGTTTTATTTGAAATTATAATCCTAAAAAAAAAGAAAAAAAAGACAACAGCAGCAAAAAGAAAACAAACAACAACCATCATCAAAAACATTGAGCCCGCTGGGTCAGCCCCCACACCCTTCTTTTTTCCATTTATGATAATTTAGAAACATATTTAAATCTAAGCCAAGTCCCGTTTCTCTAGCCAATAATAAAGAGTCCCACGTTTGATAGAAGTCAGTATCTTCTTTCTCCTTTAGTGATAAAGTCAATCTATCCATTTCTGCACAGTCCAGAATCTTTTTTAGAATCAGTTCATCGGTAGGTAGGTCCTCACTTTTCCAGTGTTGAGCAAATGCAATCCTCGCCACAGTGATTACATGTAACATCAAATACATTTCTTGTTTGCTAATATGTTCCGGTATAATGCCTAATAAAAAAACTTCAGGTTTAAAAGCTAAGAGTTTTTGTAACATTTCCTCAAGCCATTTATGTATTTTAATCCAATACTTTTTCACATTATCGCAAGTCCTAAAGATAATATTTCTGTGACAGGCTGGGGCATGCTGGAATTTGTAGGACTTTTCTGCCTAAACGTGCATAAAATTGTGTACTCATTTGTAAATATGGTTTAGTGCAACAGAGAAGGAATGAAAACATGAAACCAGGAAACCTCCTTCCAGGCAGGGAGGGGTAATGCATTTCTGGATATTCAAGACTAGAATGTTGATTAACTCTGTTGATGAAAAGACTGTAAAGTTCAGTTCAATGTTGTCTTGGCCATTAGGTGTAAGAAACTGATAAACACAAAAATCAGTCCGTATATGGTTGTCATTTGGGTAGATTTCTGTCTACAGAAGCAAGGGAAATGCACCATTCAAGCATGTTCATCTTCCTCTTCTGTCATTTGGAGCAGTTGACATGCAATCAGTGAAACCAAGCAGATTTTTTTACAATCCAAAAGATGCAGCACATGAGGAGAAAAGGATGGGAAGGGAAGAGGAAAAATCAAGTAGCCTCTCAGCAGGGCTAATGGACTGGTTCCTGCTTCCTTTTTCATCTTATGCTTTACACAGTGCTGAAATGGCTGCTGGCAATGACAGCTGCTTTTGCAAATTTGTTGCTTCATGTGACTTCAACCCCTAGCCTTGGCTCATTATAGAATATGCCCAATTAATATAATTAATTATGTTATTTTTAAGTATATGGAGATCTGGAAACCAGTATCTGAGGTTGACTGATATGTCAGTGGGGCAGCAAGACTTAAAAGGAGTCAGGTTTGCTGGATCTTCCACAAGAGACAGATTTAGAGCCCAGTGGGGTAGAAGAAAACTTTGGGAAGGAAAAGAGGGGTGATTCCTTTCCTCTCCATCATTTGCAACCATCCCCGCTCTTCCCAGGGTCTCTCACCAATGGAAGGAGAAGCCTGAGTGAGGATGAAGATGAGAACTTGGAAGATGAGGATGAGGAAGATGAGGAGGATGGCGAGCAGGACATCCTCAGGAGTGTCATGTACATCCGAGAGGAGATCGATTTGTCCAACGTAAGAGGCTAAAAGGCCAAACGTGGTTCTGCCTCTTCAAGCACTTTAACAAACTCTCAGGGAAAATAGTGCAGACTGATTTTCATCTGAAATGTTTGGTGGACTTGGTGGGGGCGCAACTCCAGAAGGGGCCATGTCCATTTCTTAGCATGAATGGAGGGTTCCTTTTTGGAGGGTACCAAAACAGGACTAAAAAGCAAAACCAAGCAGCACCCGCAGTGCCTAAAAGGCCCAAATTAGCCCACAGTTTTGCCTTTCTGCACCCCTGGGCTAGAGGAACCAAAGCATGGCAGCTTGTACCATCTCTAAGAAGCTGCAACAAATCAGGTCAACAGCAAAAAACTGCGGACAGGCTGATTGTTATTCTTTTGCCACTCCATAGCTGTTCCGAATACCATTTTGTTTATTTCGGGTGGAGGTAGCCCCAGAATTACCCCGGGGACCCACATGCACCCCACGGGTGACATGTGACCCACGGCTGATGTATTCTTTGGCACCATTAAAGAACCTTCAAGGATTTCTTTTCAGGACAAGCTTAATGGGATCTAAGAATGGTTCAGTTGGAATGGCTCCTGTCCAGTTCCCCGTGAGAACTGGAGTTCTTCTGTGAGGTCGCTGAGGATTCTCTTGTAGAGGTTCTTTGAGCTCTCACAGAACTACAGTTCCCAGAATTCCAGGGGCAAGAAACCAGGGCATTTGTGGTTCAGACAAGCTTGTACCTAAAGACAAGGGGTCTGTTGCCCGGCTGCAGCAGAACCGTATTGTTTATTGCCTGGGTTTCTGAACTTCATTCCTTACACTTCCCATCCATATTTTGTTCCTTCTTCCCTCCCCACCGCCACAGTCTCCAAGTGGGGAGTCTAGCATCCCCCTGTCCCTCAAGGTGGACGATGTAGAAGCATTTGTTCTGAAACCAGCTCCTCAGGGCATCGTTGTCCAGTGTCGCATCACACGGGACCGGAAAGGGATGGACAAAGGCATCTTCCCCTTCTACTACTTGCATCTCGAGACGGAAAACGGAAAGAAGGTATCAGCAGCGAGAAAGAATTCTGTGCTTTTAGAGGGAAAAACACATCTGCAATCAGAAATCTCATTTTCTGCATTCAGAATAACTTACTCTAATTTACTTACTTGAGCTTGTATCCTGCCCTGTCTCATGTTCAGGGCAAGCCTAAGCCGCATTCCTTAGGCAGCCTTCCCAGCCTGTGGTCCACCATATCTGCTGGATTATAGCCTCCATCACCCCAGGCCAGCAAAACCAAACAAAAACTGCACAAGGCCCAGGAAACCATCAGATGGTCAGCAGTGGGGGAAAGAACGTGGGGCAGGGTGTGGCCATCTGGGGAGCACCAGAGAAGGGGATTTGGCGTGTGGTCATCAGTTGCTGCAGCCCTGCTCTTGCTAGACCAGTGGTCGGTCCAACTTCCTGTGTGCTTAAGAGGTGGAGAGTGTCCAAAGGGAAGGAAACTGGCTACTGGTTATGTACAGGCCTCCAACAAAAATTAACCAACCGCCTATAGAGAATTGCTCACGGAAGAGACACAACACACTCCACACTGTGGGGTCTGGCACCATTCAACAATCAATTTTCTAGTGGTTGTTTCACAAGATGTTGGTACCACGTTAAAGAGGCAGGTGTTTTTTGACCGTTATTTTGGACAGAGAGGATTTCTAAAGGACAGAGAGCCAGTGTGGTGTAGTGGTTAAGAAGGCAGGACTGGGACTCAGACGATCCGGGTTCGAGTCCCTGCTCGGCCATGGAGCCGACTGGGCCATGGGCCAGACACAGACTCTCAGCCCAGCCTGCCTCACAGGGCTGATGTTGTGGGAATAGGACTGAGAGTAAGAGGAGGAGAAAAATATTATCCGCTTTGAATTCATTGTAATAAAAAGGGGAGGATATGAATCTAATTAATTTAAGGAAAAGGTTCTTGTTAACCTATAGCAGCCTTTCCCAAGCTGGTGTCAATCAGTGTACTGCACCCAAAACTCCTATTGCACACTCCCCAGCCTAGCTGAGGGGTGATGGGAGTTGTAGTTCAACTCATCCAGAAGAAGAGAAGACATAAGGGCAGGATGGTCCTGCTTCTTGAGGGGATGCCCTGGGACCAAGGTCACTGATACTGGGTGTTCTCTCCTTCAGCGATTCCTCATGTCTGGCCGGAAGAGGAAAAAAAGCAAGACTTCCAATTACCTCATTTCTCTGGACCCCATTGATCTGTCGCGGGACGGGGACAGCTTCGTTGGGAAAGTCAGGTGCGTTTCTTTTCAACCCTGCCCTGCAGTTGTGGGACCGCGGCTCACAGGTAGCTGCAGGTATGGAAAAACCCTCTGCCCCGAAAAGCCATTGCCAGTCCAGAGCAGAGAAGGTGGACAAAGCCCTGGTTAGATCCAGATGCACACGGCATCATCTGGTGGGTGGAAGTGGGCTTCCCCCTCCTTCCCACAACAGCTGCTTAACCTGCCAAAACTGCTCTGGAGAGACACAGGGGAGGGAAACCCCGCAAAATCGGCAGCAGGGCCTTCTCCTTGTGATCCAGATCCAGGATCCAGCCCTGTGGCCACATCTAAGATGACTTTATGTTGTCTCACAGTCCTGACCTACAGATTGGTGGTGCCAGGAGCATTCACAAGCAAGACTGTACAAAGCCTTGCCTGTCTGCAGCCATCTTAATTCCACAGCATAATAAAACGCCAGAAAAATACAGAGCAAGTGAAGCAATAGTTTTACTGGGGTAATTAGAGTTCTGAACGATAGAAACTGTCTTTTGGCATACAGTTGTTATAGTGGAGAGATCTTTTAAAAAATCCGACAATGGACATTGGGCATTGATGGAGCCCCCCCCCCCCCCCCGCTTTGCTTCCAAAATGGATGGAAAACTTGACCTTTCTCACCAGGCTGGACAGTTCGTGTTAACACTTCCTACATGCCTGTTCATGTTAGTTGCCTGGCTTTCCTCTGGAAAGCCGAAGGTGAAATGTTAGGGATTCAAACAACAAAAATAATGCAGTCACTGTGGCTGCACATTTGAAGCAGAAGATGAGGAGCAAACCATTCCCTTGTGCTGTTTTCTTCCTGTGCTTGCTTGGCAGGCAGAAAACTGGTGAATGAGCAGATTGTAACATCGGCTGTTGCCCTTCACTGCCCCCGTTAGCTGGTATAGGATGAGAGAGGGCAAAGAAGTGGGTTGCAATGACAAAGAGGAGGAGCAAAGCTGGGGTGGGCCCCTGCTGGGTTTGGGGCCCTTGACAGGTGCCCAAGCATGCCTGCTCTCAGCCCCGCTTATGTCAGTTCTCGCCAGCATGGTCAGCAGTGAGGGACCGGGGGAGTTGTAAGCATAAACATCTGCACATCCTTTAAACAACAGCTCTTGTTCTAGCCTGAGTCTCTGCACTTCCTTTTAGGTCATTCGTTCTCGTGTGCGCGTATTTTCATGTTGAGTCTTGGTCTTGTCACTTGGTTTTGGAGTATTCTTTGGACGGTGGGCAGGTTGAACAAAATTAAGCAGGTCTGAAATGCCTAAACTGTGAACCTCCTTCCTTTCCCCCTGCTTCCAGATCCAATGTGCTGGGAACCAAGTTCACTGTGTTCGACAACGGGATCAACCCAGACAAGAAGCCTTTTGTCCCGGAAACGGCCCAACTGCGGCAGGAGCTGGTGGCCATTTGCTATGTGAGCTCACGTGGAGGGAGGGGAAATGGTCGAGGTGGGGCTTCTGTGCAGCTGATACGCTCCTGGGCAGTAGGGGAGATCTCTGCCCCCAGGCTCCAAAGGGCCAGAGCAATCACCACTGAGCTGGAGCAACTCTCAGTCCGATTTGCTCTGAGGCAGCTCTTGAGGTGCATTTGGCTTTCCTCCTTTTCCCCAGGTTTTATTAGGAACCTAGGACCACTTATTTGGATATTATTTGATGTGAGGCTGCTGTTGTCTCTGCCACAAAATTGCCAGATGCTTTGAAAGGAATGTTGGTTCTGGTTTCGAAAGAGAGCCAAAGTCTCAGACTTGCTCAGTCTGGCCCCCTCCAGATGTGAATGACTGCAATCCCCGTCACTCAGACTATAGATGACATAGCTTCCGCATAGCCAGAAGCTCCTGATCCTGCCTAATCTTGAAAGCAAAGCAGGGTCAGCTCTGGTTGAAATCTGGATGGATGATTCAATTTGGTGAACCACCCAGAGCGCTTCAGCTGTGGGTGGTATAGAAATAACAACAACAATGGAACCTGTAATCCAACACTTCTGGTGGGGAAAAAGTTGGGGGAAGCTGACCTACTCATACACCTCCCATGTAAACACACAGAGAGACACACATCTGGCCCTGAGCAGCTTGGGGCCCAAATATCTGCACTGAGTACTTCTCCCTGTGTTAGCTTTAAAATGATCAGGGGAAGGTCTTTTTCATGGAGTAGGTTATGTCCCAACAAGGGTATCAGAGATCATTGGAAACTGAGGTGGCTCTTCACTGCATGATGTAACTGCAACATTGTTGAGGGAAGGCTATCTAGCCTCCTCTTAAATACCGCCGAGCAAAGGACAACCCACTACCTCCAGAAACAATCTTTTCCACTGCTGAACAGCAGTCAATTTCTTCTAACTTTTCTCTGAGATCTGCATAGCTCAACATCCCGGTCGCTCTTTGATGGTCCTCCAGGCCTTCTTATCACTGGCCTTCCTAAAATGGGGCACCCAAAACTGGGCACACTACTCCACATGCAGCCCAGCTAACACAGAATATTGTTGAGCAATTTTCTTTCATGATCTGGACATGATGCTTCTGTTCACACAGCCCAAGATTACATTAACTTTCTTTGCTGCCGCGTCACACTGATGGCGCATATTCTGCCTGCCTGTCCTCGCAGCCAGGTCTTTTTCATGCATGCCGCTGCCAAGCTGGGTCTCTCCCACCTGATACTTGGGCCTTTGCTCTTGTAGACCTTTGTGCAAGATGCTATGTTTATATCTCTGTTGAAGTTTATCTTGTGAGATTCAGCCCCATGTTCCAGCCTCTCTGGATCCTTTTGAATCGTGATCCTGTGTCCGTGGTGTTAGCTATCCCTCATCTTCAGATCCGACAAGCAATCAGGCTACACCTGCATGCAAGTCATTTGTTTTAAAAGATTGAACTGCTCAGGGTCTAGGACCGAGCTCTCAGCATTCCACTCAAGTCCTCCCTTCGGGAGGATGCCAAGCCCTTAAGTGGGACGGATCAAGTACGGTCACTCAGCCCAAGCTGTGGATCCACTTACCTACACGAGGCGTTTTCTGGAAATAGTAGAATGAACCAGGATGAAGGGTGTGTTTATTTTTGTAATTTGGCTATACTGCAACAGCACCTTGGAATGTGTTTGTAATGGAACATATAGAACATATGTTCTCAGTTAATGGCAAGAAGCTGTAACTGTATTATTGTCCAACTCGTATTTACCATCTCGTTCACAAGGATATAATGGGCGATCTTGACAGATACTTTGCTGTAATCATCTGCTAAATGAGCGATACAGTTTCCGCAACAAGCCAATAACAGAATGAAAAGTGAGGGTAAGTCCTTTCTTTCTTCCCTTTCTCACTCCTTTCCAGGAAACCAATGTTTTGGGATTCAGGGGCCCACGGAAAATGACAGTGATCATTCCTGGCATGAATTCAGAAAATGAGAGGATCTGCATCCGGCCAAAGAATGTGAGTGATCCGGTGCGGTACAGAAGCCAAGCCCCAGGGCCCCAGGCCTGAATCAGAGCCGCTCTCCTGAGCCCAACCTGTTCATTGGCGGAAGGGAAGGAGGGTTTGCAGCATAACTGAATTGTAGGGATGCAGCTGGGGAAGGCCAGGTTGACCTGCTACCTTGGCACAGCAATTAGGCTTCGGAGCAATTAGGCCCCTGGCACGAATAGGAAACTTTTCCTAAGCTTGACTGCTGTGGAAGATGGAGGCATTTTCAGTGGGGGAGAGGAGGGTTAGCCTCTCCTCCCTATGCACCTCGCCCCCCTCCCTGGGTGGCCATGAAGCTGCAGGGGGAAATAACCCTTCAGCTGATACCAGTGGAAAAGCTGGGTTTCCTTCTGCATTGGTGCACCTCTGTCATGCCTACAGGAACACGAGACCTTGTTGACTCGGTACCAGAACCGGAACATGCAGAACCTGATCAAGCTGCAGAACAAGATGCCGGCCTGGAACGAGGAGACCCAGTCGTATGTGCTCAACTTCCACGGGCGCGTCACACAGGCCTCCGTCAAGAACTTCCAGATCATCTCGGAAGAAGACCGTGAGTGGTGGGCAATGTCGAGGAGGTGGGAGGCTTTGCAAGGCTTAGTGTTCACTCAAGAGTAAGTCCGGCTGACTAGGTTATGTGCAGGTAAGGATACACTTAGAACAGCTGCTTTAATATGTGCTCTGGGAAAGCAGTTCTCTGACAAAAGAGCCGCAGTCCAGAGGTGGCTGTTTCTGAGCCATGAACAAGAGAAGTGCATCGGATCTATTCGCCCGACAACTTGCTCAAGGATTCCCAGCCTTTTTGAGCCTTGGAATCTTGTGAGAATGACATGGATGCCTTTACAAAATAGTCTGTCTGTTTATTCATTTCATTTCTATACTGCCCCACAACCAAAGCTCTCTGGGCAATTTTTGGTTATTATCAGAGGGGCATCACCAGTCATTAAATGCCCACTTCCCAGAGGGTTTTTTTTTTTAAAGTAACTTCTCCAAGAGTATAAAGCAGAGGTCTGGGGTCCAAAACACAAACTCATTCTTTTAAGCCTGTCTTTTTCTTTTTCTTTTTCTTTTCCATTTCACAGAAGGATGCTGAAAGAAACACCCAGCACAGGGACAGCGACTCCCCTTGCCCCCTGTCTAGCCCCCAAGATACCCCCTAGGCCCAACAGCTCACTTGCTTTTCCTCTGGCCATGCTTCCAAAGAGCCCTGGGCTGGAGTCGCCCAGCACGCTCCTTTTCACCAGGGGCTGAGAGGCATTCTTGGAACTCCAGACAGCTCCACTGGCCACGTGCCAGCATCCCTGTTTAAAAAGAAATGTTTTAAACTAAAACAGGCCGAGGGGCAGAGCTGGGTGGGGAAATGTGGCAGTGCCTGTGGGCACACCGATACCGTGGGATCCATATAAGGGGTCCCAGACTCACGTAATTTCTGGCTTGGTTGGTGCAGAAAGTGGCTGACGTGGACATGGCCGCGGGTGGCGTTCTCTGTGTGACCACTCGGCTCTGTTCCAGCCCTGCATGTGGACCGAAGTGGGAAGAGTTTGGGCGGGAGTTGGATCCACACAGTGGACGGGAGGAGGGATGTGTCTGAGAGAAGATGCTGGCGCAGGATCGTTTCTCTTAGGACGGATGGGTGGGTGGGTGGGTGGGTGGGACGAAGAGAGTGTGCTGTTTCCTCATTGCTCTTTTCCTCCCTGGCTCACAGCTGACTACATTGTGCTGCAGTTTGGCCGCGTGGCCCCCGACGTGTTCACCATGGATTACCAATTCCCGCTCTGTGCACTGCAGGCCTTTGCCATCTGTCTGTCCAGCTTTGATGGGAAGCTTGCTTGCGAGTAGAGGGCCAGCACAGCCGACCTCTGACACTCGACCCCTGCAGCTTTGCTCCTGCTGCCTCATCCGACTGGACACAACTCATTCCACTTTTCAGAATTGCCTGCTTTTCACCTCCAACCTCCCCACATTTTTTGAGACTGGATCTCCATGTGACCCGCTATTTTCATACTGGCACATGCTTTCTCTTTTGCTCATCTCCCCCATTCGAGTTCTGACAAGCCGTTACCTGCCGAAGCATCGTCATCCCTACCAGTCGCCCCAGATCCTTCCCTCTTCCAGTATGATTCTGATTTTTCATGTAATTCCTCACCCCCCTCGTGATTTGATGGCTGACCCATCAACCTAGCAGAACCTTTAAAACTTTGCTGCTTTGGTTTAGGCTTGTTAGGCCCTGCCTCCTACCCAGTCCTTCTGAACAAACTCAGTAAAACCCACCCATACAGGAAACACACCATCTCACGAAATGTGGACCAGGGCTTCGCTACTGAAGAAACCGCGAACAGCGAAGGAACAACCTACTTCTGCCAGCTTCATGAATTCAGAACAAGGGAAGGGGCAGCCAGTTGGATGGGTATCAGCAGCCGTTCTGAAACATGGGATTAAAGCTGCAGCCCCAACCCATCTTCCCTTCTCTATCAAATTGGGTAATAGATTGGAAATAAAGCTTACCCAGAGATCGTACTGGCCTGCTGACTTGTACCTGGGAATAGATCATAGAATCATAGAAAAGTGGAGTTGGAAGGGGTCATGAAGGTCATCGGATCCAATGTCCAGGTGTTGCAGGACACCAAGTTACAGCATCCCGCTCAGATGGCTGTCCAGTTTCTTTTTGAATGTCACTAGTGTGGGAGAGCCCACCACCTCTCCAGGCAGCTGGTTCCACTGTGAGGAGGCTTTTCCTGATGGCCAGCCTGAATCTGGATTGTCGCAGCTTGACTTGATTATTCCATGTCCTGCTTCCAGGACAGCAGCTTCTCTAGGGACTGCCGACAGCAGTGGGGGTTCTGAACCTCCTTGGATTACGGCTCTGCTGCCATCTTCCCCACTATACCAGAGACGGAGGTTTGTAAGTGGGCCACTGCTGTGCATCTCAGTTTGGAAAGTGTCTTGCTGAGTAATACCTACAGCAGGAGTGATGCAGCTCAGGTCCAGTCCAGCCCCCCCAGAGTCCTCAGGTGGTCTCACATTCTTCCTCCAACTAATCATTTAGTGGTTTTCTAGCTTTTGCATGTTCTCCACATTAGAAAAAGCTCTCCTAAGGCTATGTAACTTGGCCTTAAGGGCTTTTCTGCACCAGACATGACTTGTGCAGTTTCGAGTCTTCATGCATGAGCGTTTTGGGGGTGCTTTAATTGACCTCATCATCTTTCAGGGTATCTCCCAGGCTTTCTGAGCATTTCTGCAGCTTTTCCTCTGCTGAAGAAAGCCTGGTATTATCTGGAAAGGGTGGGATGAACTGGAATGTGGAGCTCTGTATTTTCACAGTTTTGCTAGGCAGCTGTGCCAGTGGATCATACAGAAAGGCAGAGAAAGAAAAAACCCAGAAAAAAGCAAGTGAAGGAGGTGATCTTAATCCCACAAAGGCTGTTAAAACCCTCATGAATAGAAGAAACCTAAGGATGTTAAGTCAAAATGCGTCGTTTTCCTTGGCCTTGCCCAGCACTGGAATGCAGCCCCAGGAACTGCTATGCATTTTCACTTGGTCTGAAAGGGATTCGGTCCCTCAGTCCACCAGTCCCTGTTGCTGGAAGAAAAAAAAAAAAAAAAAAGGGAAACAGAGGCAAGGCTCTGACCTCTTAGATAAGAGAAAATGGTTTAGCAAGGTGCAAAATGCCCGATGAAGCCTGAAGGATGATGTCCTCCGAGAGTGAAGCAACGTTAGTCGTGACAAACTGAAAGGGCACTTCTTATATTTGTCACAACGAGCGAGCGTGCTCCATGCTTCCAGGTGGAACACGCAGCTAAATCCTATCAGTGGGCACAGACCCCTTCCCCGCAGGCAAACGCCTGAAGAGCCAAAGCCTCACCTTGGGAGCACATTGGTCAAAAAAAAGAAGAAAAAAAAAGGGATTATTTAGGTGTGTGCAGGTGTCCCTCCAGTGGCTGGCCAAGGCTTAGGCACAGGCCTAGCCCCACCTCAAGGTCTGAGATGATGCTCTTGCTTTGCTCCTCTGCAGGTCACCAGTGCGCTTGCTTGCCCTGGCAGTCGTATTTTCTTAGTATCGAGCAGCAAGCCATTTTATCACAAGTCTGGCTAGTAAGAAGTGTGTGGGACCAGTGAGGAGGGGAAAGGGGCAGAGGACTGCCTGGCCAGTTAGCGGGATCTGACAGAGCCGATGCTGTCCGTGGGCCCCAGGGGGTGAGAATCTGCCTTGGGGTCCCAGTGAATTTGACTCAGGAGAAAAGGGACAGAAAGGAAAGGGCAGTGATGGCCCTTCAGATGTGGTGGGACTATTGTTCCTGCCATCCCTGACCACTAGGCATGCTGGCTGGGACTGATGGGGCTGTACATATTCCCCAGCCCTGCTTTCCATTCTGTGCATTTTCTCCCATCAGTGGCATAACTTTGGTTATGCCAAAGTCTGCCATATACAGTGCAAACCTGTATTTCCTATAGAAGTCCGGGCTCAATTCAAGGTGCTGGTTATTACCTATAAAACCCTAAACGGCTTGGGACCAGGATACCTAAAGGAATGCCTTTTTCCCTATTTGCCCTCCCGCCCCCTGAGATCGGCAGCAGGTGCCCTCCTCTGGGAACCCTCTGTGAAAGACGTCAGGAGACAGAGTACCCCGAGGAGGGCCTCCTCTGCGGTGGCACCCTGACTGTGGAATGTGCTCCCCAGAGAGGCCCACCTGGTGCCATCATCATATGTTTTTCGGTGCCAGGTTAAGACCTTTTTATTTAATCAATATTTTAATACGTTTTAATATTGAATTTTAATACTGTATTTGCAGCCAGAGTGGGTCTTCAATTTATTTATGCTGTTTGCCGTCCAAAGACGCTGGTAATTGGACGGCATACAAATTGCATAAATAAATATTTCTCTGATCAGTTCTCCACGCCCCCCTCGTAACAAGCCCTTTGAACAAAGATGCGTTCATTTCGCACAGCCTTAACAGTGTCGCACAGATATGCCCCAGTGCTTATCTGCGCAACAGATGTGACAACGCCAACAGATGTGCAGCGGTGTTTGTTTTGTGCATTCTTTAAAAAATAGGAAACAAGCTACGTTACGCCTTTTGCGTCCGTAGGGATTTAGGCTTCCCAGCCACCCACAGGGTTAGGCAGACGCTGACAAGCGTTTCATGAGATTAAAGAGAAAGCCATTATTATCAGATTAGGCAGAAGCTACCTGGGGATTTTCATACAAAATGGTCAACCTGGCTAAGGGTGCCATCTTAGCTATGCATGTTCAGATAGAAAAAGCCCCATCCACTCACCCCCAGCCAGCACTGGGGAATGCTGAGCGTGGTAGCACTTTTCTGCCTAAACATGCGTAGCATTGCACCCTAAAAGAAATTCAAATTTCAGTACTGTGGCATGGTAAAATGCCTAAAGGTTGATAAAACAGAATTGCTCGATTTCATAAACCTGATTACAGATCAACAGAAGAGCGAAATTTCTCCAATCACCTCAATTCCTTTCTGGGAAAAACCCCCATTTCCTCTCTGAAACTAGCAAAGCCTAACTCATTTTCTGAAACTAGTCAGAATGGCCCCATTGAGTGGTTTCCTTAAATAATATGACCCACTATAGTGGCTGAAACCAGAAGACGTGTCTTTCCCTAGCAGTGATTCAGCTACATAATTTTAGACTCTAGACAATGCTCTTCAGCTCATCCTGCCCTCTTTATTTGGAAATACATATTATTTCACTGCTGTCAAATGTGGTGTAATGCCCCCACCAGTTAGACTGGGGGACCCTCTTGTATCTTCTGCTGAGTGGAATCCGGGACCTCTGCCCTGAAGGCCTGCCTGGACGCCCCCCACACCCCCTGCTCCTCGGCTCTTTTGCTTGCCATCCATGAGTCAGCCAAGGCGTCTGAAGCAGGCCACTGCAGCCTCACTCATTTAATTCTAGCCTGCTGAGACGCTTATAAAACCCATGCATAGCATTGACAAGTGTGAAGAAAAACACCCTTGAGAGTCCGCTGCAGTTGTACAATCAAAAAAACATTTACAGTTTATTGAGACATACAGGAAATAAATGCGGCACGGAAGCAGCCCCTGAAGGGACTACCAAGATGGGCTCTGTACAAGCGGCTTTTTTTAACCTATCAGTTAAACCGTTTCGAAGAGCAGGGGAATTGCGCAGGCAGTTTGTCGGAGGCACAGGAGAGTAAAACGCAGGGCTTAAGACAACACAAAGAGAAGAACCTTCCGGAAAGGCAGACATTAGGAGGTTTCAGGTGAGCCCCAAAGGACAGGCTCATTATTATTTCTCAGGCGCACAGGAAAAGCAAGACTTGTAATTTGGATTCCTGATCAGACCAGCAATCCCATCTGTTGTCATGCTTTTAGCACCCATTTAAAGCAAAGCTTCTGCTCATTTTGGCCTGATGACTTTCACTACCACACGTTCATTGTCTTCTCAAACAGGGATGCAGGAAGTGGAGAAATTCATAGAAGACGGGGCTGCTGAAGACGCCATAGAAATCACGCCTGCCCATGTTTGGGACAGTCAGTGCAACTTTGCAAGGCAGCTTTCTGTAGCATGTTAATTTCCAGGCTGGCTGGGCTATACCCCCATCATCCCCAGCCTGGGAATGAGTTGGTTTGGAATCCATCACTTCCGGAGAGCTGAGGTCACTGCAATTAATTGCCTTCCTAGAGGTAACTGGTAGGTGGCCTGCTACACCTGGCTGGGGATTATGGGAGTTGTAGTCCAAGACAACTGCAGGGTGCTAGATTGGGAAAAGATGCACAATGCCATTGTGGGTGACAAGAGGCCGGCCTAGATGGTCTTTTGGTCCAGTTCTACACGGCTGCATTTCTGGCTCTTAGAATCCACTGTACCGGTTTCAAGATGTCTACCTCCTACTCTCCCTTTGAATTCATCACAAAGTTTGCATCTGGGCCTAATGCAGGAGCTTGCGTGGGTGAGGGAATGAAGCTTCCACAGCAGAGCCCCATGTGATCTGCAGGCAGATTAGGATCAAGTTCCCGGCATATGAAATGCTCTGTTGCCTCGGGCTGCCACAATCATTTCACAAGAAAAAATTATCAATAAACTGTCATCACGAAAGGCTGGGCCACGCCTCTTCGGTGGCTCAGCATGGACAGGACTGGGATGAGCTGTCTGAGATTCCACCTTGCCTAGGAAGGAGGAAAACAAGTGAGGGACAACAGATAAAATCAGCCTTCCCCATTCTGCCGCCTTCCAAACCTTCAAGCATGGCCAATGGGGGGGGGGGGGGGGAGTTGTCTGCCAAAACTTCTAGAAGATCACAGGTTACTCACCTGGATCTAGAACAACATCAGAATCCAAACCCCCCAGAGCACAGAAGCAACCTGCCTGGCATGGAAGGGACCAACAGATCACAAATCGTTCAGATCTCAAAGACAGTTTCTGAAATGTAATCCTATGAAATAATTTGAAGCCAAAGCTCTCATCCCAAGACCACCACAAACCCCCAGTGCCCAGTTTCTTTGGGGAGGAAGCTATAAGTGGTACAGTCACAATCTGAAGGATGCTTCTTCAGGGAGTGAGTCGCACTGAACTCAATGAAGATCGCATCTGGAAAGCCATCGTGAGGTTTGGGCTGGAAAACATGTTATTTGAAACAATCCAGTTTATAAAATCTGAACTGATGCGGGCGTTATACATACTCAGAGGGTGTAGCAAAGCACACGCCCACCCTGACTTCCCCCTTTTGAATGACCCTTTTATAAGCCTTCCGGCCATTATGAGAACGCTCTACCCACTTGCCAGGCAACAAAGAAAGGGCTTATTGATGCGCATGTGTGGATGGGAGCAGAGTGCACAGCCCCATTTCCTTCCTTTGAAAGGACTACAGGTGTCCAGAGAAACTTTTACTGTGCCATTGCCCCGACTCATCAATGGAATTTTATGGTGGTCCGGACAGTAACCCCCCACCCGTGTTTTCCTACTGTGCTTCTATCCTTTTTCTTATATCAGAAAATCTACTAAGGACTGACAGATGGAACAGCTCCTCGTTCTTTCTTGGTTGGTAGCATTAAAGCCGTCCATCCGGAAGCACCGTACTGTATATATCCTCCTCCTTGAAGCAGATTGTAGCTAGAGCAGACCTGATGAAATCAAAGGGACTAGTGAGTTGCACTCTTGTCCCGCTTGCGGATTTCCTGTCAGGCAGCAGGTTGGCTGCTGTGAGGACAGAGTGCTGGATTAGATGGCCCCTTGGTCTGATCCAGCAAGGCTCTTCTTACATTCACCCATGTCAGTGGGTCTGGCTCTGGGCATGACCAAAGCCAAACACAGAGGAGAAACCTGTATGGCTAACCCATGAGCTCAGTCCAGTGCATGGCCCTGCTTTTGGCAAGAGAAGTGATGTTGACCAAGGTCTCACAGGGAGCTGGGGATTATACAGCCTTCAAAGAAAACTTGGGGGAAAAATACTAACTTCCTACATTTGTGAAATTGTTTTATTCACCAGGAGATGGGCGGTTGTTGTCTGTTGCTTTTGTGGAGATGCAGCGATGCGGGAACGCTTATCCTCTGAGGTTCTGGTGACGCAGCTCTTTTGAGGCAAAGCACTCCTGCCCAGAGAAAAATAGATGGTATCCCACTTGTTTTCCCCACTGTGGGGGTGGCTAGGATAACAAGGGAGGGGAGAGAGATCGGATCTCCCAGCTGCCCTACTTCAGAGAATGAACAAGGAAGTGGCAGACGGGGCAAGTCGCTTGAGCTTGCCCTGCCAGAGCATCATGCGTTCAGCTCCTGCAAAGTGCCCAGCCCCTCCTCTGAAGAGCCAGGATACGTCCTCCCTGGCTCAGGCCATTGCCACATGCTGATTCTCACCTGTGCTCCAGCAGCTGTCAAGCAGGCCTCTCCCTGCCCTGGGGCGGCCCAGCCTCCCCCGCGCAGCGCAGCGCAAAGAGGCGCTGCTGATTCAGGCACACGCATGCCGCACCCAGGCGAGGCGGACAGCAGCAGCAGCGCCACTCTGCTCCCCGGCTGCCGGGGCTCCGAACTCCTCCATGGCCCTCCGCTGGGGGATCTGCTCTGCCGGCAAGATCAGCCATGATTTCCTGGTGGCTCTGAAGACTCTGCCTTTGGCTGACCACAAGGTTGGGTGAGGGCCCGCGAGAGATGGGGGCAGGTGGGCGGGCGAAAAGGCCGGGGTTCTCCTCGAACAGGCAGGATCACCCACTTTCGTGTGCAGGAGTGACAGTTCACGAGAAATACAGCCAGCAAAGCTTTGCTTGTGGCTGCGGCTCCGCACTCAAAACAGAGGCAGCGGCTTAGCAGGAGAGCCTGGGAGGCCTTGGGGTGAAATCCTAGCAACACCAGGCAGGGCTCCGAACGACCTGGCCCAGAGCACCAAGTCCAGAGGCCCTCCTTTGCATGTGTGCCCAACCCCCACATTTATCCTTATGTTGCTGCTGATGCACCCTCCTTGCACACCTGCCCAGCATCCTGCAGGGTGCTGATGCTCAGGTGCACAGGACAAACCCAGCACCACCTGGGATTCCCCAGGTGGCGGCAGCCCAGTCCCCCCTCCCTTGCTAAGCTTGTGTGAGGAATCTGTCCTGGGGTGGGAGTCCCTGGGACCTGATGTTTAGCCCAGTTCCTTGCGGCTATGAGTCCGGCTTCCTACCGAGCGTTCCCACCAGGCCTGTGCAAACGCCGTGCCAGCAGCGTCCCTCCGCCACACGGGCAACTTGTCCCCTTTCTTTACGCTGCACGTGCTGGGTCTTCTCTTGGCTCAGCTCGCTTCCTAAGACAGGGCCAAGCGCGAGAAGGCATCCGAAGGGAGCCGGGATTCGGAAGAGATCGCTGCAGCCCTACGCAGGGGTTCGGTGCTTTCGCTTGCTTGATGGCTTCCCAGCTATTGCCTTTGGTTTGTTTCGTGGCTTCCGGGCTTCCACCCCATTCTCAAAAGCTGAACTGCCTCTCCTAACGCTTTGCTTCGTTACTATCAGTAAACAAAGTGGCATTCCTTCGAGGCAGAATATTTTTCCAGAGAACAGCGTGGGCAGCTTTCCAAAGTTACACCCCTGGTTTTAGCTAACATCAGCTGAAACTCCCAACTCCCTTTCTCTGCCTCAGCAAAGCTTTCCAATATTGTCCCTGCAGCTTCTCTGCTCCTGCCTCTCCACTAGCAGGGAGCGTGCCTGGCACCTCCACCAGGTCTGGGGGGCCTCCTCATGCCCCCAAAGAGCGGCAGAAACCAAATCCAGAGGGAGGGAGGGAGGCCTTCTCTTGGCTATTCAGCTTCACTGGGGAACCCTTGAGCACCATCCCGGCAAACGGGTGGATCATCAGCCAACAGTCATTCTTTCGGGTGAATGGCCCCTGAGCCCATGTCTCTATTGGTTTAATTTATCAGTTGAAAGGAAAAATGCTAACAAATTCAAAAAGTTAGTCCAGCCTTGCAAATACACATATCCAAACTGCTAGCATGCGAAACATTTTCCTAGCGTGCTTGGGGCTGGCAGAGGAATGACAGAGGATGCCGCCATACAAGATCAGCAAGGCCAGAGTCAAAAAGTACCTGAACATGCACTGTCAGTGTAGGGAGCTTTGCATTACTCCAAGGCCAGGTGTGGGGTGTCGGCTGGACTGGGGACTTGGGCGACCTGGCTCCTAAATCCTCACCCAGCCATGAGGCTCTCTGGATGACACTGACGCTCATCCGAACTGACTCGCAGGGTTGTTGCTGCGAGGGTAAAACGGAGCTGTGTATGCAACCCCGGATTCCTTCCCAGAGAAAAAAGGTGGGATATAAATGCGATACGAAAAGCAACCACCAACAACAACTTCAGAAGAATTGATCTACACAGACAGTAATCTATAATCCCACACTTTAACTTGTATTAGCCTTATTTTATATACTAACAAGTATTGTTGAGTGGAAGGTTGGGCAGGAAATGCATTTCTATTATTAATAATAGATTCTGAATGGAATCTGTTATTCCCCTGGTCAAGAGTAGGAGATATTGGAATGCGTGTATTTTTGTGAGTAATTAACTGGCATTCACTTGCCTTGCACCAGGCTAGGGACCACGTGTCCTTCCCATTCCCAGTCTCACAAGCTGGCTCCCCTCCCTCCCTCCAGGTCGTAGCCATTGCATCTCGTGATGTCAAGCGTGCCCAAGAATACGCCAAGAAGCATGGGATCTGCAGGGCATATGGATCTTACGAGGAACTGGCACATGACCCTGATGTAGGTAAGGATGGGACCTGGAAGGGAGCACCGGGACAGAAACATAACTCCCGCTGTGCACATGGAGAGAGGGAAAGGGGTCCAAGATGCCAACTTTCGAATCTCCTTCTGGTGAATCCCCTACAGCAGTGATGGCGGACCTTTTAGAGACCGAGTGCCCACACTGCAACCCAAATCCACTTATATATCGCAATGTGCCAACACTGCAATAAAACCTGAAAACTGCGGTTCTGGTTTAGAAAAAACAACTCACAGCCAGTCCAAGCAATATATATAAAATATCTAAATATATCTCCTTGGCAGCGCACTGACCAGCCATGCGAAGCTCAGACGAGTCACAGCTAATGAGTCCTGGCTCGTGATGTCATCGCCTGCCCCCACTACTCCTTTCCTAGCATGCGCATGGTCTCCATGTGCGTTGTCACCCAATGCTTGGCTGCAAGGGTAATGCTGGCGTGGCTTGGCTCACGTGCCAACAGAGAGGGCGATTTTGAAGAAGCCTTCCTTGAGTAGCTTTTTCTGCACAGCTCATCATTTCTCCCCATTCTAAACACACTCCAACCATCAAAATCATACCAGGACACCTCGTTTTTGTAACCCTAACCCTACCCTGGTGCACAACACTAACCCTAAAATAGGGTGAAATTTCCATAGAAAAGAGGGCAATTTTGAAAAAGCCGTCCTTCAGTAGCTTTTTCAGCACAGCTCAACATTTCTGCCCATTCTAAACACATTCCAACCATCAAAATCATGCCAGAACACCTCGTTTTTCTAACCCTAACCCTACCCTGGTGCACAACCCTAACCCTAATATTGGGCTAAAGTTCTAGCGAAAGGTGGGCGATTTTGAAAAAGCCTTCCTTGAGTAGCTTTTTCAGCACAGCTCATAATTTCTGCCCATTCTAAACACATTCCAACCATCAAAATCATGCCAGGACACCTCGTTTTTCTAACCTAACCCTACCCTGGTGCACACCCCTAACCCTAATATTGGGCTAAAGTTCCATTGAAAGGAGGGTGATTTTGAAAAAGCCTTCCTTGAGTGGCTTTTTCTGCACAGCTCAACATTTCTGCCCATTCTAAACACATTCCAACCATCATAACCATGCCAAGACACCCTAACCCTAACCCTACCCTGGTGCACACCCCTAACCCTAATAAAATACCATTGAAAAGGGGGCAATTTTGAAAAGGCCTTCCTTGAGTAGCTTTTTCTGCACAGCTCAACATTTCTGCCCTTTCTAATCACAACAAAACTTGAAAACTGAGGTTTTAATTTGGAAAAAAATCCTCACAGCTAGTCCAAGCAGATTTATATACATCCTTGGCAGTGGACTGACCAGCCATGCGAAAGTTTAGACGAGTCGCGGCTGAGTCATGGCTTGTGATGTCATCAACTGGTGCCACTACTCCTTTCCGAGCATGCGCGTAGCCCGTATGTGTGCTGTTATCTGATACTCAGCTGCTGGGGCGATGCTGGGGCGACTTGGCTCGCAGGCTGACCAAGAGGGCTCTGCATGCCCGCTGTGGCACATGTGCCATAGGTTTGCCACCACTGCCCTACAGTTTCTGCCACAGGCCCTGCTCTGAGTTTCCCACAGGAAAGAACTTCAGTCGGCAGCTGATCAGACATAAGAGCTTTCCTCCATTTCACACTGACAAAGCCTCCCTTTCCCATTGCTACAAAGGGAAAAACTCTTATCTTTGATCAGCTGCTGACAGAAGCATAAATTGGTGGTGAAAAACTACTACAGAATGCAAAAATGGCCAAAGGTGGCATAAATGCAAGCAAGATCTGCTGCTAGTTTGAGTGGCGTGGTGCCTACAAGGGCTGTGTCTACCCATCCGCATGGGAGCCACCCTTGTTCCAGACGCTGAAGCCAGCAGAGATCAGGCACCTCCAGCCCACAGACAGACTCCTCCCCAGGGCTGCGCCCTGCTTTTCTCGATGGCATCCTGGGACAGAGCTTGCGGCGGGGCAGTGCTGCATCCCATCATAAGGGCCAAGGAAGTGAATCGGGGGCAGTTTGGCCAGAGGGGCAGGGCACTTCCCCACCCCCGCTGGTCTCCAGAAACATGCTGAGACCCTTCACTTGGGAAGCCCCGTCTCCTACCTGGAACCTTTGCTCATGCATCTCAGCCTGACAGCGGTGAAGGGGCTGCTCCCTTCCCTTTCTCAGAGATTCACCTACTGCAGCCACTGCAAGCAGCGGATTTGGAGGCTGAGTCTGCAGGTTCTGCAGCTCAGACTGGGCCAGGGCCCCTCTCCATGCTCGCCTCACCATCTCCTGGGCTCTCTCCATTCAGATGTGGTCTACGTGGGGGTGATCCATACCCAGCACTGCGCCCTCACCCTCATGTTCCTCCGGGCAAAGAAGAACGTTCTGTGTGAGAAACCCTTGGCCATGAATGCAGCTGAAGTCCGGTGCATGATCCAAGCTGCCCGGGAAAATGATGTCTTTCTCATGGAGGTAAGAAACGCAGTCAGGACAGTGGAAGAAAGAGGGTCTGTGAGATGTGGGTTCAAGTCCCAGTTTTGCCACTGTGGGGCCTTAGACCAGCCTGTCCCAACTGCATGACCTCCAGATACACTGCCCAAAAGTCTCCATCAACGTCCAGTTGCATCGCTCTTCCAGCGAGGATCTCCACTCCCCCCCCACCTTGGCTTTGCTCCTGTTCTACTAAGCACAGTCCAATGTAAAGAAATGTACTGGGTGAAGCTTTTCCTGCTCACTATGAGGTCAGTGGGTTCAAAGAGCAATTGGGTCCACAGTGAGAAATCAAATTATCTTTTGAAACAACCCATAAATAACTTTCTGCCAAGCTTTAGTGCCAGGCTAGAGGTATCTCTGCACAAGCCATTTATTGTGCCACTTGTGATTCCCCAGTCACAGAAGTTTGTGCAGCCTGTGTGCGTGTGTTTGTTGTTGTCATTGTTTAAAGGAAAGCTTACTATTTTCCTAGACAGTGCCATGATTTGCTACAAAAAACATGAAATATTCTTGCTCTTTACCACAGAGTTGACTTGAGTTGTGCAATGGAACAGATAAAAAGGCAGAGAGGAAAATCCCTGGGGGCGGCGGGGGACAAACAAGCAAAAACAAAACCAGGTGCAAAGGAAGAAGCTGGCTCTATTAGATCAGACAGCCCCTACAAAGTACTTTAGAGTAGATATACAGGGAGTAGGGTTTACTTCTGAGTAAGCATGCAAAGGAATGGGCTATAATACCAAAAAGTAGCATTATCAGGACAGAAAATGATGGAAATAGTTGTAAAATAATAGACCAAAAAACCTAACTCAGTGATGACAGATCAATGGTCTCGAAGAATGGATTAAAATATTGGGAGCAGAATCCTAGGCATGTTTAGACAGAAAAAGTCCTATAATTGGGAACTGTAAGACTCTTCAATCCACCATGCTAGGGTTGCACCTGGAATATTCAAGTGCAACAGCAGTCCCAGGATTGCTCCTGAAGAAAGGAAGGGATCAGAAAAGCTGGCCCTGTGATCTCTAGAGGGCATTTCAGTTTCTGAGAGACTCAAGCATCCCCTTAACAGAAAGGCATGCCTTGGGCTCTTAGAAAGGAACTGCAGTTCCATAGTGCAACACTTTCTTTGTCTTCAGAAAATCCTGGGTTTCCAGGTAATAAAATCAGAGCACTCTGCAGGCAGAACAGTCCTTTGTTTGAAGGCACCTTGTACATGTCTAGTTTAAACATAACTATTATAAACACGTTTCTCTCCTGTCCCTTTTCTTTTCCAGCAGATCAAAATCAAAAGCTTATAAATACAGTCTTTTAATGGATCTTGGCAGGTTTTGCTGAGTTACTGGCTGTCTTCTATGAGAGCTGTTAAAAAGCTGCATAAAGCAAAGAAACGATCCCTCTGCTCTGTGGGAGTAGCTTCTGCCCATGTGAAGAGTTGATCCCAACCTGAAACCACCCCCTTGTTTCTTTTCCCGGAGCCTGGACTCCACCCTCAGGAGCAAAGTGCTTGACCTTCCCCGACAGAGCCGCCTGCTCAGGTTGGCACCCCCTCACCTGCCTCACTTGGTCTAAGAATTCACACACCTCCTTGTCCATTTCCACAGTGCATCCTCCCATGCCCAGGATGGTTTGGTTCTCAGTCACTGCCTGATGGATTTCACTCATTAGCCTTGGCTTTTCCATCACCTGCCAGCTCCTCCTCTCTTCTGCCCCCTTTATCTCACTTTCCACGTCTGAACTGTCTGGTTAAGAAAGCTACATTGTGAGAAAGTGGGGCCGACCTCCATAACAACCAGAAGAAGGCCAAGCAGGGCCCTAACGCACCCAACTCTGGCGAATTAAGTGCATTTTTATTTAAACTCTAATTGTTCCTAAATCTGCACATATAAGTATAAACAAATGCATGCCAAATTAAGGCACTCTTTGGTTCTCAGTCCCTATTTATTTATTTATTTATTTATTTATTCAATTTCTCTCTTGCCCATCTCCCAAAAGTTGACAGCATGGATTCCCTATCCCTAATACACACTTTAAAAAACACAGAATAACATTGTGAGCCAGTGAGTGTGAAAGACAGTAACTGACTTGAGGCAAATTTTGGAGCTGTGTGAGGATTTGAACCTACTAGTAACTCCAGAGGGTTCCACCTAGACTTATCAGTGTCTAGTGTGTTAGATTTGCAAACTACAAGCTGGTTTGTTTGTCTGCCTTTCTTAAATTGTATAGCACCCACCCACCAACAGCTTTGTAAAGATAAATAATATTCTTTTAGTCACTCAGGAGTAGACTCTCTTTTACTTCTCATATTGCATCAAGCTTTGCCCCCACACTGCTATACTAAACTTCAACAACCAGAAACTGGGGTTGTTAGACACTTCCCCAAAATACACAAAGCATGTTAAACATTCTGCTTTCAAATTGTGCCAAACTGTTCTTTTACCTGCTTGCATAAAATACGCCCAACTGCTGACTGCTGTCTCTTCCAGGGTTTCTGGACTAGATTCTTTCCTGTATCAGAGCAGATCCGCACCGTTTTGCAACAGAAATCTCTCGGAGACTTAAAGGTGCTCAAAGCTCAGCTGGGTTTTAAAATGGACGACATCCCGAGGATAGTGGATAAGAAGATGGGTGGAGGCGTCATTCTGGACTTGGCCTGTTACTGCATCCAGTTTGCTTCTATGGTGTTTGGGGCGGAAAAACCACAAAGCATCGTGGCCTCGGCGCTGCTACATCACACAGGTAACGCGCCGAGCTGCTGGCGGGGCAGGCCAGAGTGGCGTTAAAATTGCTCGGAGGGCTGCAATTACCTTGCAGGAGAGGGAACGGAGACCTCACTTTGCTTTCCGTACATTTCCCAGGAGTGGATGAAACGACCACCATCATCCTCAACTACTCAGGGAACCGGCAGGCCGTGCTGAATTGCACCATGATGATCAACTTACCAGGAGAGGCACTGATTGGGGGAACGGAAGGCATTATTAAGGTGCGTATTCAGGCCACCTAATGGGCGGGATCTCCATTTCGCGTGGGTTTGGATTTGCTTTTTACTAGAACCTGTGAGGTCCGCCAAGTAGTAAAACGATGATTCGGAGTGGAGCAAGGCACGGAATGGTGCTGGCACAGAGCCAGGTATAAGAGCCATACTTTGGGACTGCTTATACTGATATAAATTATGTTTTTCCTTCCAAGTAGTTACAGTGCAGTAATTTTCCATCCTGTTCTTAGGGTGCCGTCCTATGCATGTTTAAACAACTGGCTGACTGAGGAATGTTGAGAATTTAAGGACATTTTCCCCCCTGTAAGCATGCATGGGATGGTTTTATTGGAACTACTTTTAGAAGAGACGTGGTTTACTTCAAAGTGGAAGTTTTTTTTTTAATTTATTAGATTTATATCCTTCTTATAACAAACTCAAGGCATTCTCCTCTTGCTCTCAATCCCCACAACAACAACCCTGTGAGGAAGGTTGGGCTGAGCGTCTGTGACTGGCCCAAAGTCACCCGGTTGGCTCCATGGCTGAGCGGGGACTAGAATCCAGATTGCCCGAGTCCCAGTTCCACATTACATGATCATCTTGCCCTCATGTCTTCTCTTCTTCCGGATGAGTTGGACTACAACTTCCATCTCCCCTCAACCAGGCTGCGGCGTATGCAATGGGAGTTTTTGGTCCAGTACATCTGATTGACACCAGCTTGGGAAAGGCTAACAAGAACCCTTTCCTTTATTAGATTTATATCCCCCCTTTTATTACAATGAACTCAAAGAGGCTAACATCATTCTCCTCTTCTTGCTCTCAATCTTATTCCCACAACAACCCTGTGAGGAAGGTTGGGCTGAGAGTCTGTGACTGGCCCAAAGTCACCCAGCTGGCTCCATGGCTGAGCGGGGACTAAAACCCAGATTGCCTGAGTTCCACACTCTGAACTACACCACACTGGCTCTCACAGCTAACATTTCTATCTGCACCCCCACTTCTGAAAGCAACCACCGCTCTGTGCTTTACAGCTGCTTCTACAGTCTTTGCCAACTGTGATTTTTTAAAAAGACAGAAAATACATTATCTGGTGCATGGGTTAAGTTCAATTTTTAAATTCACTTTAAATCATAGCATCAGCATGACTATGGCAATATAACAGAGCCCTGGTGCTAAACACATTTTCTTGAGAATAAGCAGCATTTGCTGAGCCCGCTTGCCAGAGCGCATCACCTGCCACTTTGTGGTTGACTTTGGGGACCCTCTGGGTTGCCTCTGGACCCGAGACCCAGCTCAGAGGGCATTATTGCATCCAAGAAGATCCGAGGGGTATATGTGGGTCTCCCAAAACGCTGCAAGAGGTGAGTGGGTTGAAATCCACAAGCGAGCTTCCTGAATGGCCATTTCCCTTGGAGTGGCAGGATCGGGGTGGGAGTGAGGCCTTGATAGTAAGAGATTGTGGAGATGGACAACGAAAGGATTCTAGGGGTCAGGAAATGTGAGCTGGGATAGTGCTGTGACCAAGAGTATGAGCTGTAATCCTGAAGGCTTCTGGGTCATAAAACTGCAATGCCAGCCCTGTGGTGTTGCTAGGTGGCCTTAGCAAGCTTCAAGCTCTCAGTGTCCCCCCGCTCCCTGCAGTGGGAGGAGGGGACACTGAGAGTGGGGAAAATGTGATATCAGAGTGGGCAGAATTGGGATCTGAGCTGCATCACACAAACCAGCCCCTGGGAATGCAAATAAAAGAATGGATTTGAAGGACGTTTGCTCTAATCTCAAAATACAAAATACAAATCTGGAGGGGCAAGGCATCTTGCAGAGGAGAAATCCCAGGAACAAACCCACACCATTTTCTTCTCAAGCTGAAGGCACCCTCCTCCTCTTTCTAGATCCCTGACCACATGAACAGCCCCACAGTCATGTTCCTGAAAGGCAACCAGTGGGAGTGGCCCCTGCCGCCCTCTCCCGAGCCGCTCTTCTTCGCGCACGACATCGGGCTGCGATATGAAGCGGAGCACATCCGCCACTGCCTGAGCAAGGGTAAGGCGAGAAGTTGTGGGGTTGGCCAAACCGGAGGATGCCGACCGAGCCATGTTCCTCCCTGCCCTGCTCCTGAATCATGATCCATTTAGTCCAGAGGTGGGGAACCATCCCTCAAAACCATCGTTTGTTTGGCTGCTTCCACACAGCCCCCGTCTCCCCATTCCAAAAGGTTACTGGTACTATGAACTCTAAGCTGAAATATGCTGGTTCTTGTACCTTCGCAATGGGCCCGCTCCCCATGGCTGCCAAACTGATGCACAGAGAGTCGCTCCCGCTCCACCACAGCTCCTCAGTAAGGAACCTCCAGAGGCATAATCCTGGCTCTTGAACGTGGTGTCCCCCTGCAGCCACTTCACTAATAGCAAATTAATTTGCTGTACGCACTATTAATATAGCCCACATTTGTATAGAAACCACTTGCACCATCCACAAAGGAGAGGGAGCTTTGGGGGAATCTGAAGGTTTGCAGATAAACAGAGTGGACAAAAACTTAAGGTGGGGCAGGGGACTGGCAAAAGACCCACAAGGATTTAGAATGCTCTTCACCAGAAAATGGTCGTAACGGGAGGAGGGATGGAGTATCCAGCTAGGAGTATGTGTTTCCAATTAGGTAACTGTAAAGTCTGTTTCCTATAAATGAGTTGTTACAGAGAAACATATAGTTTGCAGGGAAGAAAGAACACTTGAAGCCAAATAACAGAAATAAAGGCAAGTTTATTTGCACAAAAGTAATAAACTTCAAATGAGTGGGAAGTCTGCAGCCCTCCAGGAATTGCTGGGACTACAACTCCCATCACCCCCAACCATTAGTCGTGCTGGCCTGGAGATGGCAGTTGCAAGTCCAGCGACAGGGCCAAGGGCACCCCTGCTCCACAAGAAAACCAGACAGGCCTGTGCTGCAGCCTGCTTTCCTGTGAATCCAGTTTCCCGTCTCCCTTGCAGGTTTGAAAGAAAGCCCCATCATGCCATTGTGCGAGAGCGAAATGATCGTCACCATCATGGATGAGGCACGGAAGCAAGTGGGGGTCATCTATGAGCAAGACCAGGCTGTACTGGACAAGCAGTGTGGCAGGACCTGCCAATAAACAGGCACTTCTGGCCAACCCACTCGATGCCTGAAGAAGCTGCATCAAGTCGCACACCTCTGAGCATGGGTAGCACTGTCTGGATCAGAACATGGAAGCATTTTTCTTGCGAGTGCAACGCTTTGCCCTTGCTGTCCACACTCACACACAAAGCTACTGAAGAACTGGGAGGGGAACATCGAACCCAATTCTCCTTCTCTTCCCAACTAACCTGGCACCCTCAAGTGGGTAAAACAGCTATAACCTAGCCTTTAAGAATTCCACTTACATTTAAATAAGGTAGTTTTAGTACTGATAGTTCCAGCCAATGGCAAGTGCTCAATATTAGTCACTTTTTCAGCTTACTTCTATGCCAAAGGGCCATCCTGCTTCCTACTTGCATTTTAGGCCAGGGATGGGCAGCTTGTGACTTTGCCAATGCTCTGGCCTACAAATCCCATAAATCCCAGCTAGTGTAGCCAATGGCGAGAGCCAAAGGGGTTCTGGGACAAAATACCTGGAAGACTGCAGCTATATGAACATTAAAACCAAATGAAAAATATAGGAACTTGTGTGACATTGTGGACTCTCAAAACCCTAAAGCTTCAGGACTAGCCATTCTCTTCTGGGACCATATTGAGCTTCTACGTACTAAAGGAGCACTTCCACATTGAGTATTTTTGCAGGGGCTCTCAGAAAATGGCTGGGAGGGGAACTTGGGCAGCCCACTCACAAACGGGCTACCATGGTAGGCATGCCCAGTCCCTAAACACCAGTCCTAAAATTCCTTTCCCAGAAGGTGGAGCAATGAGAGTAAAACAGCTTGCCCAGAATCCAAATAAGAGGCAGAGCAGAGGTCTCTACACCAAATCAAAACACAAAAGCACTCCCTTGAACGAGCATTCACCACTGCAGGGCAGTGCTTCATCTGGCAGCATAGCCTCCCATCTAAAACATGCTTTAAAAGAAGTTAAGAGAAAAGAATTAGGCAGCCATATTAAGATCTCAAAAGGTGGGAAAGTAAGAGCACAACCTCCAATGTCAAGAAATCAAATCCCCAGCAAGCAACAAGGTCAAATGATTGCCTACTGGGCTGTTGTAATTTACTTGCCACGTAAATACACCATGCAAAAGGACTGAGCAGTTGCTCAGCTGTCACTTGAGGAAATGAAATGTCAATCAAGCCACTGATGAAAAAATGATTAGGAAAGCTGCTCCAGCCCCCGTTTTTGACTACAATTCCCAGTACCCCTGACCACTGGTCATTGTCTGGGGCTGACAGAAGCTGAAGTGCAAAATGACCAGAAGGCACCAGATTTGGGAAGGCCGCTTCACTTCCTAAGAGCAGTCTACTCATTTACTACCATTACCAGATGCAACATTTCCATCTAGGGAATCTGAGAATCCTGGCTCCTGCCCTCCTCGGTGCCCCTTCCCCTCGACTGTAAAATCTGACTGCAGCAATGACTGAATGGCTCCTTTAAAGAGGCCCTTTGACGTTCAAACACAAAACCAAGAGGCTGCAAACTTCATCCTTTATTGAGAAGTGAACCTGGACATTTAGAGTTACACCAAAATGCCATGCTGTTTGAGGATGTCTGTGTATTTAGCAGTCTTGCTCTCCACATTTTTCTCTGCCTGCTTTCGGAGTCTCTGCAATAAGAAAAAGGGGAGGAAGTCATTTGGGGTAAAGTTTTAAGAGACCAGAAAGTACTGGAGAATGGAGATCTGATGCTAGAGCAACAGCAAGAACAGAAATTGCCAGTTAATTTAGGATTCCTTCAGTATTCTGAGGCCTCATTTATACCACACTGATAGGTAAGCGATCTACTATATTTTTTAAGTTAAGAGGAAATCTAAAGGCTCTGACCTCTGACTTCCAGATGCATACATAGGCTCCCCTTCCCAAGCCTTAATTTGCAGGGTAGAAAAAAGGCCTTCTTTTTGCTCATAAAATCCAGAGCACCCTTCACAACAATGCAGAAGGTTGGCTCACCATCAGCTGCTTCTTCTTTGTGTAATGGAGCTTGGCCTTTTCCTTGCGTTTCTCCTCCAGGGTGGCTGTGATGGCCTGATACTTCCACCCAACCTCATGGGCAAGGCGTCCCAAGTATGCAAACTGTACACACAAGAAAAATGCAACAGCTTAGAAACCAGAATTGAAAGCCCCTGGAATTAGCCCCATACCACCTGACACCTAAAGCCCACTCCTCACATGGTCCCCACCCCATTTTCTCCGCCTATTTACCAGATCCCAAGCATCCATTGCGCAATTCCATTCTCTAAAACGATTCTGCAGAGTCAGTGGCCAATCTAAATCCCTAAATCTACCCCATGCTACAAACTCTGTTTTTCCTTTATTGCATGGGCAACTTGTTGCCCTTCAAGATGTTTTAGGCTGCAACTCATGCGCTGGATGGGCTATACCAGACGAATGGTGAGGAGCTTGTCAAGGTTCACCAGGCAATGCAACATCCTTCCACAGCACCCAGAAGCCAGGATAGTATCTTGGAGGCAACCCAGGGCTCTACGTACAGCCTCAGCATGTAGAATTAAGAGTACCAGAGAGAAATGCCCGAGAATTGCCTACCCTAACTATGTTCCTTGGATAAGGACTGCTTTTGCTGTGAGAAGTAACTGTTCTACTGAAGCAGCTGCATCCCCACCTTGTCTCCCAGAAAAGGGTATTAAATTGTGGCTTACTGACCACCTCTGAAATGTGGGAGGACCACAATAGCTTGTTAAGCTTGTGCTTTGGCTTGGGATGACATGCCTACAAATAAGGCAGCACAGCAAGTCTTGCTGCATTAAGAGGTCCTGTAACTGTGACCATATGGGCATTGTAAGGTTATCCCTGTTAATGTTCTGCACCTACCTTCCATCCTATTCAATAAACCAAATGTTTGGTTTTACACAAATGTTTCCATATTTTTCTGATTATCCTACAAGCTACACTGAGGTGACCTCCAAACTTTCATTGGCCCCAGTCACCAAAGAGCACTAGGGAGCTGCTGAACAAAAACATTTGGAAGACCACAAGCTGCCCACCCCTCTGCTTCAACAGAACCAGAATTCCCATTGCCCATCTCAATTCACTTAAGATTCTGCTGCTTACCCAGAAGGGATACTGTGCCCGCTTTCCCTACAAGCACAAGGCCATACAGCCACCGAAGGGCTGGTCTCAGATGGTAGTGCATGAAGAGTTGCTGTCTCACGGTCTTGAGACTCGAACTAATGGTGGAGTGTCATCATCACAGACCTGCCCTGAGCCAATCCCTCCACAGAGTTTGGGTAAGTGCAGCAGGAATGGCTGTTTGGTCAGGACCCTGTTTCTCACAGGCTGAGAAGAATGAATTGTGCAGGCCTGGATACAGACTGTCACTCACCAGCAGATCCACTGAAGGCAATGGAACTTACAAGAAGTCATGGTTAACAGTGGATAAGCAAACCAAGGCATTTGCTTCAACAAGATGCAGCTAGGGCCACTTCTTTGGACAGCTTTAAAGGAGACTGAACAAATTCATGGAGGAAAACACTTGCAGAGGTGGGATCCCTGTGAATGCCAGCTGTGGCAGGAAATGGGTGGGGCGGAGGGTGCTGTTAACTCATGTCCTGTTGCGAGTTTTCCAAGGACTGCTGGCTGACCATTGTGTGTGCAGCATGCTGGCCTAGGACTCCCGTCTGCTCCAGCAGGGACCTCACGACCAGCTTAAGGTGCAATCCTGTGTCCGGGGTATGCTGGGAAATGTAGGCAGTTTTTCTCTTAACCATACAGCATCTCATCTACTTTGATGGGGCTAAAATGGGATCCAATCCACAGTGGCAAGACAAATGATGCTATGACTGTAATGATGTAAACAACAGGCCTTGTTTACATTTTCAGGCAGAAACCAGGTTGCAGGGGCTGCCACTATTAGATTAGAAATGCTATTTCCAAGTTCTCTTGGAAAAAATCTCGTTTCCAAGCCATGTAGGAAATCCTAAGTGCAATAGTCCACGTAGCCAAGCATGATTTACTCTGAGCTGTTGAGTTCTCCCAGCCTTTCGGCAGCTTTTCTACATCTGGCTATACAAGCTCCCTTTAATTGGACTTGGTAGGGCTAGAACTTGTGACCTTCTGATCAGAAGCACGTGCTCGACAGCTAATTTTGAGTCCTGTGAACTCTCCTCAAGTGGGTACTTTCAGAGCACTGGATGGCAGCAAAGAAATATTGCAAGACATTCTGTGTGCTCCTCACAGGGCCTGTGAGGCATCAAAGAGCAGCAGGAAGGGTACCTTGCGTGTGGGCTTGAGGCGGACCACTTTCAGAGCTGCAGGGACCACCATCCTCTTGCGCTGTGGAAGACACACCCGGTTAGCCACATGTACAAGTCAAAGGCAACTGCCCGCCGTTTCCAAAGGCACAAAATCTGCCTCAGTGTTGATTTTTTTTTTCTCACTCCGCAAGTCAAACAATGTAGGTAGGAAAGAAAAACATCACTGGCAGGAGACCAAGGAATTCACACAGCCCACCTGCCCCTCGGGAGAAAGCTGGAGGGTTTACCTTGTCGTAAGGAGGGGGGATGCCATCAAAGACCTTCAACCTTTCCAAGGCAGCCTGGCCACGTTTGGTTTTGTGGGGGAGCATTCCTAGGAAAGGCAGAAAACATGGATGGGGTGGGCAGGCAGAACTTCCCGGATAGAGAGTGGTGTGAGTTCTCTAAGAGTATGATACATTTAGTATGAAAATTAAAAGCGGTTGAAGCTCCAATCAGTTTATTTGTGACAGTGACCTAGAAATGAATGCCCTTTGGAATTAAAATATGAATCGACATGCCCTGTGCTTCCTGTACTATTGCGCAGTTTGGAATATAAGTTAATGCAAGTTTGTACTGAATTGTGCACCTTTCAGTACAAATCATTTTTTAAAATTATAGATTATGCAAATCCAATGGAAAAGAAAGTGACATGCCCTGAAAATAAATCAGTTTACCCATTCTCAGTATGCTATGCTGAAATCTAACATTTCGATTTTAGAAACACCTGAGTTGCACATTCTGGGAATACAATCAATGGTAAATGTGTGCACACTTAAAAAAGAAGCAATTTTAGAATAATTTTTTTGGCTAAATAAAATTGGCGGGAGCATGATGCACTTACCTCGCACCGTTCTCCAGAAGATTCGGCTGGGGGCACGGAAGTGGTACGGACCACGGGAGGGGTTGGTGTTCATACGCTTGCGCAGGAAAGCAAGATATTTCACTGGGAGGAAGGGGGGTGGGGAAGCAACTGAATTAGACCAGGCCGGCAAGGATGTTATCCTGGGTAAAGCCCAGCAGGCACACACTTCCATTTCTAAATGGAAAGACCAACAAGGCACCGCCTGCAGACTTGCAATTCACCTCAGTCCCTGGAAACTATCACTTGGCTTTTAGACACTCTGCTCAGAACACACGTTATCTCACAATAGCGACAGCTAAAGTGGGCCTTTCACAATGTCCTAGTGCCCAAGCCAGAATAAAAACTCTTGTGCATGTACCACAAGATTCCAGGCCATAGACAGTCCTTAGACAGGCCATGCTCACCGCATGAGCAAGAAAAAAAGCACATGGATGAGAAGATGGTTCCTCTCCCCATTTAAACATACAAGTTACCCTAAAAGGCACCTTCAGCTTTCATCCCAGTTATCTTGCTCCCTAGATTTCTGTACTGTGTTGTTGCAGAGCCTGAAATCCCTGATTGGGAGATGAGGCTCAATTCATCTAGTCCAACCTTCAGGGCCCAGCCCAGGCCACAGAGGTTTTCAAGAGGCAGAACATGCCATGGGAAGAGGATGGTGATCTCAGATGGTAGTGCATGTACAGTTGTCTCATGGCCATGACACTCGAACAAATGGTGGTAAGGCATCATCACAGACCACCAGCCCACCTCTCAAGCAGGCACAAAAAAATGGCAGAAACAAGACTTCAGCTAGTCCTTGGTGCTTTCAAAGTGCTAAACAGCTTTCCAATCCTGTCCTGCTTTTTTCTATTTCCAGCTGTGGAAATTAAATGAATGCTAGTTGGGTAAATTAGAATCCCAAGGCTGCGTGTACTCAGCACAAGAAGGGACCAAAATCTGCCGTGTGCAAGCTATATGAACTGATCTTATAAATGCAAAATTGACCAACTGGCATAGTACACTGCTTACTTCAATCTCAGAGGAAGATACAAAGTCAAGCACCAAAGATTGCCCCTCTGTCTACTGGAATTCTCTTTAGAATCTTTGTTGAGCAGTGTCCACATTTCCCTCTGCAGTCAAAAGGACTGGAGCCATGCTTAATAGATACAGGCTGCAGCTCTGCTTTTCTAAGCCAATGCACCTCAGTTACAAAGAAAGCAGAGCTGTAATTGCCCCACTGTTCAAGACAATTAATCTTCTAGCACAAATGACAGATTTTGGTGCCAGCTGCTTTTCTAAATTGTAATAACAATGTAGGATGTTTTGTTCATTTCACTTGCAAGAAAAAAGAAGAAGTAGCAAGTCTCCACAAAACTTCTATTCAAATGTTACTGCAGCACTCTCCTGTGCATCTTCTGGAAAAAACAGAAGACTGTTGCCAGTTTGCTTTTATAAAAAAGCATATTCATTCCACAGCATGATTTTGCACCCGTGATGAAACTCATAGTAGTTAAATACATGTGGAGCTATTTTTACTAAAACAGGTTAATTGCAAAGCCTGGCATCTTTGAGGGACTATAATTGTTCCAATTTGGTTGGATTACATCTTGAAAAATATAGCAGCTCAAAGGAGCAGAGAATTGGCCATGCATAAAAGGCTCTGTAGGCCAAATGGAAGCAATGGCAGAAGAATCCCCTCACTCAGAAGATGTGGACAGTTGAAGAATCCGTCTTACATTTGTTACGATAGAAATTGCCGGATATATTGATCCCTTCACATCGCACAACCACAACTTTGCGCCCTAGAACAAAAAACAGAAAGTACCAGATGAAACCATATACCACAAAGTTCAGGCTGGAACATCAAGGCTTCAGAAGGGGAATCTGAGTACTTTACAAGTAGAGGATCAACAAGCTATAATTTTGTATTCCTGTGAAAGCTTGATACTGGAAAACAGCAAGTTGATCTAGCATGTAGTAGATAAACCCCTTGTCAACCTCCCAAAGCTCCGGAACGAATGCTAAGTAGCTTCTATAAAAAAAAAAAAAATAAGGATCTTGGGAAGCAAGGCTACCAGCAAGATCAGACAATGCTGAGCTAGACAGACTAGTAGTTTCAGCTAGAGTAAGAAACGGTATTTTGTTCACAAGAAAGCATATGCCACAAACATTCAGGATGCGACAAAAGAACCTGAAATGGTGGTAGAGGTGTTACCTCCAATTATGGGCCTTCTCTAAGTAGGAGGCCTCTAGCAATATATCACCACTATTACAAGGTTCTGTTCATTTTGTAACACTGGGAAAGAAACCTGGGTTAAAAGCAGCCTCATACAAAAGTTTCTCCAAAAGCCAGAAGACAACTTCATAACTTGATGACACATCCACTTGCCACAACCTGAGCATCTTGTGTGTGCCCAGCACAGTACAGACTCTCCGTATTTTGCATGGGAGTGGGGTAAGCCCCCTTCCCCACCTCCCAACCTAAAATAAGCCTTACCCAGCAAGACTTGCTTGGCCACAATGGCTGCCAAGCGACCCAGCAGGTGACCACGTCCATCAATCACCAATACCTGGAAAGAGAAAAAGTAGCTTTAACTGGGGACTGTAAGGATTTATCTAGGACTAAACTAAAACCACATTTCTTAGATCAAAAAGCTTTCTTAGTTCTACCAATGATTGAATAGGAGGCAAATTATTATATAGTTCCTAGATTAAAGCGATGGATTTCTCCAACCCTACTACATATTTGGAGGAACTTAAATGCTGGGGCATAAGTGAAGGGATAACTTCCATCTATGCAACCATGTGAAGTTTGTCTATCACACTGTAAAGGAATCATATCCCACTGATCCAACCAAGTAATTACACATTTCTGTATGCCGTTTCTCTCCTAGATGGGTAAATCTGCAGCAAGATATGCTTTTCTTCTTGCAGTTTTATCCTGTCTATTTGCCTGCAGGATGACCATTCTCAGCTATTATCTCTCACCCATACCAGTTTTTGATATGGTTGTATCTTCACTGTAAATATGTCAAAACTTGTACGACATGCTATCAATCTTACTACAAATGAGGGGTTGTATCTGACAGCAATGCACCTAAAATGCAGCTGTGAAACAAACTGGCATGCCCCTTTACAGAAAATAGTGAGATATTCAGTAGGCACACATTGTTATGCCTCTACTGGAAAAAGAGAATCGGGAGAACAGAAACTGTGTGGGACATACTGAAACACAGTAAGTGTCCTGTTAGAAAGCAAGGATAAACTGCAACATTTTACACTGCACAAGTCTTCTTTGTGACCTTCTCAAATGCCCTCTTCTCTCAAACCAGATAATAGTCTAATAGCAGTCGAAAAATATTCTTAAGTAAAAAAATTAATAATGTATTGCTTAGAGCAAAGACTGCTATCAGTAAGAACCACTGTCGACTAACCACGGAAAAGCCAAAAAAGGCGAATTTGGAAGCAGAGCCCACTAAGTCTGATAAAGTTTATTTATTTATTTAAAACATTTCTATGCCGCCCCATCGCAATAAGCCTCGGGGCGGCTCACAACATCAAAAAAGTCAACCATACATTAAAACCCCCAATACAATAAAACCCCCCAATACAATAAAACCTCAGTGCATTCTCGGCTATAAAAAAACCCTAGTTAAATAAATAAATTAACAATTAAGTTTTTAATAAAAAGGTCTTAGCCTGGCGCCGAAAAGCAACTAACGACAGCGCCAGGCGGACCTCCCTGGGGAGCGCATTTCATAAATGGGGCGCCACCGCCGAGAAAGCCCTCCTCCGGGTTTTCCTTCCAAACACGTGTAGGATCGTATGCTTGGTTGAAAGCCAAAGTTCATTTGCTTAGGCTGTCCACAGAAACCTCAATAAACTCCAATTTACCGCTGTGATCCTAAACACGCTTATGAGAGTGCAAACTCCGCTGAAGGCAGTGAAACTTACCACTGCGGAAACACACTGGTAATACATTTAACAGTTTCAAACGAACGATTCACCACTCCACACACGCTCAGAAACAGTATTATCCAGCCTGACACCGGGATTACCGCAGCCTAAGCTTTCTTTTTCTCATCTTTATCTCCCCGCTCCACACGCCTCCACACCAGGCCAGGCCGGGCCGGCTTGGCTCCACGTGATCCCCCCAGCTACAAAGATCAGCTATCCTCAGGGAAGGGGTGAGGAAGATGGGAAGCGTAATCCCTCCCCAGTCTCCACAGCCGCCTGCGTTCCCGCTAACCCGCGATTACCCCCCCAAAGTCCCTCTCCAGCTCTCCGCACCTTGGGCTCCGCCATGGCAGCTTCTCGGCGGTCGCACGGGAAAGAGGCTCCGCCCAGCGCACGCCACGGGGTTACCTTCTCCAGCCGGCTTGGGAAAGGCCAAAGAAGCGCAGGGGCGGAAGTGATGTTAGGAAAAGACGTAAAACACGCCAGAAAGCCGAATGGAACGTAAAGTGCGAACTTCCGGTAAAGATAGTAAAGCGCTGGCGGCGCCGCCTTCAGGGACCGGGCTTGCCTCAAAGCGTGGTAGTGACGCTCTACCTGCTTTTTCCTCTCTATGGTGGAAGCGCTCGTCCCCTTTGAAACCAAGTTATACAGAAAGGATTGATTCGGGCCGTGTAGCAAAAATGTTTACGTTTGCTGTAGTAGAGATTAAATAAATCACCTTTTGTTTTTTAAATATTTTCATATGGAAGTACTGGAAACGTAGACATCTTCTAAGTTCACGAAGCGGCTGACACCGAGCGGCTCTCTGAGGGCGGAAATGACGTAGCCAGTCGCCTCCGCTGCGGGCCGTGCCCTTACCTTCGCGGGCGGGGGGAGCGTTGGAGTCCCCATTGGCCGCTTTTATAGAAAGTCTCCGCGAACGGTGTCTGGTTGCTCGCACGTGCAACTGGGCAGGAATAAAGTTCTGCAGGACAGCACTGCCCGGTCTCGAAGGCACGATTCTGTCTGCTTTACTTGGGAGTAAGCCCAACTCCATTCATTGAGGCTCGTGTTTAAGGAGACATGTAGGGGATCTCTCCGTTAGTGGGCTTGCTCGTTTGAAAAACCGGTTTAAAGAACAGTTTTAGACAGATCTCACCGTGGCTTTGTTCTTTAAAGTGTCATGGAAGTGACGCTGAAAACCCTGGACTTAAGGCAATGTTTTCTGTTCCCTGGCGCAAAACTGGCCAAATGGAAAAAATACAGATTAAGGACATTCGCGAATGTGTATTTATACCATTCAAAATAAAGATAACATTGAGGCACATGTTGCAATCGTGGGCTAATTAGAACCACTGGTTGTAGCAGGAGTCAGAGCATTGAGCTGGGAACCTGGGCTCTGCTTCCCACTCATTCACGAAACTCACTGGGTGACTTGGGGCCAGTCATTGACTCTCAGCCTAACCTACCTTACAGAACTGCCGGGAGGAGAATACAGTGGGAAGGAGGATCATGTAAGCTGCCCTGTCTTCCTACCGAAGAATAGTACGGTACAGTTCAGTTACAGTGGTACGTTGGGTGATGAACTTAATCTGTTCCAGGACTCTGGTCATGACCCAGATTGGTTGTTAGCCAAGTCAAATTTCCCCATAAGAGTCAATGTAAATAAGGTTAATCCGTTCTGCAACTATTTTTTTTACTCACAAAAATTTGAAGCAAAGTGACAAAGAACAACAAAGATTGCGGCCATCTCCACCCCCCCCCCCCAGTGATTGTGCAGGGGGGGAGAGATGGGCACGGTCATGGGTGTGCAGCAGGGAGGCGGGTGCAGGCACGCAGAGGGGAGGAGGTGCAGGCGTGCTCAGGCAGGAAACACGGGCACAATCGCAACCATCTCCCTCCCAGCACAAACACTTCCATTCCCCCCCACACACACATGATCGCGCCTGTGCAGGGAAGGCACGATTGCCACCCGATGCAGAGTTCGCGACCTGTGGCAATTTTTTTCCTGAAATTTCTGTTCATGACCCAATTTGATTGTGAACTGAGGTGTCCATGAGCCACGGTACCACTGTATTTCAGATTTTTTGCTTCTCTACATGTTTCATGCCACCATATGGTCTTTTTCTTGAAGCCAGGTTCATAGATCTGCTGTTACCTTCACTGCCCGTTCTGGGTCGCCACCAAACACCCACATCCATACTATGACTCACTGCTATTGCTGCTTCCTCAACCCCTTCCATTTTCCATAACAATTTCACTTTGAATTTGCTGTGGTCACCCCTACAGTAAGGATGTTTAACTATGTCTTCTTCCCTCTTTTCCTATTTTCTTTGGGGTGTGTGGGAATCACCTGATAAGTCCCAGTCCCAGCTTTCCACTCCTTCAATGTCCTTTTGCCATTTCAAAATGAGAAACGGAAATAAAACACATACTAGATGTCAGTTTTTCTTTATTTTACAGATCATTTTTAAAACATTGGAGAGCAGGAGCAAAAACACAAACCACAAACAGAAGAAAAAAGTCTTGTTAAGGAAATCAGCCACGTATTTCAAAACTTGCCATCAGTGTCTGCAAAATCTTTATTAGCAAACCCTGCCTCCCTAGGATTGCATTTTCTAATGAAGAAAACTGTAACCCCGACCCATGCAATAGAGCCATGGCCATGAGATCCAAGCACTGGATGGGTCAGGCGTGATCCTGAGGATAGGTCACCCCCAGCTGCCTCCGGATTTCATCCAAAATAGAGTGGACCAGCTCACTGTCCACATGAGACACGATGGGGCTCTCCTTCAGGCCTGAGGGAGATGGAGATAAGAGGAGAAAAGAGGGGTTATGAGAAAGCTGCCACACACAAGGTTGCCCCCGCAGAGCACTCTGTTTCCATCACCTGTTCCTCAGCCCTACCCCCAGCAGTTCCTGAGACATTTACCCTGAAGAATACACTGTCTGACATGCTGTGCTTCGTAGGATAGGGCAGCGCTGGTGGGATAGTGCAGTTTTTGGGGAGCAGTAGGAAGGGGGAAGTCTTCCTTTTGCCCATTGACAACCAACCGCAGTGGGGAATAGAAAGGGTCTGGAATCTGTGGATTTGAAAAACAGCACGATGGTGAGAAGTGTGGCTTAAATCAGGCCAGGCACAAATCCAACCCTATGGGTTCTCCATAAGGCCATTCCCCCTGGCTGCAGCCCTTTCCCCACTCATGAGATCTGCTGGGTGGCTTCCCAGCTTTTGTGCAGCTTTTTTTCTATTCTAAAAAGGGCCAGTGCTGCTGGCCTAAACCGAACAGAATGATGGAGCTCACCCAGAGGGAGATCTGGGTTCTGGGCCCTGCACTGCCATAGAGCTCTCTGGGTGACTTTGGACCAGTCGCAGACTCTCAGTCCAAACCTGCCTCACAGAATTGTTTTTGTAAATGTAGCATTGAGGGGAGGAGGAGAATTATGGAAGCTGCCTTGAGTTCCTTGGAAGGAAAAAGGCAGGATATAAATACAATCAATAAGTGGAAAATGGTGCCTACACAGTACTGGGCCCTAGCATGGAAGTTGAACATTTTGCTCACCCTTTTTCTCTAGGAAAACCACGCTGAGCATCTCCCCCCCCACTCCCACCCCCTTGAGAACTTACCTCAATGATTCCTTTGGTGCCAGTAATGCTGGCCCGATTGGGCATTTTGGCCATCCGGGTGTACATGAAGACAGCTTGGCGTTGACCTGAATAGTTCAGGATTACTGAAGCAACTTTGTCCACTCCTGGGGGTGGAAACAGACATCCAAGTCCTTGTCTGCAGCCAGCTTACTGAACTGCAGCCGCTGAGCTGCCCAAGAGCCTTCCCTTTTTAGCGAGCTCCATGCCCGGTACAGGCAGATCTGCAGGCAGAAATGCACTGGGCACAACAGCTTTTCTGCAGGACAGACATGCAGCACTTTTACCATGTATTTGATGTGATGTAGCAACGATCAAAGAGATTTTAGCATCGCTAGCTACACAGCAATGGTCAAGGCTGCTTCTAAGATGAATATCCCTAGCAAATAGCAACTGTGTAAAAAAAGAAGAAAAAACCCCAACTGATCAAGCCACACTGATATCCATAAATCCTTTGAGGTCTGGCTTGTTCTTGGTTAGTTCTGGCTCTGTATAGAAATGGTATTATACCATACTCCCATTTGTAGCTGAAGCCAGCCATTTATGTTAAAACAGTTCATATTTTAAAGTGTTTGTATTGGGAAATTTACAAACTAGACACGTGGCCACTGGTCGTTCGCTGTGGTTTGCAGCAAGATACCACCTACATTTTATTTGAAGATACCATATTTGGGGTGGAACAAACTACAAAAAGTCATGAGTGCTGCAGGACAAGGGAAAATTTGCTGTCTGAGACAAAGGATGCAGCTTTCTAGGAACAGAAGCTTCCTAGACAGGCAATTCTATTTTCCTTCAAGACTGCCAATGGGACAGCATCGTCTACTGCACTGAGGGCTAGCGGCATGATTAGGGTGTGTGGGCATTCTGGGTGACCCATCACACTCTCTTCTCCAGCATCATGGTAAATTTAAAGTGAAGCCTCTCATCACAGCAGCAACCCCAATGAGAATCCAAAACTGTACTCAGCAGCATTGATCAGCATCTGCAACCAGTCCTAGCAGTTTGCATCTTCAGCAGGAGCAGATCTTTTTAAAGGTCCATCCGTCGTTCTTTCAAGCCCAACCAACCCACAAAGTCAATTGTGCTGCCACTGGGATGCTCTCAGCCCTATTTCCTTGCTGAGAAAATTTGTTTGCTCGTCCCATCCAGCTGCTATGAGGGTTGCAACTTAGGATCAGAGGGAACGGAGGAGCCGAGAGGGGTGGCAGATGACACGCTGATCAAAAACCGCTCCATCTCTCTCAGCCCTGCCTCTGCCTCGCCGCTGCTGGACCCAAGTCCGCCAGCCCAAATCGTTCTGGTGCAGCGCAGTGAACCAGGTGCTAACCTGTCTCAGACAAGACTCCAGAGGCCACAATGGAGTTCGGCTTCTCTCTGTCGAAGACGACGCAGGCCAGCTGGACGCAGTAGATGCCGAGGCTCAGCAAGGCGCCTCCCCCGAGCGCTTTCTGCATGCCCCACGGGGTGCTTGGCGGGAGCCCGATTTCAGCACAAAGCATCAGTGGCTCTCCAACCGTCCTTTCCCTGAGCAGGCTGCACATCTTCTCTGAAGCAGGGAAGAAACGGGTCCAGAGAGCCTGAGATGAGAGGAAGCTGTTAGCCGTCTGCTTCATACCTTTTCCCTCCCCGTCTTTTCTCCTCAGGATGGCTTGAGCCAGAAGGATGGCTTTTTATGACGTGCCATTTTTTTTAGTGGAAATGCTTCACCAAAAGTCAGGGCAATGATCTGCAAAGCATTTCAAAATGTCCAATGGTACATATAGATGCAAATCTTGAAAAAATAATTTTAATAGAAATATAGTGCCCCTTACCATGGCATGGAATTTGGTGCGCTGGTTTTCCCCTGTTCTAAAAGTTGAAATGCCTGTTCTAAAGCTCAGATCATGGCTGTGAGAACTGTATGTTACAATATACTGGCATTTTGGCCCCACCCCTTCTCTTTGGCCCCACCCACCTCTGCTGCCTGAGAGCTTCTCCAGAAAGGAATTCAGCTTTTGGGCTGAAAGCCATTCTGTGCTCCTGCTTTAAAGGCACAGGGGTAGGGTCATTTTTTAAAAAGTAGCAATACTAATTCAAGGATCAAATTCAGGTGGGTGCTACAAACTGGGAACAATATCCACAGAAGGAATGTCACCATCATATACGCCTGGAAACGTCTCACGGAGATTTGCTGGGTCAGTGCTAGATTGGAACAACCTTGGCCAAACTCAGCAAGGCAGCTCCTTGGCTGGCCTTTGTCTGCATCTCTCAGGGATGCTGGGTGCCGAGAGCAGAACACAGCATTGCTGGCATCGCGGAGGCACAATTGTTTTACCCCAGAGCGCAGGGATGGGTTTCTGATGCAGCGACACACCTTGGGCTCATGCGCAGTTGATGTGGGGCCACAGAATGGTGGGACCAGCCCCAGTGCCCCGGCCTCTCACCTCCATGAGGAAGACCTTCTTCTCCCGAGCGGCCTGCACCATCATTTCCACCTCGGTGGCATTCATGCCCAGGGGCTTCTCACAGAGCACGTTCTTCCCAGCCCGGATGAAGAGGAGGGCGGCTGGCAGGTGATATGGGGGTATCACCCCGACATAGGCCACGTCTGTAAGAAGCAAGGCAACTTGTAGGGCAAGCTCCCAAGTGGAAGGACACCTGCCAAGTTGTGAAGAAGCAACTGAACTGTGAGAAAGGAAAGTGGCGACTCCAGGGGCGTGTCCTTCCTTCTTGTGTCTTTCATGGCTTGGCTGGGGTCCCAGTCTGGCTTTCTGGGTTCCTCGGCTGTGCCCCCCCCCCCCCCCCCCCCGGCACCCCCCGGTGCTTTCCTGGCATGTGTGTCTTTTTCACCCCCATTCCAAAGACTGAAACGCTTCTCCTAATGCATTTCATTACAGGCATCCATAGCTTTAAACAGAAATGTGCCTGCATTTTGCATTCAGCTCTGCTTGCGTCTGGGAGTGTCTCTAAAATGATATTGAACCTCAGGCTGAAAGAGGCTCAATATCTCCCATGGAGGGGGAAAAGTCAATGGCCGCATGTACCTTCCAGGTTAGGAGCATAAGGACTAGTAGCATTGATAGCCTCTGCCTCCATGAATCTGTCCTTAAAGCCATCTAAATTGGTGGCCATCACTACGTTGTGTCGGTGTGAGTTCTGCCGTTTAACCATGTGCTGTTTGAAGAAGTCCTTCCTCTTTTCACCCTGAATCTCCCACCAATCAGCTTCAGTAAATGACCCCTTTGAGTTCCAGTGTTAGAAGAGAGGAGGAACCATGTCTCCTCGTCCACTTCTTCCATACCAAGGTGCCCACGGTTTTGAGGAAGTCTGCTCACCAACATCTGGATCCTCCGCTAGTTCTTCATAAGACCCATAGGCCCTGGGGATGCTGTGGGTTTGTGCATATTCCTGAGCCCGGTCAAGATCACGAGAAGCAATCGCCACCACCTGGCAAGTCGGGGTAGGGTGGGGAGAGAGTCAGTTAATTCCTGTGTCATCCCAGCTCTACCTGTACAAAGCTACTAATATAATTTCCCTCCCCCTGAAGATCCACATTCTCTGATTCCAGAATTATTAATATTGCCTACAGCTGAAGTTCTATGGGAGTTCACAGCACTTAAGTCTCCCATCCCAATTTCACCCAGTCCAGACCCTGCTTAACTTGCAAGATTACGCAGGACCAGGCACTTTAGGCTATATGGAAGCAGGCCAGGATCTGTGGAAAGGGAGAGGCATTGAGCTTGAAGATCTGGGGGTGGGGGCTAGGAGGGAGAATTTCGACAATGAAGTTTCATCCCCCCACTGCAGCATGATGGATGCTTCTGCACACGGCTTTTGATTGTGCAGGTTGCTCTGCCTGGTTCATGGAGTTTTATGGGCTGTGATGACGGTGGTGGCCTGACCATGGGTACTTCCGCCCGCAGTGCCGTGAGCTTGGCTCTTCACCTGTTAGGCTCCAAAGCACCAGGCAGTCTCTTTGCGAGCAGATCTTTCTCGGCACTTTGCAGCTGTAAGACAAGGTAGCTCTAAAAGCCCTCTAGGAAGCTGGAAGCCATGCCTCTGTGCACGCCAAGAATGTCTGTGGAACACAACCAAGGGACTCCCCACCAACCCTTTCCTTTCAATAGCCCTGGGACTTCACCTGCTCTGGCTTTTGAAGGGGCAGCCGGCGGGGGCAGCACAAGCCTCTCACTGGGTGGCTGGGCCCCCTCTCCTGACGCCTCGCCATGGAGGCAGGAACTGGGGCCATGGGCGAGGCAAAGGCTCCTTGTCCTCCGCTCCTTTAACCCTTCCCATCCCTCCCAAAGCATTCCCACTGCCCTGGTTGGCCTGGGAGCCTGTGGCCAGCGACCTTGAGGGTACTTCAAAGGCCTGAGCCTCTGCCTGGTCTCCAGGAACTCCCATCTCCTCCGTCCCGAGGTCCCTTCCCCTCCCGGATCCCCATCCCGCTGACCCCGGGATGCCTGCCAAGAGGAGCAGTTGGCTCCACTCACTATACGCAGGGCAGGGGACCGGCTCCTTTCCACCCGCTTTCCTTGCCTTTGCTTTCCTTTCTTTCCCCGAAGGGTGTCAATATTGTGAGGAACCACAAGTGCACAATGAATGCCTCATGCCGACATGCTAAGACTGCACAACAGATCTTGCTTCCTTACCTCCGCGATGGAACCTTTTCAGCGGCGCTCCCTCTCTGGCGTTTTACCTTGGCTTCCGGACCTCTCAGCATCATCACCCCTCCAACCCAAGATCCCTCTTGACCCGGCTCTCTAAGACTTTATGTGCACTCCCTTTGGGCAGCTGCAGAAGCTGCTTGAGGGAATCACCCTGCGATTGCACAGAGCCTGCCCAGTTCCTTAGGGACTTCTCTCCACCGGCCATCAGCCCTTTCTCACGCCCGCCACACACTACCTTGTGTTCTTCTGGTGGCAGCGTCTTCAGAGCCACCAGGAAATCATGGCTGATTTTCCCAGCGGAGCAGATCCCCCAGCAAAGGGGTCCCATGGCAGAGGAGAACAGAGAACGCTCTCGGGGCAATGTCTGTGGCTCCCTGGGAAAGGAAATAACCCCTCCAAAGCTGAGAGGGTCCCTGTCTCAGTCACGCAGCCGCATTAGTCTGTGGCAGCAACAGTGACGGCGAGACTTGCGGCCCCGTAAAGACAACCCCATTTATTCTGGGGGAAGCTGGCCTGGCTGAGGTCTGTGTCCATCAGATGCACTGAGTATTATGGGGAGCTTCGGGTTTTTGTACAGTACGTACAGTAGCACGGCTGGGTGGGGAAGAGAATTGCAGGGAGAAATTAAACACAGAAAGTACAGACAATGATGTTCATTGTTATTAACCATTGTTCCCAGTACAGTCACTGCGGGTTACATAAACATCTTTGTACAAGGTAAGCCCATTGACACAGGGCAGTGTGATCATTATGGGATATAGTTAAATCTGTTGATGAACCCTAGCTCTGTACCTGTAGTCTCTCCCTCTCTCTCCCCTTTGCAAGTTCCTTTGCTCCCATGGGGGGCGGGGGGGTTCATGACCGTCTGCTCCTGATATTTGGATCTTGCCATTTCTGATCTCAGATTTGTGTCTGTGGGGGGTTTTTTTACCCCATACCAACTGCTCAGTTTCTTCTGGTGCACAGGGAGGGCATCGCTGATGGGGTGCATTGGATAATGAGTGAATTGTGGCTACCAACATTAGGCTCTGCAGCTGTTTCCAGAGGTGGCATCTGGGTTTCTTGCAGTGTCCGGTACCCATGTTTGTATCCTTGCTATATGGCTTGTTGTTGCTTGTGTGTAGCTGTTAGGGGGCTGTTGGGAAGCAAGCACAGGGCTGACGACCCACAGCCTGTGGGGGAAGCATCCTTGTCCATGTGTGGTAGATAATTAAAGTTATCTTCATGAGGTTTTAACTTGGAACGGTACATGACCATTGTGGTGTTCCCTCCTTTCCTTTTCGGGTCTTTCCTGAATTGTCCCTGGGTACCCGTTCTAGCCTTGCCAGTCTTTGTTCTCACTTCCTCAGGTGTCGGAGAAATGCCTAATTTAGATCCTTTCCTTCAGAGCCTCCAAGAAAGCTAAATAGCACTGCAGACAATGGGTTCTGTAGTGTGTTCTGAATAGTTTGGAAACAATCAGCAAATAGTTCTTTAGCTGGACTCCTAAGAGGCTTTTGACAGACTCCCTGACCACGAAATAGTGATCAAACTCCACTGCCTTGACCAGGTTTGCATGTTGTGCAGGAAAATCCCAACTTCATCTATATATTGTGATGGGATCTGACTTAGCATTGAATGACCAAGAGACAGAGGAGTTACAGTGAAGAGCTTCACGGAAGCATCAACCTGGTGCACAACTGCCGTGACAAAGGCAGCAAGGTGAGCACAATTAGGAAACGAATTTTTAAAAACCCTCCTTTCTCTCCCAGAGACCGGCCTTCCCCAGTCTGCTGCCATCCAGATGTTGTAAACTTCAGCTCCCATCAGCTCCAGCCACCAGGCCGAGTGGTCAGGAATGCTAGGAGTTGTAATCCAAGACGTCCACAAGGCAGCCAGTTCAGGGAAACTGCTGTTGGCAGCACAATAATGAAGTACAGAGCTGAGGGTTTTGGCTCGGAGCTCGCTTAGACTGGTGCCGAGGGCTCCTGTGACCATCCCAAAGGCTGGCTCTGCTTGTGGATTCTCTCCCTCTCTAAAGCCACGTCATCATTTCCAGGGCAAAGGAGGAGGCAAACACAATGGAACAGAAGCAGCCGATTCAGGTACCAGGATGACCAAATAGGTTTTGGCTGGCACTGAAATTGGCACGATATTGGCACTGGTTGCACGCCTCTGCACAGAGGGTTTTCCACAGCTGAGGACACTCAGTGCCCCAGTGTCCTCGGGGAGGAGATTTCAAACGGATCCTGGAACAATGGCAGCACTGGCCCCAGTCGCAGCTTCACCCGGAGGATATCCATGACGGGGGCATCACAAGTGAGTATGTAATGTATTGCGGTACAGAGAGAGGCAGTGCTGCAGATATTTGGGGGCCCACAAGCCGCCTGGACTCTCGAAGGGCAAAGCCGCTCCTCGCAGCCGCTCCACTGTCCCAGGTCTCCCATGCTCTGCGCTATTCCTGCCCCTCCACAGCACACGCACACGCACCCCACACCGACACCACCTCACTGCAGAGCTCAGAGGCAGAGCTTGCTCAAGCTGTTTTATTGGTCACACAGTCTTCTTCCCGCACCCTCCCTCCCACCCTGCCCCCCGTAGCTGGATGCAGCAAAGCTGGGGCGGACGAAGAACCCCGAGATTCCAGCATGGAGACCCAGGAAGGCCTCAGGCTTTGTCTTGAGGGTAGAGCGCCCCCACCTGCCGGCGGGCTTCCTCTAGGATGGAATTGACCAGCTTGCTGTCCGCGTGCGTCAGGACGGGGCTTTCCTTCAAGCCTGAGGAGGACGGGGAGAGAGGAAGGCAGGTTGCAATGGGGTGCCAAAAGGGGGGCATTTGCCTAGCGGTGCTCAAAGCCAGAGATCCGGCTGCTCAGAGCTGCTGCGTCATTGGCCGAATACTTTGAAACGCATTCAAATCTGTGCCAGGACTGGGCTCTGAGGGGCTTGGGAAGGATCCCCAGGGAGTCCGCTTCTTTGCTTCCTCACCACCATCTTCAGTAGCTGCTCTGGCCCCTCCTCCCCTGCCCTCTTTCTCTCATTGCTCCAACCCGCTTGGCAGGCAGAGAAAAACACCCCCCTCTCCATGATCACTACTTACCAAAGGGAGAGAAAAGAGGGGGCCGAGGCTGTGGCAGTGGAGAGGAGAGGAGGGGCAGCTCCCAGGAGCACTTGCAGTGGGCCCATGCAGGGTGAAGGACCCCTGTCAAGTGCCCAACCGTGCCTGCTGCTTGGTGCATTCCACAAGCTTGCAATAATTCAGCACGGCAGGAGGGGCTCAGGACTGGCGTTGGGAAACAGTGGCAGGGCAGAAGCGACACCGGTGGTGGCAGAGAGAAGTTGGAGGAAACAGCAGAGTGAGCGTGGCTGGTTACTGGGGGAGACTCTCAAGGAGTGTGGTCGCTTCAGATGCGAAACAGATGGGGAGGAGAGGGGAGTGAAGGGAGCAGAGAAGTGGATTTTACTTTGAACTGCAAGTTATTTCTGTTGCTGTCCTTCCACTCAGCTGCCTACATCTTCCACACTCACACAAAACAGCCTGATCTGACTGAACTGTCAATAACCCCATGTATGTTTCCAAGAAAAATCTGGCACGATATTGTCTTACATGGGTAAGATCTAAATGCTTCCCCAGAAAGTATTTTCTTTTACACTGTTTAAGGACACAATCCCATGAATGTTTAGACAGAAAAACATCTGACAACTCTCAGCTTATCCTCGGCCAACTGGGAGTTGTGGCTTTTTCTCTCTCTAAACATGCTTACGATTGCACCCGAAAACAAACAGAAACACCTTAAAGTGGGAGAGATGCACGCAGCCCCCAATGGCCCCTCCCATGAAGGAGTAAAAGTCAGAAATAAAGGGCTACGCTAAGAAGGACTGTGATGGAACACAATCCACTCGCTATCGCTTCCAGGGAATGTGGGTGGGCTACTCAAGGTTTAAAGAATCAAAGAAATTCCACCACTCCCCTGAGAACAACGCACGGGGTGGGAAGCAGGCAGCATGGGACGAAAATGATGCTTGGATCGGACAGTTGCTCACGCCCATGTTGAACGCTAAAACAAGCGTATGGCTTTCGGTGAATGTAACCCGCTGCAGCGCTCCTCAGGGCTGCCGTTTCGCTGCAATGCACCCATGTGCACACACACACGGAACAGTGCCGGCCGATGCACTGACAAAGGCTCGTGCGCAGCCGCCCCCTGAGGCCCCTGGGAGCCAGAGGAGAGCTTTGCGGAGCTTCCAGTCCCGAACTGGTACCTTTGAGAAGACACTGCCGGACGTGTTCCGCTTCGTAGCGCAGGCCGGCGCTGTTGGTGAAGTACAGCTGTTGAGACGGCGTCGGCAGGGGGAACTCCACCTTCTGCCCATTGACCACCAGCTCCGTTGGGCACCAGAAAGGGGATGGAATCTGAAGGGAAGGGAAAGAAAAGAAACCCTATATGAGGGCAGATAAAACTGCAACAGGTCAGAGGACTGGGGATACGGGTGTGAGAAACAGAGCTCAACCCTCAGATTGCCTCTAACCACAACTGCCTTCATAGAAAGACCATGGACAAAAGTGCTGTCTTATTTCTCTACCTTCTACTTGCTTTGTCCAAGAAAATCCTTTCTCATACAGATGGGTTTGAACCATGACACCTAGGGTGGGTTCACGTGACGTGACCAGCCACTGATGGTTTCTTGTACAGGATGGGTTGTTGCGTTGCCTGAACCCTGTGGTGGTATTTCAGCATGGTATGTTGTTTTTAGAAAGCATGGTAAGAAACCACACTCTGTTCTACGGTTTCCATGTTTCACCATGGTTTCCCTGGCCATGTGAACCTGACATCATGGTTTCCATGGTCCTGGTATGCAGCCACCACAGAGCCCCCTAGAAAGGGCAGTGAGTGCAGGAGCATGGGATTGAATTTCAGGTGTGGTGGCTAATGGGATATGTGCCAGCAGCAGGAGAGGACTGATCAAGGAGGGTAGAAACTACACTAATATAGAAACCACTTATTTGACTGTCAGGCACATCTAGGCAAAAAAAAAAAAAACACACTCCAGGGAAACCACACCGGATTGTTTTCTGCACTGTGTGAACCAAGCCCTAGTCAAGACCTAAAGGCTCCTGTGTAGGATGATTGGCTAGGGCTGCCTCCGTTCCTGGGTACCGATGCAGCCAAAGCTCCCTAAGCCAGGGATGGGGAACCTCTGCCTGAGGTCCTGGTCTGACCTTCTGGGTTCTCCAGGGGTCCAGGCTCCCCAGTGTTTCCTCTCATTCAAAAGGCTGAAATACCTCTCTTAAGGCTTGTTTGCTTTAAGACAGTAAGTCCTTCCAGCTAAACATATTTATTAGTGAGGAGGAGTTGACCCTTTGCCTCACACACAACCAGAAGGCAGCTGGCAGGTAAGCTCTTCCCTCAGGGCTCCCAGGTGGCGCTCGTCACATCCCAGGCGGCTGCGATTGACTGTGGGCCCGGTCCTGCCACCACCATGCCTGCTATTCTGGCCTCTGGCCAGAAGAGGGAGCCCTGGTGCGGCCTCAGAACCTCACAGCAGCCCACAGCAGCTTATCTGGAATGGAGCATCGCTCTTGGGTTGAGAGTGTAAGGTTAGGTTGAAATTTTTTATTTAAATAAGGTTAGGGGTGTGGGCAGCAGGCGACTAAGGCTGGAACACTGGCATCATTAGATCGTTAGATCACCGTCTAACGGCACAGTCCAAAGGCCAAGTTCCACAAAGATAGTCACATTCGAGAGCGAGGCAATGTGAGGGAGGATGGGGGCAGGTGCCTGGGAACCTGCGTCAGACTGGAAGCAGAAAGCAGAGTTCAGCCAAGGTGATGCCAGGGCAGACGGGAGTCCCAAGGACGGCGTGTGATGTTGTGGCGAAGAGCAGCCGTGCAGGGAGGCCCCTTGCGCTGGTCTCCAGGGCCCCCAGCTGTGCCCTGCAAGCGCCTGCAAAGACGTCCCTGGTTGGTTCTGCAGGCGCTTGCAGGGCTGCTCAGGCCCTGATCCTGAAAGAGGCTCCCCACCCCATGCCAAGCCCTTAGTGCTAAACCCAGGAATTACCTCAATGACGCCCTTGACGCCGTTAATACTTGCTCGATTGGGCATCCTGGCAGTCATAGTGCAGGTGAGGACAGCCTGGCGGTCACCCGAATAGTTCAGGATGATCGAGGCTGTTTTGTCCACCCCTGAGGAAAGGGAAAACCCCAGTCACATTGCTGGCCACCACTTTTCCTCCACTCTGACGGCACAAGCAGAGTCAGACAGGAAAACCACGATGTAACAGAAAGGCTAAGCTCACAACAGGACCGGAGAACAAAACAGAAGCACCACTAAATTAAAAAGCAAGTCCTGTGGTGTGCCAAAAGAAGAATTCTGTGGGTCTTTAGAGGAAGAATTCTGTGGGTCTCCCGAAGTAGGGCGCTCCTACAACTCGGGGTGTCTTATTTTATTTATTTATTTATTTATTTATTTATTTATTTATTAGAACATTTCTATGCCACCCCTTGCCGAAGCCTCGGGGCGGCTTACAACACAATAAAATACAAAAATAACAATATAAAATTAAAATTAACAATATAAAATAAATAAAAAATATAAACATTTCTTTGATTCAGGCCCTCATCTAGATTCTCGGTCAGGCCCTTCCCAGGCGGCCACCCCCTTTCCCCTTTTCTGGGCCTTTGTGCAGTTTCTCCCAAATCTTTGTTGCTGCCAGTAAGAGCTTTGGAGAAAAACATGCTGGTAGGTTTGGGCCCACCGCTGGGGCCTCTGGTCCTGTCCAGCACTGAAGGGCAGCCCCCGCAAAGCTTCCCCCCCCATGGAATTTGCCCCAGGGCTGAAAGTGCTTCAATAGCCCTGCCTTGCCTTACTGCAAGAGTTTGCTGCTCAGGACGAGGGATGTGCCCAGCCTCTCCAGAATATGGCTCACACCCACCTGTCAGACTTCCTCCAGGGCTCATAGAAGCAGAGTGAGTCAGAAGGGGTCACCTGGGTCATCTAGTCTGACCCCCAGGTCCAGCCGGCTCCACTCATGACATGCCCACCATGTGCATGTCCAGCCTATCCTTAAACGTCCTCACTGTTGGAGCTACAACTGCCTGCTGTGGAAGCCCATTCCATCCCCTAGGGGTCCTAACCGACAGGAAGAACTTTCTGGCATCCACCCTAAATCTTGGTTCCCTGAGCTTTGCTTCATTGGAATGCATGCTCCCCTCCACTGCAGGGGGAAAAAAGGTCATGACCCACCTCTGTGTGGTACCCCCTCACATACCTGTATGTGGCTAACAGGTCCCCTCTGAGTCTCCTCCTCTCAAGGCTGAAGAGACCCAGCTCCTTCAGTCCCTCCTCATATGGCTTACCCTGCAAGCCAGCCACCATCCTAGTGGCCCTTCACTGCACTGGTTCCAACCTTGCTGTATCCCTCTTGTAACGAGGGGCCCAGAACTGAACACAAGCCTCCAGCTACAGCGCACTCCTCTCTCTCTAAGGGAGGGAACCAAGCCCAGAAGAAGTCTGTGAGCATTTGTGGACCCCCAGCTGCACAACTGGCAACCTTTCCAGCTGCAGTTGCTGGTGGCCGACTTTCTTCTTCGTGGTCTTTGTGCATCACAGGCACGGCTGCTGCGCCTGCACACTGCCAATGTTTGGGAAAATTCTTCGAGCTCGTATTCTGGGCCACTGCGCAGCGGAGCAGAGTCCAGGCAGCCAAACCAGGGAATCCGGTAGAGCTTCCACCCGAAGTGACTTCCTCGCACAGCCCAACTAGTGACACAGTCATGGCCAGGATACAAAATATGTGAGTCCCTTAGCGGTCAGGTACAGCAGAGGAACCCAGGGCGGGCCTCTCCCCCTGTCCAGGTGCATCGCATCCACGTGCTTTTGGCATCCGAGACAGAAATCCCACAAATGCCTCTCTCCGAGTGCAAAACCACAAGAATAAATTACTTTTCTTTAATCTGTTATGCAAACACATTTGATTCCTTATTTGTGCATTCGGTAGGATAGTGTGAAGTGCTTAATCATAGCAGGTTACTGTTTTACCTTTCTGACGCAAGCATCAAGGTTTCTTAGACCCGTCAAGGGAGAGCTTTGCCCTTCCCTCTGCCCAACAAACCAAGTCATTTCTTTTCTTCTCTGCATTTGGCTTTCTTGGTGTGCACATTTCAAATCCCCTTACTTCTGTTTCAAGCAAAAATCAACCCCAGGATTAACAGAATGCTAACCTGTATCATGCAAGAATCCAGAGGCCAGGATGGACTCTGGCTTCTCTCCGTTGAAGACCATGCAGGCTAACTGGACGCAGTAGCAGCCGATATCCAGAAGACCACCGCCTCCCAGCTCCTTCTCCACACATCTGGGGATTGCAAGCTGTGGGCTCCCAAATTCAGCATGAAGTAACATCACCTCTCCAATAGAGCCCTGGCTGAGTATCGAACGGATCTTCTCGGAAGCAGGGAAAAACCGGGACCACAAGCCCTGGAATAAAAATGCCGCAGGGATCTATGTTTGTCCACTAGGGGATAAAATCAGAAGCCGAACTGGTGCAATACCTTTATTAGGTCCAGCTAAAATGCCACCAGGTGGAAAGCAAGATTTAGCATTAACAAAAAGACTCCTTCCAGCTGGACAGTAAGCAAAAAATAGGGAGAGGCATATTATTGGATAATGGGGCAAAAACCAATCCTTTGCCTTTTTGAATAGCCTTAAGAACAGGCAATGTTTCCCACAGACATATTTTGATGGCAGCAGGCAGGCGAAAGGGTTTCCAGCAACCCCCCAACAGCAAAAACAAAAACCTTCCTAAATTAGACTGCTGGAATTAAGAAAGATTTGGAGTGGAGAAGAACAGGGGCAGATTCCTGTACAACAGAATCTGTATGCAGTCCAGTTCTGGCGCTAACACTGACGTCGGAGCCACGGCCCTGGAGAGGGTGCCACAGCCCTGGGCCGACTCTGGCCCCTGGCCGCGTACCTCCATGAAGAAGACCTTCTTCTCCCGAGCTGCCTGCACCATCGTGTCCACCTCAGCACCGTTCATGCCCAGCGGCTTCTCGCAGAGCACGTTCTTCCCAGCCCGGATGAAGAGGAGGGCGGTTGAAAGGTGGTACGGATTAATCACTCCTATGTGCACTACATCTGGAAGAGAGAGACGGAGTGCTCCTTGTTTGACGTGGGCAGGGAATGGGGGGAAAGGAGCTCAGGATTCCTGATGCTACGCTCTCACTCTATTCCATTTCAAGCAGGCATAAAACCTTGGTTTTAGCCATGCAAAATCGCCACCGTTGTCAAAGAGCTGGATGGACCGATGCTAGAGAGGCAGCGGCTCCTCCGGGGCTTTGTCAGTCCTTGCAAGGAGCTCCTTTGTGAGCAGACTGCACGACACTAACAGGGTGTGAAACGAATGCCGGTTTGCTGGAGCAGAGCTTGAAAACGGCTCAGGAGGAGCACCCTGAGCAGTGTGAGGGCATTGCCACTGGGCAATTGCCCTGAGAAGCCCCCGTCTCCCCCTCTGCCCGCCACCCCGGCACAGCTGCAGGACCACCACATCCCTTGCGGCCAGCTGGAAAGCTTTCTCGGGCTCCTGCCCACATGGGCCCCCGCAGGAAAGTCTTCCAGGCAGGAGGCACTGCCGCTCTCCCTAGCATGGTGCCCTCTGTGCGTCTGGGCGCAAGGGGAGGCAGCCCCTGGCAGCGCTGCAAGTCCTGCGCATGGGAGAGCGTGGGCACATGGAGGGGGGGAGAGGTAGGTGTGCTTGCACACTGGGGCCGAGGAGGGCAGCACAGGGAAGCCTTCCCGCCGTGTTCCTCTGCGGCCACTGTGCTAGTCAGGCGAGCCGAGTGGGCAGCAAGAAACAGGGGGAAAAACCAGAAAAAAGCAGCTTGCTGAGGCCATGCCCAGGCCAATGAGGAAGAGGCAGGTGAGGTTGGCAGGAGCAGTGCACCCTGGGATTGATTTTTAGGTACAGGGGCTGATGGGATACATGCCACCATTTGAAGGGAAGATGGAGAAGCATGGAAACCATGCACACATAGAAACCCCGTGAATGTGTGAACCCAGGATGTTGGATTCCATTCCACGTGGTTTCCACACAGCATGGCTTAGAGTTATTTATTTAAAATATTTATACCCCTCCCTATACGCAAAAGCGTCTCAGGGCATCTTACAAAAATCAAAAACAGATAACAAGTGAACAATAATTATACACATAAAACCAATAACAATTCACAAATGAAAAAAAAATCAAAACAAAATTAAAACCAAAAAGTGACTGTGAAGTTAAAACCATTAAAATTAAAATTCCTGACAGTTGGGTGTGAACACAGCCTGGGTCTGTTATGTCTCGCCGTTTGTCTGATGCAAGATGGCATCTGTGCTTGTTCTGTGTCAAATGCGTGTTAACTGGTGCCCCTGTCATTATTATAGTAATCATCATCATAATTATAATTAATTAATTAATGATTATAGCAATTGCATAATCATTCTCCCTGTATAACCAAGGGGTGCAGTATGAGGGCGGGGCTCATCTTCGTGGGGGAGGCACTTCTGGCTCTCAGGGGCCGCCCAGTCAGTTCCAACTCTTTCCTGCAATGGTTGATGTGTGTAAATTGACTTGGCTGGATGAGCCTTTTCTGTAAGCATGTATACAGGTATATGTATTTTTCATTGTTTTAGCATTGCTTATATACCCTAGCGGGTTATGTTTTCATTGATTTATTGTTGCTGATGTATTGCAATTGCCTGTGGTTTGAAACAATAAACTTTTTCACGCTCCGTACTAAAAAGAGAGGAGGTAGGCCTGCTCCCGTCCCTCCTAGAACAGGGTAGCATTCAGTCCGCTAGGCTTGGGTGCAAACATAGAAACAGAACGAGTCAGAAGGGGCCTCCCGGGCCATCTAGTCTGAACCCCAGCTCCAGCCGGCTCTGCTCACAACATGCCCACCATGTGGATGTCCAGCCTATCCTTGAACACCCGCACCGATGGGGCCTCAACCACCTTCCGTGGAAGCCCATTCCACACCCTCGGGGTCCTGACTGTCAGGAAGTGCTTCCTGGCATCCAAATGAAACCTTGGCTCCCTGAGCTTCGCTCTGTTGGAGCGCTTTCTGCCCTCCTCTGCAGGGGAGAACAGGTCTCTACCCATCTCCGTGTGACATCCCCTCACATACCTGTATGTCGCCAACAGATCCCCTCTGAGTCTCCTCTTCTCCAGGCTGAAGAGACCCAGTTCCCTCAGTCTCGCCTCATACCCCATCCCCTGCAAACCGGCCACCATCCTTGTGGCCCTACGCTGCACTGACTAAACTAGGATGCACGTTTAGATGCACAGAGGAAGCAGGTCTTGGGTTTTAGGGGAAAGGTACCCAACTCACCCACACTGGGATCCTCTGCCAGTTCCGTATAAGAGCCATAAGCCTTGGCAATGCCGTGCCGCCTGGCGTATTCCTGAGCCCGGCTGAGATCACGAGAAGCAATCGCCACCACCTGGAGGAGAGGAAAAACGAGTGCACAGGTTCTGCCGGCCTCTGCATTCTTGCCTGCTCCCACCTTAGTGACGCACGTTATGTCCAGGCTAGAGTACTACGACATGATCTGCGTGGGGCTGCCCTTAGAGACAGTCTGGAAACTTTACCTGTGCAGTTCAGTTCAGTGTTCAGATCATCTGTTCTGCAAAGGTCACATTGCTGCAGGATTGTTTCTGGGATTAGTTTAAGGTGATGCTAAACTCGGCTGCATTTAAAGCAGAAAGGTACTGCAGCGTCCATAGGCTGCATGTGGCCCCTGCGACCCCCCGTCTGGTCTGAAAAAGCGTTTCGGGAACAAAGTCTTTTGGCGTTTTTAGCACTACAATGCATTAAGAGAGTCAAATTGAGCTGGTTTGCAAGCTAAATATAACTCTGTTAGTGCTGCTGATTTTTTAAAGGGGGTGCCCTGCATATTGTGTAGCTTCCACACCAAATGTGGCCAATAGGAGGAGGATCCTGGGGGACAAAAGAGGCCTCCAGACTTCCCACACTTGCCCACCCCTGCTCTAAATGCTTTGGGACCAACTCAACCTACATGAGTACCTGCATTTTTAAGTACTTGCCTTGGGCTAAAACTCAATATTTGAGGTTCTTCTCTCTGGTTTGTCTGCAAGAGTTGTTAGCGAGGCAAATACCAGACACGGCCTTTTATGTGGTAGCCCCACACCAGTGGAGAACTCCCCCCCCCCTTACATTGCTTTTTAGGCAGTCCTTAAGGACATTCAAATTCTGCTCTACATGTCAATATTTTATGAAATTCTGCTTTTGCAAACATTCTTCTGCTTTTTTAAACACCGTTTCAAAAAGCAGAAGTGTAAACAGTGTAAACAGTGTAACATTATAAACAATGTAACAGTGTAAACATGTCAAACACTGATATTTTACACTATTTCAATCATAATGTGGAAAGTTGTTGTATTTTGTTATTGTAGCTGTAAACCAGTTTGTGAAGGCATATCCCATTACAGATGGAATTTGTTAAAATCTGTTCAATAATATGCATGCAGTGAATGAGACGGTAGACAAGCCCTTCCCACTGTGGTGCCCTCCTCTGGCTATTCTGGCTGGGGATGATGGGGTGGTAATCCACAGATGAAGGGCCCCCGCTTGGGGAGGATGCAGCAGGCTGAAGTGCCAGAAATCTGCTTTGTATCATTTTGGACTTCAAGTGGGGAATAACTTTTTGGAATGCTCCTCATATATTTTATATATGCCACAGCTGAAGCTCTCAGGGCAACATATACAATTCTGAAAGAAAAAATGCAGTCAAATTAATAGAATGCAGCAAAATACACTCAGCCCAGCATGAAAGCAACGTGCAATAAAGAAGGCCTAGAAGGAGTGATTCCTTCAAAACAGGATATTAACACTGAGTAACGAATAGAGAAGGGGGAGGTAGAAGTTTGGGTATCTAATAATGTAATGTAAGGTTTTTTTTTTAAATATAGTAGTTCAAGAAATTGCACAATTCTGCAATCAGGGGCAACTTCTGTATTTGACGACTTTGCATAAAAAGCTAGGGGAGTCCGATCAGTTGATGTTAATTGCTCTCCACTGGTTCTTCTTTGGGAAGTAAAGTGCTTTTCTTTCTGTTACGAGAAGTGATATAATTCGAAGCGACAAGAAAAAAGACACTGAGCCCAAGCTCCGTTCACAAGGGGCAGCCCCAACTCTCAGCCCCTCACCCCCGCGAACTCCCCCCCGCCCCCCCGCTACCTGGTGCTCCTCGGGTGGCAAAGTCTTCAGGGCGACCAGGAAATCGTGAGCGATCTTCCCTGCAGAGCAGATTCCCCATCGGGTGGCCCCCATGGCAAAGGAAGCGGGCAAGCAGCGGCCGCCGGGCCAGGCAGGCGCGGAGCTCAACTTCGGGAACTGAAGTGCCTGAAATAGCGCACGCGGGGCTCGGGCGAGCCGCTTTTGGGATCCAGGAGAACTCTTCCGGGACCGTTAGGATGGGAGGAGACCAGCAGGGGGCAGCAAAAGCTCAGGATGCGGCGTTTCTGAATCAAATCAGGGCAGGGCAAAGCCCGAGCTCCTGCGATCGGCTAGGCTGGGCCAGAAAAGGTAGCAGGCGGTTCATTTGTTTCGCCGGCCCTTTAAAGTCAAGATTGTGACCGGTTTTAAAAGGCAGCTGCTCGCATTAAAAAAGTGGCTGTAACTCAGTGGTAGAGGGTTCTGCGTTGCTTGCAGAAAGTCCCAGTTTCAGACTGGGAACTAGGAAAGACCCCTTCCTGAACGCCTGCAAGGCGCGGCTTTCCGCTTGGAGTGGACGGCTGGCCCGACTCAGTGTGAGGCAGATTCCTCGGTGCTCCTTAGGCTCTTGGGGTCGCTCTTTGAGCCATCTTGGTGGCCAGAGGCTCAGGTGCAGTGCCAAATTTACAAGTGGAGGTCCCTTCTGATAGCCAGAGCCACGCCCCATCGAAGCCACGCCCCAAGCTGCACCTGTTTCCAAGATGATGCAACTGATGAATAAGCATGATTGGTTTTTAAAATTACTTTCATACCTTGCTCTCCAGCCATAAAGTGCCGTATTAATTCCTTGTGTGGAATTAATGAGGCACTTCCTACCCATAGGCTTACTTTCTAAAAACATGGCATTCAAGGGGAAGGGGACAGGGAGGCAAGAGGGGGAAAGGAAACTCAGGCACTAATTATCCACATTTACAGAAACCGATGCAGTTATATTCTCTCAAAAGCAGAAGTCTGGAGTGCCAGTCGTGCTTTGGTTTCTTTTAATTTCAATTTTCTGTGGCCTCTGCAACCACTGACTTTGTGTGTGCATATGTACATAAGCTGTCTAAGCTGTATAAGTAAATAAATGTGTGGGGGATCCGTAAGTCCAGAGTTTATGGATTCCAGTTTCTCAAAATATCCAGTAATCTTTTATTGTGCTCTCACTGGATCCACACTGAATCATGCGTAAAGGAGCCTAATTGAAGTAAGAGAAATTTAAGGCTATCAGACATCATGGCTAATTTTTCTCATTGATTCCAGTTACAATACTTTTTCTCCAGAAACTTTGGTTACAATACTATTATTCCGCTTTAGGCATTAATTCTCCCAAATAATTCCAGGGCAAAGAGTTGCTAGAAAACACCTGTTTGCCTCACAAGCCCAAGAATGGTTTATTGGTCTCTCCCTTTCCCCCAGGAACTCTGGAAATTGTACCTCTCTGTGTGAGGAATAAAAGGTAAAAAAGATAAAGGTTTCCCCTTGACATTAAGTCCAGTCATGCCTGGCTCTAGAGGGCGGTGCTCATCTCCGTTTCCTAGCCGAGGGAGCCAGCGCTTGTCCACAGACAGTCTCCCTGGTTGTGTGGCCGGCATGACTACACACCAAAGTGCACAGAACGCTGTTACCTGCCCACCGAAGTGGTACCTTTTAATCTACTTGCATTTGCATGCTTTCGAACTGCAAGGTTGGCGGGAGCTGGGACGGAGCAACGGGAACTCACCCCGTTGTGCAGATTCGAACCGGTGACCTTTTGATCAACCAGCTCAGCGGCACAACGGTTTAAACCACTGCGCCACCTGCAGCCCCTTTGTGTGAGGAATAGGTGCCCACTAACCAGACTCAGTCGCCTTGACAAACTCGGGTCCCCAGGATCCTTTGGGGAAGTAGTGGCTGTTTAAAGTGGCACAAAAGTGTTCTGAGTGTGTGGGGTGAATGCAGGGAGGTAGTTCTGGGAGCAGCACGGGCCAGGCGACCCCATGTTGGTGAAGAGCAGAGGCTGAGCATGAGAGAAGGTGTCACAGAGATCCTGTGAGCGTGCCTGGCAGGCCTCACCGGGTAGGGAGTTCCCAAGATCTGCTGGGAACTGTTAAAAATGGCCCCCTTTCTTTCTTTCTTTCTTTCTTTCTTTCTTTCTTTCTTTCTTTCTTTCTTTCTTTCTTATTTATTTATTTATTTATTTATTTATTTATTTATTTATTAAAAGCTTTTATATGCCGTTCTATTCTATAAAAATCTCAGGACAGTTTATGATGTTTAAAAGAATTAAAACCACAACAATTTCTAATAAAGAAATTAAACAGAATAATATAGAAGACAAAACAGTAAATCACAAAACAGAACAAGAGCGACTGAACGTTAAAAGTTGTTGATTTTAAAATACCGTTCAAATAAAAAGGTTTTGACCTGGCGCTGAAAAGAGTATAAGCTCGGTGCCAGGCATACCTCTCTGGGAAGTACATTCCAGAGGCTGGGTGCCACAGCAGAGAAGGCCCTACTCTGAGTTGATGACCTTTTTACTCTCTTAGAGAGGGTTCCAGGGCAGGGCTTCTCCTGCAGATCTTAAGGGGCGTGAGGGCCTGTTCTTAACCCTTTATATTCAGGACTCCAGCACAGTGGTATCTGCTGGCCAGCAAAATTAAGTCTCTTTAGAGGTGGTGGGAGACAGACAGTGACCCTAGCTTCAGGGATCCAGTAACCCCCCTGAAGGCCCCCTCCAGAATAAGTGGGGGTGCTCTGACCCCCGCCCCCTGAGGGCCCCCTTCACTGCACCCTTGTTCAGGTGGCCTCAGTGGCGTGGGGTGTGCTATTCTACCAGCTTTGGTTTCAGGAGTCTACTCTTTGGGTAACCTCCAAGCCAGATTACTGCAATGTGCTGTACGTGGGACTGCCCTTGAAGACTGTTTGGAAGCGGCAGCCTGTGCAAAATGTGACAGCCAGACTGATAACAGGGATCAGATGGCCCGAATATATAACTCCTGTCCAGCTTGCACCGGCTGCCTGTAGGCTTCCAAACCTAATTCATGCTGCTGGTTGTAACCTGTAAAACCTACATGGTTTGGGATCCCAGTACGGGATAGAATGCCTCTTCCAACTGCAAATGTACCTGGACGCTTCGCTTCACATCTGAGGCCGTCTTCCAAACGCCTCCTCCCAAGGGAGACTTGGCTGCTGGCAAAAAGGAGGAGGGCCTTCTCTGTGGTGGCCCCCACATTATAGAACGATCTCCATACCAAGGCCGGCCAGGTGCCAAAATCTTGTTACAATCTTGTTAGTGCCAGGTTAAAATCGCCCTCTTGCTGAGCCATTTATCTTTGCATTGCCACTGTTTTTCAGCAGGTCTAGCAGTATGGACTAGCTGAACTGCTTAGTTGTAAAAATGAGGTTTAAATTGTTTAATTTTATAATGTCTTATTGTTCTTTTAGTCCATATTGATCATATTTACTACTGTTTACCAACTAGAGAGCTCCATCTATTGGGCAGTACAGTAGAATACTCGTAGAATACTCGTAGAATACAGAAATTAAATAAATGAACTAACTAAATAAATAAAAAAGTGGAGAAGCAAGTTGATTTCCCATCAGTGCCACCCTGAGTGAGAGGACAAGTGAAATTCAAGCCCGGGTCACTTTGTCACCTCCCATCTGCACCAAAGATGATCTATGGGAACGGAGCGCTGCAGTGCTGAGTTAGGGGAAACCGGATCTGCTCGTGCAGTGGGACAGAAAAAGCAGAAGCAGCAGTGGCTGCAGACAAGCAGACAAGCCGCCTGCAGTCCTGAGGCCCCGTGCACAACTGCGCGGCAGCTTTGCAGGCCGCATGGTGGCGGGGAGGTATCAGCCCGTTTTTCACAGAGGAAATTGCCCTGTTTGTAGCTGTCGGGAAAATTTGGATAAATCCTGTCTGAAAAGTATTACTCCTGCGTGCCTTTGCATTGTGGGATCAATTCCTTCTTTCACACGACCAGTCTCTTTGCTTCTTGCCCAGCAAGATTTGGGGCACTGGACCTGGTTGGTGCGCAAAGCTGAACATCCGAGGGCTGGCCCTGCTTTGCTAGTGATGGCAGTTTCAGGTCCCGGGGGGTGTGCGAATCCTCCTGCCCCCCATGAATGCTAAGAATAGATTCTTCCTGTTCCTGCAAAAGGGGAACTCTGAACAACTCATGTCTGTTTCCTCTTTTTTTCCCTCTTGGAGGGGATGAAGCACTACTTGGCCGCTGCTGACTTTGCCCACCAAGCGACGGGGGCAGCGGTCGGTCTGGGTCCCGCTGGCGACTGGGCAGGGCCAGGGACCAGGCGATCGGTGATGCACCCCAGTCTGGTCTCCAGCCTTCCAGCCCAGCCTTCCTTGTGTTGGGAAAATTTGGATAAATCCTGTCAGAAAAACTTTACTTCTGTGTGCTGTTGCATTGTGGGATCAAATCCTGTCTTCCTTCTCAAAACCAAGCTGTCACTGTTTAAAATGGCATCCCCCCCCCTGCTCCTTTCTCTCACCTTTAGCTGTAGGCTACAGTAGGCCATTTTAGCCCAAATATACATTGTAAATAGTCATTGTTGGAATTCAGTTTACAATAGTCTTTTGATAGCCCAGAGGGCTTCATGTGCCCTGATCATGCAGAATGTTTAGAGTCCAGATAAGGGTCTGAGCTTATCATGAATAGTTTCTAGTAGCTTGAATTTGCCTGTCTGAGCAGAACTGGAGATGGGTTCAAGTTACTCAACTAAAGTGTCAATACAGACAATTAGAAATATTGTGATCTCATTGTTGCAGTGTGATTGACTGACATTTCTTTATCTGTTCTGTATGTGATGACCTCAGAATCTTATTGTAATCTCTGCATTCTGTCATCAATTGCCCTGTACCTGTGTACCTATAAATGCCCTGCAATGGTATTGAAGCTTTGCAGCAGAGTTCAGCTCTGCCTGCCCGGCAATGCATGCATTATCCTGAGTACCACGGGAACCTTGGGGGTAAAACAATAAAGCCTCAGATGGTCTGGACGCTTGGTCTTTCCCACGAGCCCGAGTTTTATTCCCTCTTCTCAAATTGAGATTCTGGGATTCTGACATGGCCAATATCCTAAATCAGGAGTGGGGACCCTTTCTCAGGTTGAGTGTCCAGTTCAGCCCCAGAGAAGCTCTCAGCAAGCTGCTTTTCAGTGATGGGACAGAGCCAAAGGCAAAAGGCAAGGAGCCAAATATACCCCCAGGCCCTGCAAAGGGTAATGGCACACAGGAAACTAGTGCACTGGGAGGGGAGAAACAATAACAGCATGTCGCCCAGTGCTAGGGTGGCCATGTGTCTTCTTTTACACAGGGCAGTCCTCTGTTTCAAAGACTGTCCAGCCCAATTCAAGTTTAAACATAAAGTGTCATAAGAACTGTTGCCAATCAGCATTTAACACCTGGACCGGTGACCGCAAAGGTGACCGCACCTGTAACCCAAGTGGGCTATGGGAGGCTGCCCCCTTATTTCCTCCGCACCTAGGCATTTTTTTCACAAATAATTTTTAAAGAGTTTACAAGGCATCACCATAGAAGTGAAAGGGTAGAGAGGCGGGCCTTCCTGCCCTGCCCATGCAGAGAGAAAAATCTCTCCTGCATTTCCTTACTCCAAAGAGGAGGTGCTGGTGAGTTTGGGTGGGAGCAGGGGCTAGAGAGAGCAGAAATAATAGCAGTTTTCCACTTTCATGGTGGTCCTGTGCACCTGTGAATGTGGAGGCCCAACTATACCTGATCTGACTGAGAGGTTGCTCCGAAGTAGAGAAGGAAAAGATCTTCTATGAAAGAAATAAGATATCTACAGACTTTGCTCCATGCTTTTAATAGCATGCTGTCAGGCAGAAGTCCAGAAGGTGAAGCTTTCCCTGTTTTAGTGATGATCTGGTGACACAGCCTTGGTTCCAGCCAGGAGTGAATCCATGAAATGCACCACGCAGGAGTTTTATGGGAAGAAAGGCTGGTAACACTTCAAATGAGCTTTCCTTTCCCTCTTGCTTGCCTAAAAGGCCTTACTGGAACACTGGCTGATGCTATTTCTCTTGCTCCTTTCAGATTCTTCTTCAGTGTTTCAAACATTCAACACACCCACTTTCTATTTCCTACCACTTCGTGAAATAAAGTCAAAGGATTTGGAATGGAAAGAAGCACACAGTCTTCCTGTTTGCCCCCTGCCTCTGCTCCCCTTCTCCTCCCCTGCAGTCTAACCTGTGCCTAATTTTAGATTGTAAGCACCTTGGGGCAGGGATCTAGTCCTCTTATATGAAATACATTCCCACACTCTGAAGATGGCAAACCAGTATCTACCAGACTTTTTGAACTACAACTCCCAGAATTCCTGACTGTTGGCCATTCTGGATGGGGTTTATAGGGGGTGTAAACTGGTAATCTATAGAGAAGGTAATTGTGAAATGATAGGAATAGTAAGAACTTTAAGCTCAGATTGCAGGACTTCTGAGTAAAGATGCATCTTGTGTCAACCTTGGAAGTGGAGACCGGCTAGGCTCTGTTGTCAAAGCAGCTTCCCCGAGATCCATCCGAAGGCATGACCCTCTCCCACATCCTTGCCGATCCTGGCAATTCTCCATTTGCTCTTGCTCCCTGGGGACTCTTCCGGCGCTGTTTGCACCTGTGCCAGTGCAAGCACAGCAGAAATCCAGGTGATCCTGAACAGCCAGCCACAGGTGGGAAGAAGAGATGGCAGCGGAGCTGTGAGGAAGGGCCATGCCACAGACTAGCTGATCCCCAGCGCTTCCTTTTCTCTTCTGCGATCTGCCCTCCCTGAACCTCTCCCCCATTCTCCCTCCTCCCTCCCCAGCCTTCTAATCCTCTGGCCAACTGTCTATTTCTGGCTTAATCCTACTGATGCTGGCCAGCCACGTGCAAACCCCCACTCCCCTCCAGCGTACAGATAAGGTTGCCGGCTGGCCACGGAAAAATGCAACCTGCTCCTGCCCCTTGAACAGAGGACTGGCTACCCAGAAATTAGCAAGTGTGTTCTTTGTGGCAAGGCTATAAACATGATCCGCTGGTCCAGATGGCACTCTTGTTAAAGCTGAGCTGTCAGTTCTCTCTCAATGTAATGAATTCAGTTTTGGAGATGCTTTTCAGGGGCTGTGCTTCAGTGGTGGGTGGGACCCAAGGCAAAAGCAGATGGGTCAAAAATAGGCGAAACAGAAAAAATACCAGCTTATGATAGCTTTAAGCTCTTTCTGCCAGCAATTAGGAAAAGCATTGGCACCCCTTAAAATGAGGAAAGTTGGGGAAATGCCAGGGAACTCCCATACTGGTGGGGGCAGGGGGTGGGACTGTAGGCAGGCAGGATACGCCCCCCCGAACTGAGATCCAACACCCTTCTCTTAAAGAGATGGCTGTTAACCAGAACCGGTTCTAAATCTGGCAGCCTTGCATGGGGGAGCCCTGTGTTTTTCCCTTTGAGCTGCATGGGGGTCCTCTAGGTTAGAGTGCGCTGCGTACAGAGCCATTTTCCTTCCAAGGGCTGCAATTTCTTGGTCTTAAGAAACCCTGATAGTACCAGCAAGACAAGATTTTGGGGCAAGTGCCAGCACCCCACTCAGCAGGATGAGTGACCCTCTCCCCGCAATTCAGCAGGGCTGGTTGAGCTCACTGTGAAGTGAGTTACTACCTAGAGAGTAAGGAGTTGTGTGGCGGTGGAGGAAGTGCTGTAAGATCATGAAATACTGAGTTTCAAACGATATAGCCGCTAAATTTAATGATGTGAGCCGCCCCGAGGCTTCGGCGAATGGGGCGGCATAAAAATGTTTTAATAAATAAAATAATAAATAAATAAATTCCTGGATATCCTCGCTGCACTCTGGAAACACCTGGCCAGCTAGGTAAGAGTACAAGGTTCACCCGCATCGCCAGGTGAATGCTCCATCAGGTCCACCAGAGGCACTGTTGCGACCAAAAACAAAAATGAAGTGTTCCACCATGGGGGAGCCCTCCTTCCTTTCCAGCCCCAGCCCCAGCCCCAGCCCCAGCCCCAGCCTGGGATGGGTGTGGGACGGGCAGCAGATGGAAACACGGCTCCCTGGTGGCCGTGTGCCGAGATCTCACAAGATGCAACGGAGGGCTGGCGGCTGCTTTCCTCTGTCCCACTGGCTGCAAATGCCAGCATGGGAAAGTGGCTGGTGGGGCTCTTTGGACACCCCCTGGAGGTGATGGTGGGCTCCAGGCTGGGCTGCACAGGTAGGTGTGGGGACAGCACACTTCATTGCCCTCCCAGCTTTGCCACCTCGTGCAGGTGCCTCATCCTGCCCAGCTGTGGGAAACAAATGCCTCTGAGAATCCTGCAGGCAAGGCTTAGAAGCCAGTGCTGGGATGCCACCCCACTCTTGCTAGCAACAAATATTCAGTGATATGCCATGACTGGACATGGAGGCTTGATTAGGAATTCCTAGGTCTTCCTCCTCCGTAGATTTGTCTAATTTCCCTTGGGGGTGAAGACCTCCACAGAGACCAATCTAAAAATGGCTAGGGTTCCCCAGAAAGCCATGTCCTCTTCTTCTAGCCCCTAGCTATCAATTATTTGGTGATTTTCCAGATTTTGTACATTTCCTTCTTATTCTAAAAGGCCACACTGTCTCACCTAAGGTCCAGGTGGTAGTAACAGCGTTAGCTAAAACTTGCTAGTATTTTTTGTCCAGCCCATGACTAGAATATGGCCCCCAGTCGGTTCTCCAAAATGGATTTGGTCCTTAGGCTGGACTAATGCTAGTTAGCATTAAAGCTACCATCTAAGTCTGTGACCATCTGCGCCTGTTGAAACAGGCATTTCAGTAAACAGATGCTGATGATTTGTGAAAGTCATTGTGCTCCACAAGGTATTTACTGTGTGCTCACCTTTGATTAGTTATGATTGTTTATGGGCACTTCAGGTGACATAGTGGCCCTCTAGTTTCACTTCTTGATTTAAATCACTTCTTGATTTAATAGCAGTTTCAGCTATTTTTTCTCCCAAAGCAGGGAGAATGCAGTTTTAAGGTGAGCAAAAGAAAACTCCATTTCCATTGGGGCAGTTGTGCTGTTCTTCTATGTCACACTGCCACCTGGAGGTTATGTAGTGAAAAAGCAGGAAAGGACACGACTTTCTATACTGCTCTGATTTCAATTCTGTGATGAAACCAATAGTGGATACAGTGGGTCAATTACTTTAGGTGGGAAAGTTGTCTGTGTGAAGAAGAACTTGCTCTGTTATGTCTCAAATCAATAAGTTACTTCTTTGTCCTTTTGTGTATGATCATTATTCACCCTCCTCTCCAGATATCTAGACATTAAATACCATGAGGTAGCAGGGAATGCATCTTGGGTGCTTCCCGATGAGGCTTTTCATGCACAGACTCCTTTCCCACTCATGGAAATTACTGTAGGTCAGCGGAAGGTGATCTATTTGTAATCCTCCTGTTGTTTCCCACCAGAATATCGATTAAGATAGAAAGGGCAGCTTAAAT